ATACGTGCTCATCTTATCATTCAATGCCTGTCTGTCTGTCTGTTTCTCTGTTATTTCCGAAATATTGTTAAAAATTTTATAAATGTAAAAAAAATATACATATACAAAAAAACTAAATACCCGACTAGATTAATATTATTTGCACTAAACATCCTATCAAAATACTCACGAAAAAATCATTTTCTTCGTTAAAAGCATAAAATCGAGTTTGACAAGACTCAAGTCGCCAGCTTCTCACTTCGGTGGTTTTGTTTCGAGTTATCAGGGGAGGTACTACGCGAGTGGCGTCTCTGAAGCCAGAGGCGTTACAAACACATCGCTTAATATACCGATTATGTTTTGTCATTATGTGTCATTACGAACGCTAATAGTCCGGACGACACACGACCAAAAATCATTTTACGGAATCGACATTTTAAACGGTTTGAGTTATTCGAATAATGTGAAAGCTGAGTTCTTTTCATAACGTCGAATATGGTAATGCGTTTTGGTTTTCGAGAAAAATTAGATAAAAATATATGTTCGAACCTACCTACATACTTAATAGTTCTCGCGAACTCAAATCTGAGAGTAACTGTTTCACTAGATAGGTTCATTCATATTCATTTTGAATTATTATTTTTATTAACACCATATGAAAATACGTACGTGAATTTATTGAACATTTTAAATTTGCAAAACTAGTTTAATCATAATAACACATTAAGTAAAATTAAGAAACTTATAATTTTGTTAACAAACTTATAAAGGACATAGATAAATCTGTAAGTGAATCTATTTTTAATCAATGAATAACTACAACAAATTTAGATTTTTTTATGAGACTTACAATGATGTCGACATACACGGGAAAAACCACCGACCTAAAATTAATATTTCCTGTAAGATTATGACACCCATTACTGAAAAGAACAGAAAGGACTGCTTTATCTTCAGTGAGGCTCGAATAGCTTCATGAATTTTAATGTTTTGCACTATACTGGTTTTATAAGGTGCACCTTTAAAATCCTGTAACCTTAATAGAATTTGGGTGGTGGCGATAATGTTGTCTGCAGAATCTATATTATGTAATATTGTTACAACAAAAGCAGTCACTTGGATATCCATAGTTAGTGCTTTCCAGAAGTAGTGAAGTTGAAAGTCTAGGAAAATGGTAATTCTGATCCATCATCGATTCATCGCTACTGCACACTCCTGTACAAAATAGAAAAATCAGCCATAATGTTCTTTCCCACGTGAAAGATATCCCAATGACTGTTCTCTTGTTACTTCAGTCTCTCTGTAAAATGGGCTATGAATAATTAAGGTCACTCATTATTTGTCTAGGAATATTTTTAACCTTTTTGAAGTTGTAATGCAAGGGCTAAATTATTTTCGCTACCCATTTTCTAATCAAAAACTATATATGATGTAATAAATATCCATCGAAAACCGCATCAATCTCATTAATTCTGAAAGCATCTATTAGATACGTCACATTAGTGGGGACTATGTCGTAAATTTGGGACGGAAATCACGGAATGGTATCATATCCAACATATGTCGCTTCAATCAGCCGATTGATGAACCAAACTGAAGCCCATTAGATCAAAAGACCTTTAGAAATCGCCTTACCTTCCCTTTTTCCCTTTTACTTTAATTACAGTTGTACTTATCTACGTCAACCAACAACCCATCAATATTACTTATTATATAAAAAAAAAAACAAAAAAAAATAATATCATTCCTATAAAAAAACAATATAATACAAAATTGCGGTATTTTTTTATAAATATTTTTATATATCAGTTAAATCTATATGTATAGTGTTAAGTTTGACTTGAACATAGATATATAATAGATATATGCAATACTATGAGTAGTTGATAATGTAATGTTTCTTAATTGAATAATAATTTCATAATTGAGGTTATAGAAAATTTATGCTTGCACTGGCATAAATTTTCTATCACCTCTAACTACAAATTTTAGTGACTTGTAGATATCATTTACTGCGTCATTAGAATAAATAACAGCTAGGTAAGTACTTATTGAACAATAGTTGTAGGTACCAATCAGTCAAAGATACCAAATTCGTTTCACTCTCAAGCGTTTTGTCTCAGTCGACGAAATAGCATCGTCACCCTTTTTGTAAGTTACATCACGTTCAGAAATAACGTAAAAACAAAATACATATTATATTTGGTCACGCCTGTCCGCAACACGCCCGCCATTTATTTTATGTTTGTAATAAACTATCGTAAATTAGACAGTATCAATATGGTTTGAGGAAATTAACACAACCAGAGGCGAATAAAAAATCGACCCTTGTTTCTTGTTATTAATTGATTTTGTTCAGCAAGTATCTATAAAGGTAGCAAATTAATACACATTTTGACTTTTTGTTAGAATACATGGGGATACGAGTTGAATTAGTAGCAGGAGGAGGAATGTTAGTATTAGTAATGGGGACAATACCTCACCGGTAGCAATATACTTATCATAATACCTCATGTCGACCTCCTCTCTGGAAACCATTCTAGTTAGTTTCTGTTTAATTTGTCAAGATGTGTTCATCTGACCTGACCTCAAACTCATCTTATTATCCTCCACTACTTCACCCCCACTTTAATGGTTAGCGCAGGCGGTAACACCATTCCATTACCGCCCTTTATTAGTAGCTTGGTTAAAGAATTGTATGTTTGTCATACTTTCATAGTTGAAAACCAAGAGAACAGAGATGTAAGATACATCTCTTTAGCCGTACAGTATTGACAGAGTGGTCTTGATCATGATGATATCAGTGGACATCATAGTACCAATATAGTAGTAGTTGTAGAAAAAGAGACGAAGCCGAGACCAAAATTGGTCGTGTAGAACGTTTACGTAACGTTAGAAGTTCGTGGTAGAACAAGATCTTTTCAACGAATGTACCTACTTATATACCCACTGACATAAGCAGGCGAATGCCTTCGTGATTAAATTCTACCGCAATTTGTAGTAACTTGCGAAGAAAACATCCTTGGACACCACTCGAAACTATGGAACAACTTTAATAGCTCTTCGCACATGTCGCGACCCTCCACACAAAGGGGAGTTTTATTAAGAGGGCGTCGAATGAAACAGAACTTTAATTACACGTAACGATTGCTTAATATTTGACTAAAAAGTTTTATTTCAGTTCAAAGTGACATAAGCAGGATTTCCATCTGTAAAATGATGTGTCTTACTATATTTTGGCCAATTGTCGCGTTGTTATATTAACTGTAAGCTGGAACATGCTGCGATAGAACTTTGATGGCTAAAAAGTAATAATAATTCCCTAAACTTTCCAAAAATATATAACCTTTTTTTTTAAAGATGACTACCCTTGCCTCATATATTACTTTTACAACGAAGTTCAACTCTTATTAAGCTAAAAAGCGTAGTGTATGTGTTACATACACTGAGCTTTTTAGCTTTATTAATTTCTATACAGTAATAGTAAAAAGTTAATACATAGTGACATATTTAAATGGTAAAAATATTGTATTGGGCGTAGATCGCGTGCTTATTGCGTAGACAGTGGGCCGACATATGGGCATGACCGCTCACTGTCAGGTGTTCTTCGAGTCACCTGTCAATACTATGTGTGGACTTCGGATCAAAAAGCGCTTCGTTGTGGCGCGCTCATTTTTTCCAATCATTATGTGTTTATATATAAGATATGTATAGGTTGTAAAGTACATACAACCTCAAAACTAAAGAGCGTAGGGTGTATACCTTACGCTCTTCAGTTTTGAGGTTGTGTCATTTGTATAAATGACATGGAAAGGACCATAACTTAAGAGGGCACAGTGAAGTGACGATTTAGAAGATTGATATCGTAATAATAATGTATCTTAACGACTGTTTTTCTAAATGGGGTAATCAAAGGCATTATCAATTGTCGATGTGGATGCATTGACCACGCATCACTTGATATGCTTACATTTCGCTGGGTACCTACATTTTAATTCAACACATGTAGAAGGATTCGAGCCTAACGCCGCGCTCGTTTCGGATTTATTTAGTTTGTTATCAAAGTTTCAGTCCCCGGAGATTCATTTAGAAATTGAATTTTTGTGCTGGCTACATTTAAAACTACGATTGGTAATGTAGCTCTGGAGCTCTAGGTAACAGACTAACCAACAACTAGACCATGACGAAAGTTTGAGATCGTGTAGAGGAAATAGTTTCAGTTATATTTTGTCTAAGCTCGATTCAGAAAGATTACAGAATTGACGACTGACTGAGGGACTTCCTATATAAAGGAAAGCACTCTACAAACTACTTGCTATTAATTATCGAGTATCTTTATAATAGTAACTATATTACCTACTTGTTAATATCCTTGTTACACAACCACCGGTGGAAGCATATTTCTAAAAACGTCCGACATAAGTCTAGCGAATAGTTCATCACCCTTACTTACCTATTTCAAAATCGCGTGAGCACGAGATAACCACCAAGTATACAACGTCCAATCCAATTGTAGCTATGAACGAATTCATTTAACAGAACTCATCTTACAGACGACGGGTGACGGGACGTGGAGTTCGTATCTAGGAACTCAGTGGAAGTGTCAATTTTACTTAAATAACAACATTTTAACCTCAATAATTACTCAACTGCAGAACCTGATTGCATATTCGATACTATCAAACTAATGTGCTGTATGTTGCCTGTTCTTAAAATAATAAACAAAAATATAATTTGATTTAATGATTGATAGATAATAGTTTTTTTCTGATAGAGTTTCATCAGCATTTTCACGTAGTATCAAAATGTAAAAAAAGATCTACAGTATCATTATGATTTATAGGTAGACAGGTTATAATTGATAATAAAAGTAATAGGTACAATTGACCACATGAAGCATATGGTACGGTCTATCTGAAACTGTATCTAAAAAATACGCGTATACGAAATATATATCTGCAAGCAAATATTTAAATCTCGTTTTATAAATTAATGATTATCTAATTTCTATTCTATTCCAGAATCCTTAAATCATTGGAGGCAACGTCGTCGACGCGTGCCCGGAAGCGTCACGGCCGCGTGAAGACCGGAAATGGGCAGGATGACCGGATCCTATCTCCGTTGCCTACCTGCCGCCATGTTGTGACGTCACCCCGCCTCTCCACACTATCTGATTGTGTATTGTAGATTTCCAAATCGTCGAAATGTATTGCTTTTGTATTAAATATATTGCTATACGAAATTTTGTGCAATTATTAATAAAACTTACTAGACGATATCGCAATGAACTAAACCCATTAGTTAATTACGATATTGTTATTTAGTAATTTTACTGCAAGGATTAGACTACGGTTACTGTAGCCATGAATTAAATAACTCTACAAACTACGTGGATACGATCCTGAAATTGACTACTAAACCGCTGAATCCAGTCCTAGTGAGAAATGCTACCATACTTAAATTTTCTGAAGCCGGAGCATCCACTGGTTATCATTGCGGGAGTATATAATTGTTGGCAATTTCACGTCTCTATTCAACCATGAATAGCAACCATTAGGCTCAGCACTCGACGCCCCTCCCAGCTAATAAGAGCATTTTACTTTACAGGACTCCTTGGTGCCATTTTTAATGCTCACTACTCTCAAAAAAAGCGGCAACGCTATTTTAATTGCCAAGAGAACAATGTTCTAGTATTCGAAGTATTGCTGCATAATGGTGGTCATTATATCATTGAATTATTAAAATTTATCAATAACACCGTTTAGTAGTAGTGGTAGTAGTTTAGTCTAGTTCTAAGAATGTGTATGTCAAAAATGTCTACAGGAGAACAAAATAAACGTAAATTAAGGGTTAGGTTACATATGAGATATACCTATAGGTACGCATATTTGGAAGAATATTTAAAGTCAACCTTGCCTCTAATTATTTACCTTGTTTCTGATTGGCTGTAAACATGACATGTATGCCATGTCATATTTACGAATTGTATAAAAATGTTGAAAATGCCAATTACATAACTTACGCACAGTTACAACTCTAAAAACAATTGCTTAACACGTACTTTTCTCAAAACATCTTTTGAAGTTTAGGACATTTATTACTTGCTAGCTTTTCCCGCGGTTTTACCCGCGTTAAATTTCAATATAAAATATAGCCTATTTGTTATTCTGATACATAAGCTATATTACAGTAAAATTTCATCAAAATCCGTGTATATAGGTAGTATTGAGTGGTTGATAACATTTGGCTTAATTACTCAAATTAAATTAAGTAAACTAACGGCCTTCACAGCAACTTCACAGGCGGGCAACCCAAAGAAGTAACCGCCCATCGCGTTTGCGGTTTTCAGGCTTTTCTCATTCGAATACCAACTGGCGTTTAAATGTCGATACCAACATATTATTTACCGTAAAACATAGCAAATTACAGTAATGACGCTTTTATAAGAATATGTTGAGACTAGGTCGAGTACGAAGTACTAGCGTATAATTTGCCATAAGGTCTTTAAATCGAATATATATAATTAGTAGGTCATTTAGGTACGGTGTATCAACGATATACTTTTAGTTACTTTTTTATATTATATAACTGTGTGGTAATTATCGTGTATCTAATGACACAGTTATTTTCATATTGTCTTTAGCAGATTTTCTCTCTAATCTACAAATCTTACAACAATTTACGAATTATATATATCTTATTACAAATCAAACCAAAACGAACCACACTAAACAAACTCTGTTTATAATACGAGTTTTAAAGAATAACTGAAAACGTTGTCATATTAACCATATGAAATAGTAAAACAGGTATTGCTAGCAGTTTACCCACCATTCTTTTTGTAAGTAGGTACCTATAATATATAATATAAATAACCCTGAATAACCACACGGCGCTATCAGTCCCAAGCAAAGCTCATCTTGTGTTATGTTTAGGTACTACTAGAGAACTGATATGTAAATATAGATACATATATTTTTTTGTAAAGACATACCTACATAATATACCCAGACCTTAATAAGAGATACAAATAATGATACTCATGAATACAAATATTTGCGCCTGGCGAGAAATCGAACCAGTGACCACTGAAAGTAAGGCGATGTGTTTAACCGCTAGACCACCGAGGCTGTCAATACCTAGACATTATTAGTTATAGATGATTACATGACAAGTGTTTTTTTATGTGACGATTATTAAACCCGTAATTAAATAAGGTACTTAGTTTCTCCACCACTACGACATTTTTGCGCTCAGAACCTCGCCCCCTTAGTAAATAAGAACACTAGCATAGCTTATCACATAATGTAGTCACCATTGGCAAATATCGAAGAAGGTAGGACAATGGTTAATTTGCCAATTACAAAAATCGTTACCATTAAAGTAACTGCTTCTTTTGTCTGTCATACATATTCCAATTTCATAATATTGCAATGAGTATCCCTGACAATAGCCCGGTCGGAGTAAGTCACGACTCTGTATCTGGGGGGCATCCACCTGGGTTCCCGCACGTGAAAATGTGAAAATATTCCATACATTTTAATAATTCAGAGTCATTACCAGACACGGGCGGACCCACGTGCATTCAAAGAAGTGGGTAGCTGTTACAAAGTAGCAAATCCTGACATTGATCAAAATAACCTCCCGTTATGGAATGAAAATTATCACTTTGTCGTTGAAGGTAGAATTTCGTGCCTCGCGGCTCATACGCGTTGCCGCAGAATTGTAAATATTCTTTATTGCACGGATAACACAATGATACTATAATTTAGAGACAATGAGCAAAGGTGGACTTATACCTAGTAGAGATCTCTTCCAGTCAACCTAAAACAGTGGCATAGGTGATACTGAGTGGATAATAACTAGTGTGGTGGTGGTCTAAAAAAATATGTCGGACAGTTTTGCCCATGTAGTTTATTTTATTATCTATTTGTATTACCAGTACCTATCTGTCATATACGGCTAGAGTAAAGCTCGACATTATCTCCGGTTCAGAGCATCAGCTTCTGGACAAAAAGTTCTTTAATTTGCTCACCCAATTGTACAAATGGCTATATATGAACGTACTCTGATTGTGACGCTATGAAACGAATTCTAAAATTCGAGAACCAATTCCAGGCTGACAGGTAGAAATTGTAAACGTACAAAAATAGCTTAAAAACTAAAATAAAATAAAAACCACACTTCGTTTGAACATTATAATGCACTATTTACATTGTGTTAATAATTTAATGATATATTACATATATTAAACATGTATACGCTTATCTAATTAAAGTAGGAAATGTCCTAGTTAGTTAGTCCTAATGTTAGTAATGACTAACATTACTGGTGCAGCAGTAAATTGCATTGCATCAATTCATGTATGTTCCTTCTTGCTTACTGCATTATTATCATCACAACAGTCAATTATCGCCCTACTGGGCACGAATATTTCTACTTCATTTCATTTCATGTGCATGTCTAATGGTTATCTTTTCTCTATTAAACAGTTCAACGAATCGTAATGAAATTTTACTCAAATATACCTATTGTAGTCTCAAAAAAAGACACGATGTTGCTAGTTGTTCCTAAATAAAACTTATAGCAATGTATCTCTATCAGGAACGTCGACGATGTCATTGTGTCTCGCACTCTCTAAGTCAGTTTTAGCTTGTTCTTCCATCTTAACAATTTCGCTTCTTACCAACACGATGACATAACATTGCATTGCTAGATGGAACAAATAAAAATTAAATTATTATTTATCTATGGATGGTATACGACAGTATTGATATATGTCAGCAGATTACATAACGTTTTAATGTATCTAAATGTACAAAAAGTTTTTGAAAGTAATTACTTTTTTAGAAGTCGGTTCCAAAATGAATAAGTTACTGAAGATATCGTAACAAGGACACATTAACATTTATTTTAGTCGTTACAATAGATGAGCAAATTAAATCACATGATCATGTTGCCACCAAGAAGTGACGTCAAATAACACCTACTATTTTTACCAAAATTTTAGCGCTGTAAATTTCCATAAACGTGTCATTAAATTGTAAAGAAAAATGAAAACTTACGATGTCGAAAGAAAATTTCACCTTTACGTGACCATGGAATATTTTTTCTCCAAACAATATCAACAAAGTTATACATTTCTAAGGACATGTCACAAGAAACTATATATAGAACCACGGAACCCGGTAAAGGTGAAGCCGAAAAAATCAGTTTGTTTATAGATACGTAACCTACCAAGGGGAAGGACGATATTCACAGTAATTTGTCCATTATCACCAATGGGGCACACCTTTAGTCGTCCTTCACGAAACCATCTATGTTATATCTAATTCGCAATGACGGGTTAACTGACCTTCACGTTCATTCTATCATCCTCCACTGGCCACCAATATGCCATCGGGTGCACTATTATCATTCATACAAAAACCTATGTATTTATAATATGTGGTATTTTATTATATTTACCAATAGCGGCTAATGTAACACAAGCCTCCAAAGTTTGCAGTCTTGATAACAAAATGAACGTTGGCACCAACGTAGCTAAAACTGTAGCTACGCCGTAAAAGTTGTACAATCTGAACATGGATATGTCTTGCTAAAATTAAAAAAAAAATTGTTATTTTAACTTCTTGAATCTCATTACCTGCCTAAGGTAATGAGGTAGATGACTACTATAGCTCGAAGAACAAAAACATAAACAATGGGTAACAGTAGATAAACCTCAAGTCGGTAGTAAGTAATGAGTAATTCAATTGAGTTTCTTGCCAGTTCTTCTAAATTGGATCTATATACTAAACTGGACGGTAGGGAAAAAAAATATAATATAACAATCGCCTACGGCGATTTACCAGCCTCGGTTGTTTAGCAGCTAGCTTTTCCGTCATGGTTTGCAAATGCTATAATACACATCTGCCGTAATCGTCTGGCCAGATTTAAGGAAACTGAAGTGAACAACAGCAGCACTAGTCCACCAAACGCTCACCAGTAACTTTTTTTTGTGTTATTTCAAATAGTTTGAATTTTAGATTGACGTTTAAGTTTTTCATATTGCAAAGAAAAAACCAAAGATAGAAAAACATATTAGTTACTGTTTTCGCATTAGTAAAAAGCTGTATAAATTTGAAATTGGAATTCCTAACCAAAGAGAGATATTTGAGATCAAAGTGGCCTGTACGACAAAACGCCAATTTCATATATAAGGATAGGTCCTATAGATAGTAGGACTATTATGTAATTAGAATGGTAACTCCATGATAGTCAGCGGTAACTGTCGCCAGATACATGAATGAAAACATGTGTCTCAAGACAAACGTCCCGTAGTACTGCTACGGGCATCAGAAATGCATGAAACACCCGTGTTACTCATGCGTTACCATTGCCAGAGAATTACAATGTCGTCACTTATCCAGTAATTTCACTAATCACACCTTACAACCTAAACAGCTTACGAAGCAAGATGCTTGGGTACTGGAATACATTAATTACACTAAAGTTTTCCATTCAGATGGCTTTTTACATTTTACCTCAGATATATCCTTTACCAGAGCTTATGTAACGTACATTTATTTATCTTGCTTAGATTAATCATACAGTATATAAAATTACCTGACAACCTGCTACAAGGAGCAACATGTTAAGTATAACTCCCATTCCCAGTATACTGAAGAGTACCGTCGAAGTCACCACCTCGAATGAGGAACCATGGGTTATAGTTAATTTTCGCAGTTCGGTTGTAACAACTAGACACGCTGCCGCAAATAATGTGAGAATCTAAAAACGTAATGAACTAAATATTAGTTATTAGCAAATAAAAAAAACAGATTCTCTACGTATACTACCTGAAAATCATAACTTGATCTGGCGTGACTCTATTTTCATCCTGTCATCTTCCACTGGTGTAAAGCGTGATACATAAGCTCAAACAAGCCTAATTTTAAACTAACAATACACTATTTAAAAAATACTTACGATATTAATACATCCAAACGTTATAATTCCTTTTCGCAACGGTAAACAAAAACAGCATCTATTCACTTCAGGTACCTTTATGGACATACTGATTTTTTTTATCACTTGGTCCTTGTTTTAATTATTAATACTTCAGTAACATATGTTACAACTCCGTAAGTACATAATAATGACAGACTTCGTAATAAATAATGACAGTTGATGCAAATAATAGTATTTGTGTTAAGCTTTTATCAAGTCACCAATAATAAGTATATAAAATGAAAGAGTAAGTTGGTCTTTTTATAACTATATTTTTGACGGTTTTGATCGTAAGTAACGTTTAGCACAGAAAATCAACTTCTTTATTTATTTATGATTTATGTGTAAGTTGGTTCTTCTAACAGCAGTGGGTTCAGTCATAATATTATATCTGTCTGTATATCACAACACTATAACAAGTCCAATATATAGAAGTGCATTGTACAAAAATAAGAAATAAGTATATTGTCAATTAATAATAACCACGGATTATTTCTTTAAATTTTCATCAAATGTTTTAGTTAACATAGGAAGACGTCATAGATTAATAACAACTAAAATTGAAAAAATATATTTTACTCATACGCAATTAAATAACTCCAGGCAATAAATTAACAAACCTCTATTAAACGATTTTTTTTAAAAGTTGAAATAATTTTGCGAGAGAAAAACAAAGCCTCCCAGAATATCATAAAATAAAATACTTATGATAAATTGTGTATCATATTAGTGGTAGTATAAGAACTTATTGCAATTAGTAAGTATTACTTTTAACAATCTACTAAACATATTTTTTTTTATTAAAACAAATATAGTACGAATAAACCCAAACCAACTTGATAGTGCAGCATTAATCTTTACTTAAAAACATTTACTAGATAACGTATTATGTAGTAGGTAGTTTATTGACACGTTTGGTAAACAATAATTTCAATGGTATATAGTACATTCACACTGTTTACTTCATTAATTATGACGAATTTTATTATTAATAAGAACATTGTATTAAATTATTTTCTAATTACGCAAACTGAGAGATATAAAAAATATCATTCAGTATTATGATGCAGCATGTATTTGTGTTATTGTGGATGTCAGGTACGTTATGTCCTTGTCAATTCTACATTAATGATATGATATAAAAATAAAAATCTCTTTATTGTTCCCCTGATATAAAGTAAATAAAAATTACATAAATTAATATGTACTTTTACTAAATATGTATAAAAACATCGTAATTATAATACAGAGGTAACAATGGGTAGGTTTATCGAAATAGCTAAATAAAGCGATTTCTTCCAGGCAACATTACGATGGACAGTAGTGATTAGACCGAGTCTGGTCAAGGCATTACAATAATTAGTTAATATAAATCAAATAGTTATTTGTTGTGTTAACTGGGTTAATAACCTAATTTTTATATTAGAAATATAATATAAACATTAGTTACTTTTATATTATATTTTTGTTAATTAAAAATGTTGCATATGCTATATCTACATATCTAACTGGATCGCATATATCTACTGTAAGGTTTCATGATGGAGCGAGAAAAATTATATAGGTAATTATAGAAATGCTATAAAATAACAAAGCAATTGAGAATCAATACTTGTCTGTTAGATGTTAATCAAGATATTTCAGAAAGTCGCCATAAATGCACGTATATAACATTATTTTCAAAACGCGAATATAAAATACTTCACTTAAATAATTTATATTTAGTATACGGGTATACTTACATTTAAATAAGTACATACTTATTTTTAAAATATAAGTGCAAAGTAAATCGCAGAAGTTTATACTATTTATACAGATTTACACAATGCAAACGAACCTCACATGTTGTTTCAATTGTTTCACTTTGTCAAACGTTTATTCAATAAAATATCATTAGCTACCTCTCAACTGCAAGTCTAGTTTACGAGTTAATGATTCGCTTATTGGCAGTTATTGCATAATTGAGCCACACAGTGCGAGCCTCGACAGAGTCATAGCGATTATCCCCCTCATTGTTTGTTTATTTTTCATCCAATTACCATCTGTTTCCCGCTAACATAAACCAGTTAAGTACTTTTGTTGATGGTTTAACTAATAGATGAGAGTAGACATCTATACTTACCCTAGGGAGAATTATGTGAGTTTACCTAGGTCTAAATAACTAAGTATACTACATGTTTGATCACTGATATGAAAATTTACCTACCAGTTGTGTTTTTTTCCAATTCAGAATTGAAATAGTTAACCGAACTGGACGGTATGGATAGTGATAAATAAAACTATAACGTTCAGAAGTAGCCTAAAGTACATAAAATACAGAACGTATGGAATAATGATTATCACTTTCGAGAGGTAAATTCACTATGAACACCGATGTAACTAATTAAATTTAAGGAGGTAGTATATACCTATATACAATTATAAAATAGAATATAATTCAAATAAACTTAATTTAAGCATTTCGAATAGTCATAGTTATCATTCTGTTAATCTACCGCTCATTTGGAAAACTGTCTCATCACAAGATGAAAACTTGCGTGTTGCTCTTTTAAATAATCACTGTAACTTTACATTTCCAATTCCAAACGTGCGAATACAAACCACCAACTAGCACTAATTTATTAGGGTCAGATAATAAATACACAATACGATTAAAACAGTCGTAGTGATTAGAGCAGACCAGTCCCTACAACACTAGTTCACGAGTATGACGTATGAGCCAGCCATCACAGCGTTCGACCATATTTTATATTGCCCAATAACACTATAATATAATAAATTATTCCCGTGAAATTAGATATTGGAACTTTTATTATAAACTGTAGGTAGGGGACGAAGCGGTGTGTAAAAATTCACTACACGCGGGAACTTAAGGGTACCTATAAGGCGTACTTAACGTACCTTCGTCAAACTTGTATAGTCCAATCCAGACTCTACAAGCCAATCCAGAGCGCTGTTAAAGAACAATGCGCACACAGGGACAGGCAGAGGAAGACTTCCGGATGAAAGAGAGAAACGGAGATACAGAACAAGTTTGTATAACAGTAATAACAGACGATACCTATTTTCGTCTTGGAATAATTTTACACTCACGAACACAGACCACACGAAAGTCTGTTCTTAGGATATTTAATTAACAGTAACAAACGACGGCGGGCGTATATTTTCATTTTTCTTCTGTTTTATTTAAAAGATTGTTCATGTTATTAGCGGCCAGGTATAGTTTTTCAGAGCTCCAGTGCGTATCTCTACTGAAATATTCAGTCCATATGTGACCGATAAATTATGAATGTACATGAAGCCTATTAGTGTCATGATTTTTTAATGTAGGTAGATATAGGTAATTTGAATGGTAAACAAGCTAGCGACCCGCCACGGAAACTATGGCAAGTCTCCCTAGATGATATTTATCTCCTACATTGTGGCCAATTCGTAAGGAATATTCACGATAAGGCTAATAATTCAAAATTGGATCCGGAGCCACTCTCACTAAGCCACAGCGTTATATATGGGGGCTTACAGTTATTATATATCGATATATTAATATTATTATGTTTATGCCCCGCATATCATGTCGTCTCCACATCTAAATACTACAGAAAATCTTTACCTTACAACGTAAGTAAGTATCAACTTGGTCACTAAGTTCACAACTCATTTAGACGACTCAATGTTATACTTAATCATAAATATGATGGTATACTATTTTATATTACTGAACTGCCAGTGTAAAATCTAATTTAGCTTCCAGAGCCGTAAAACGCAAGAGACCATGCGTGAGCCTAAGCTGTATACATTGACGGAATATTAAAAAAAAAACATTTCTACACTCGTCAATATTCAAGAATTGCATTCTATTTTCTTTTCTATCCAGTGATTAAATAATATCTATTTCTGAAGTAAAAATAACTAATTCTTATAACGTGTTAAGGTAAATTTAAACAATAATTCATCATTAAATTCTATGTAGTACTCATTCCTTTACATTTTGAGGTTAGTTTTCCTATCATGTGAATTCGGAATTTGATTTATTAATGTTTTACGTAATATTTTAATTTGTTTTGAATAGTCAGTGGTAAATTTTGTAATTTTATTGCCTCTGCAGTCTACATACTGTATGTTACTATGCATAAACTACTTACAACTTATTACATCAAAATTGTGTCCCATTGCTTCATTGCAGTGAATGATTAAAATCGACATATATACACATATATTTCATTTATTCCTGAATGATATTAAATGCCAGAATTTATCTGAATGACCTGAATTGATCTCCATACCCTGAACTTTTAATGATCCTGCAGTGTTATCTTATAACAGCAAATAATACTAAAGGTTAGGTTATTTTCATTAAATCATATACAGTTTCTTCAAACAGGGCTTGTTTCCACCAACTCTGTCTAAATTTATCAAGAGTCTTGTGGAAGATGATTTTGTGATCCATCAACTTAAGAAGAAGGGGTGTAGTTGAATGTAAAGTGTATTTAGTACTAACATGGGTTTTAACATTTATATAAAGGGACTAACATGGGTATGTTAGTCCATTTATATAAAAGTACAGAATAAATAATCTGGTCACAAAAACTAATATATGTGTTTGTATAATTCTAAATTTTAAATACAATGCCAAATGAATTTCAGAACCTATTCTTGACTAAATCTACATTATGGCTCAGTAGAATTTAAATTTTGATATAATGATAAAATTATAAAGAACTATTAAGGCTTTAAATGCTAAAGATATGGTATATAGGTGATTCTAGTGGTCTTTAGTCTATATCTTTCTCATTATCACTATTCAACCCGCCTGATGGTGGCTGGAACTGGCCTGGTGGTTTGATGTGCACACATACATGTACATGTATATGGCAGCATTCATTATTTCCTTATACAAATTAGCACAATAGCGTTTTTAGAATTTGTCTAAGTTGTTAAAAAGTGTATGATATTTATATGACTATAGATTATTTCATTAAGTTAGAATATTTTATTAAGTCTATTCAATCAGGGGTTTTGGGATTGTTAGTAATGTGAACTAATAACCCCATATATAGCAATGTACTATGTCAGGTTGACCTTCTTATGGTTCCCCCTGGACACCAACATCATAAATTCCTGTTGGAATTGGCTTGACAGATTAAGTGACCTGACCTCATTCTCCTCATATCATCCTCCATTAATACCCCCCACAGTGTAAACTGTTAGCACAGACGGGAGCACAATTCTATTATTAAAAAGAAACAATTTTTTATAAATATCTCTATGACATGAATTTTTTAAATGAATTGTTAATAATTGTACCTTCCAGAAATGGCTGCACAACTTTTCAACCGCATTGGGCAAGTTGGCCTGGGAGTAGCACTAGTTGGTGGTGTTGTAAATTCTGCTCTGTACAATGGTAATATTACATATAAGGAACATTAATGTCTGATTTTAATATTTTCTACAACAGTGCATTGTTTATTATTTCCAATTTATTACTCTTACTTACTAGACCAAATAAATTTAATAACAAATATATAAGACAAATAATCAACAGAAAACAGATAATCAAATAAATCTCTTAGCTTTTACAGGAATACATTTAAAACATAATTAATATTAAATATCCATTACTTTTGTTAATATCCTTCTCATTTATACTTTCAGTTGATGGTGGTCACAGAGCTGTAATATTTGACAGATTTGCTGGTGTCAAAAATTTGGTAGTTGGTGAAGGCACTCACTTCTTTGTCCCATGGGTGCAGAAACCTATAATTTTTGATATTAGATCCAGACCAAGAAATGTGCCTACTGTTACTGGAAGCAAAGGTATAACTATTTTTACCTGAATATGATCAAACAAAAGGGAGGTTTTACTACATATATATACATATGTTTATCTGTTTCATCATAACTTCAAATTTAGAAATTTAATCATCCACTGGTTATAAGTTATGTGACACTCACATTTAATTGAATAGGGCACCCGTTTTGACTGGCTTGTAGCTACCGTTACTACTACTTTACCTTTAGAGCAAAGTCCATCACATTATACAAGTAGATAACACCATATAGCCATCAATATAATATAACACGGTATATTGCTATGGCCAAAACTTTCAGATGAGAATATTTTCTTGTTTCATAATTTTGTATTGTACTTTTTCAATCTATTCAGCATCACACCCAATGAGTTACTAAAATTTTAATTCTTTGTAGTTTATTTGTAGGTATATACATTTTGTTCATGTTTATGAGTTATGTGAATGTGTTATGCCAATATATTATTATAAAAAGATAGTTCGTAGTAAAAAAAGGCATATTCATGTATTCATAATTGTGACAAAAAACTGTACTTAAGGGATTTTATATTAAAGGGGTAATGATGTTAGGGATATATAACAACTGTATATCTGTTTTAGAATACAGAGAATAGATCCTTGTGCTGATTTGATATGCATAACTGGGCAGATACTTTCTTAATTGCTTCATGTAATTAATTTAAATTATAACAACTTCTTTTAACATCATTGCCTTAACTTTCCAGATCTACAAAATGTGAATATCACCCTTCGTATCCTATTCAGACCAGTGCCAGATCAGCTACCAAAAATTTATACCATTCTTGGTATAGACTATGATGAAAGAGTACTACCATCTATTACATCTGAAGTCCTCAAAGCAGTTGTTGCACAGTTTGATGCTGGAGAACTTATTACACAGAGAGAGGTGATCATAGAACATTTTATATTTTAATGTTTTACATTTTTAAAAATAATTATCATTCTTCTTTATCTTAAATGGCCAGACTCAATTTTAATTAATGATTGTGCATTATGGGCAGAAACCTAAGTTATTGCATATTTGTATGTAATTGGAAATGGCAAACAAGCTGAGGATGGCCCTGATGATAAGTGAATATTAACATAATGGTGACGGTGATAACCACTCGTACATTGCCATTTCGAAGGAAGGCGACATAAGAGGCATGACATTTTCTGTAATTTATTGTTTATTTTTAAGTCATTATCCTGTAATTTATTATTTAATTATTTTTCATTTTGTTATCTCACACTTAAACTGAAACACAGCTTACAAAATGCACCTTTAACTAATAATATAATGTGTTTGTTTTTTTCCACTTTCACATATTACCAACTAAACAAATCATGAATTTAGTAATAGGAATGTAGTAGGACCTCAGCTTAATTTTACATATACATCTATGGTAAAATAAAAAGAGAGACGGTGGAAACTAGCTTATAATAAATGTAGTAAATTTTTGTAAATAATTTCAAAATTATAGAATTTATACTCACCTGGGACCTGCTAAGCCAATTTATGTCTTCGATTCCTAATTTGTTTTATGCCAAAGTATTGCTAGACATATTTACATATATAAAATTACATTTACAGGTAGTATCACAAAAGGTCAATGAGAGCTTAACCGAAAGAGCAGGGCAGTTTGGTTTGATTCTGGATGACATTTCTATCACACATCTAACTTTTGGCAAGGAGTTCACTCAGGCAGTAGAACTCAAACAAGTAGCACAACAGGAAGCTGAAAAAGCGAGATTCCTAGTAGAAAAGGCAGAACAACAAAAAAAGGCTGCCGTCATTGCGGCAGAGGGTGACGCACAAGCAGCCGTGCTTTTAGCAAAGTCTTTCGGAAACGCTGGCGAAGGTCTTGTAGAACTCCGACGTATCGAAGCCGCAGAAGACATTGCATACCAACTATCAAAATCACGTAATGTTACTTACTTACCTCAAGGACAAAATGTTTTGTTGAATCTTCCTACGCAAAATTAAAGGGATAATTATATTTATAACAATGTATATTAAGGTTCATTGTGGTGGATTCTGTACAACTGCATTTGTATTTTATTTACGCATAATGTTTATTATTAAATAGTGTAATAAGTTTATAAAGACTCCACCTATAAAAAGGATAGTGTTGAATTAGTTGTATATTAAAAATATAGTACCTACATAAAATTTTGTTGGAATTATATGGCATTTAATTTATCACATTCACTATTTTGTCTCCGATTCTAATTTTTGGCGCTTCTTTAATTAAATAGTAAAGTTAATCTAATTTTATAACTGTCTAAGAATAGACGGACTAGCTGCACGACATTTTATAGAAACTGTGCCACAGTTGCGATATTTGTTTTCTCTACCTAATTTGTACATTAAAACTTGATTTTATAGACGAAATCAGCAGTTTAGAGGTTCAGCACACCGCTTTACTTCCGATGATCGCGGATTCGAATTTGTACCACTAAAATGTTACGGTATTCCATATTGACAGCATCTGTATGTGCAATCATTTCAATATCAAGGAATTTGGCATTATTTTATAATTGAAGAGATTTTATGTTTCCAAATAATACATATATTAACAAGATTTTTGCACATTTTTAAACACAGATAATGTTTTTGTCAACAATGACCTAACAATCCACTGCATTATCTGAATGACAATTTTTCTACAATCACAGCATACAGATCACAAAATCATAGGATATGTGTGTATGTTGTGATTCACTCATATTTTTCATTTATTTACATATTTTGGCAGAATATATTACCACTCAAGTAATTTTCAACAGAAAACCACAGACAATGTTTCAGCCAACTCCAATTTCCTACATTTTTACATCACATTTAAGTCATCCAATGAGAGATTCATTATCTTTATCTAAAACATAATTGTCTTCATCATAACCTTCTAAGTCACCTTTCCTGATTTTACTAAAGAACAAATTCTCTCTTATACAAGATTCTCTTATGTATGCCCTTTCAGTACTGTTTAATCCTTCTGGTAAACTCAATTTAGTTAAATTAATATTGTCTTTAAAATTTTTAATTAATATGTCTACCTCATGTTTGAAATTATCTGTAATTAATTGCATGTGTGAATTTAAATTTTTACTCATAATTATTTTATTCTGATTGCAAGAATCACGAGTTTTCACTATCAAGGCCATTTCACTTTTCATGTCTTCATTGTTAGGGTGTAACTTCATAGCTCGTTTTAATTTTTTTTCAGCATGGTCAAATTGCCCTATCATTCTTAATGCTTTTGCATTCTGAAAAAGTGCTTTTTCATTATTCCAAAGACTGTTTAACCTATTCAATTCATTGCAAGATATACATGCCTTTAGTGGTTGCTTAGTTTTATTATAACATATAGCTAGGTTAATATATAATTTTATTAGCATTTTCTCTTGAACATATTCTTCAGAAGCATCAGCTAGTCTACATTTGTGTAGCATTACAACAGACTTTTTGAATAACTGAATGGCTGAACAGAAATTGTTGGTTTTATGAAGTGTGACTCCCGAACTGTATAACATTTTAACTTCTTTGAGTATTCTTTGAAACATATTTGATTCTGAAAAATCTAGTGGTCTGAAAGAAGAAAATTATAAAAAATTAACATTATATCATTTTAAACATATTATTAGTACTACTATATAATTTCTTTATTTCTACTATATTAAGCTATTAGAAAACTTATAACAATTTTATGTATTATAAATCCCTTACCCATCTTTTGGTGATAGAATACTTTTTACAAGTTTTATGTAAAAAATGCATTTCGCTTTAGGTTTTATTCTAGGAGGGATGCCCATTTCACCATACATTACTTGATATGACAATAAAAACACTGACAATTCACCAACCAACATTGATTTGATGGCTACTTCAAGACCAGGCAATAAGGCATTGTCTTTAAGATTCACAACCTAAAAGAAATTGTTTAAATTTCATTTTAGAAATAGAAATAAAAATCTTTATTCTAATATACTTAATACAAGCACTTTTGAACATGAATTCAATTATATTGAATTCGTAATTCATCATTATATATATATATATATATATATATATATATATATATATATATTTAATTTAATACAAATATTCTAATAAGTAAATGTTGATAGATTTGTTAATGTGCATACAAATAAATAATGTAATGCATTTTAATTAATCATTAATACAAATTATACAGATGCAGTCTTTTACATGATGATAGGAAATCATTATTACACCAGCCTGAGTGTCACAATACTACATTATCATTAAAAATTACATAAGTATGCCCGATTTAAAAAGATGCTCATATAAGCTGATGTTGATACAAGGGCAATCTGAAGATCTACAAATGGCAAATTCTGAAGATCTACAAATGTAGCAACAATAACTTTGAAAATTATTTGTACCACAAGTTTGTAAATTACCAAGTATTGGCTAAATAATTAAAAAAAATATACACACCAATGGTTTTTCGGTAGGTTTCAAATCAAAGGGCACAGGTTCATTTTCCCAATAACCTGAAAATGCTACTGAAACTGTAAATTCTTCACTCAATGGCTGTCCACCACCTTCTTCTACTATTTTCTTTTTTACAAATCCAACTTTATCTACTGGTTCCAAAATTTGCTCAAATTCTTCGAGATTTTTTATTGGGGTTCCGATAAAATCAACAAGATTGTTAATCTTTTGCTCATCATATTCGACATTATCTATTTCGTTATAATCTTGGTTAATGTGTAACAGAGATCCTGTAGTAGTGACTTGGCTATAAGATAGATAATATTGATATTATAATTACCATGGAACTGCAAGAAATATATATTATTGATAGAACACTTTGATGATCACACATACCGTAGATCCAATCCATTTTCTAAAACAATGGGTGATGATTTTGATTCCATTTGACATATAAAAAAAATGTTTAATGATTAAAATGATTACTGAACCAAATTAAGGACAAATTTATTACAATTTTATAATATAAACAGAAACAAAAACTTATATATAGAATATACAAGTACTCTTATAAATATGTACTGACTGACTGAATTACTGACAGTTGAAATACATGAAATGAATGACAGTAGCTACACTGACTGTCTTGGCTGTATGGGTTGAGTCCTTTTGTCTTTCCCTAAAAAGGAAAAAACCGAATAAAAAAAAAAAAACTGACAGACTAAGACAGATCGAAAATGAAGAATGTAATGAATAAGAAATAAGAGAAGAAATAATTAAAACCAATATGGTACTATTACAATTAAATTTAAAATTTAAACACGTCGTGGTTTTAGCTCATTGAATTGAATGTAAACTTTTATCTAGTACTTTTATACTAACAAAGTATATATTATATTGCGCAGCATGACGTCAGCCCCAGACAAATCAGCAAATGTTTAATAAAATTAATAAATTGCCTCTCACTCCTAATAGTAGGGAGCTTACAACCAATACAACCGCTGTATTGAAAGGAGATTAAAATGTAAAACAACATAAAAAAAATTTATATTGTCAAGGGGAAAGGGTATTGTTGGTAATATGGACTGATGATCTTATTGCTATCAATGTACTATGTCAGTTTGACCTCCACGCGGTTCCCTCTGGAAACCATCGTAATAAATTCTTGGTGAATTTGTCACAATAGGCTAACTGATCTGACGTCATGCTCATCTTATCATTCCCCACTGGTGCTCCGTCAGTAGCGCGTAGCGCGGGTGCACCATTCCACTATCATCCATAAAAAAACTTATATTGTCAGACGTGGACGTGGACATAATAATACCTTGGAGAGTTGTGGTGATAGTAGTTGTAGCAATGTCCGCGAAGTATCCAAAAATATTGTTAACCCAAGTAGCAAAAAAAGAATAAAATATATCGATTATATATTTACGTATATAAACACTATATTTTCTTATTTCCGTTAAGTTTAAATAACAAGGAACTTTCTGACTTCGAGATTAGCGTGCACAGGAAAACAGAAAAAAAATGTTATTAACAAACTAATCTTTTATAACGGTATATTTAATGTTTGAATAAAATTAAAGTTGTGTATGTACATATGTGTGTAGGTATATAAAATTATATTTATAATAATAAATAGTATATTTAGTATAGGTATTCTTGATGAACTTTATATTAAATAACATTATTTTAGTCCTTAAAAAACTTATTTACAATACTCAGCACTTTTCAATCGTCTCATAGATCGCTTCGTGAATTTTGCGGTAAAGATTGCCGCAATATAGCAATATAAGACGATATTAAATCGTCCATTTTATATCCTAATGATGTTTCACACAGTATCTTTGTCCCTCGAAGGAAGTTACCCATAGTCATATGGAAGAAGGTGTTACCAGAAGACCAGTTAGATATTTGGGAGAAGGGATGAGTTACCAGTACATCCTGAAATAAATAAAAACATAAAATACCTACCCTAAAAATCGTCCACTGTCAACGTTATGCGGAGTGTGAAATGAGTATTGAGTATATATTATACTAACTTCGTTCGCTTGGAATTTAACTTTATTTTCAAAATAAAAGAGAATTTCTAAAATAAAAGTCGCCTAAGTAAGCCTTATTACATTAGCTACCTGCCAAAAAAAGTCCACTCAAAATCAGTCCAGCCATTTCAGAGATTAGCCGGAACAAACAGACAGACAGACAAAAATGGTAAAAAATGTTATTTAGGTGTATGTACCGCATTTATATTCAAATGCATGTAGTAAAAAACGGTTATTTTAATATTACAAACAGACCCTCCAATTATATTTATATATATCTACAGATAAAATTGGAGAACAGTTAGACTCATAAATTGAAATGTTTATACAGTACTAAGAATCAAACACCCGATCATACGAAGTAAGGTGGACTAAATAGTTAGAGTACCAAGTCTTTGGGGATTTGAGGGTACATACCTACTCGATTAAAACTGATTAAAGAAATAAATAGCCGTTAAGATACCTATGTACCATATAGTGCAGCCAAAAAGAACTAAGGTCTTACTTAATACTTACTCGACTCTGAGGATGGATAACATTGACTCCATTCTTGTTTATTCCAATAACAACCATATCTGGATATGCGGGATCTGAGGTTTGTTTAACTTCAAAGAAAGCTGTACCAAAAGTTGGCAGCTGATAGATTTTTTGAAGGAATGCCTCCTTAGCATCAGTTTCGGACATATTACTGATCCGTTGGTACGCATTGTTGATAGACGTTTTCCAAGCAGACTTAGATTGAATCCTGACCATATCTGGCGGTATAAATTCCTCTAAAATATCTCCAATTTGAGATAATAATGACTGGTCATTACCAAATCTAGCTTTATACACAAGAGCTGCTAATTCAACAAGATCCTGTTTAGATGTTTTATGATAGCCTCGTAGATACTTAGGTAACTCCTGTGGGAAGTAGAATATTTGATCTGCATTTTTATCTTTACCGGGAACGGTGTTGATCCAGAGTTTTTTCATAAAGAATATCTGGTAATTCATTTGGACTTGTGTACCTATAAAGTAAAAACATAATTTATAGATAAGTGTAAAGTAATAAATAAAAGAAAATGCGTAAACAAATATACTCACTTCCTCGAGTGGGACGAGTCTGCTTCATCCATTCTACTAGTTCATATACAAAATCAAAGAAATAGTAATTTTCCGGAACAGAAAATACTTTGTCAGCAATTTTTACAAACAGACTGAAACCTTCACCGTTTTTTAGGTTTAGTCTTCCAGTTATTTGTTCACAAAGATCTTTAGCTTTCGTTGCTGAATCCACTTCAAATGCCTCATCTGTATCGTCTGGGAAATATACTTTGTGATATATCTGTAAACTTCTATGCTGAATAGCTTCCACCTCTACAACATAGGGAGCATACATTCTGAATCCAGCTTTCTGTATCCTAAAAACACGTTTTAAGCATTCCTTAGCGATAGGATGAGGTCGAGTTTTAAGAAATTCTACTAGTTCCTTCAATAATGCTGTCCCACATGCAAATACACCAGTAATAAGCCACATTAGTTCCCATCCACGCTCTTCACTGAGTTGTATTCTATTATTAGTAAGTTGCTTCATTATTTGGCAGTATATTTCATCTCTAAGAGTAGGTTCGGCAATTGCTGATCTAAATATTTCATCTGTATATTCTGTGACAGTGCGTGCTTTTGGAGCTGGCATATCTCCCATATACTTAAGGATCCCAATGTAAGCAACTATGGCAAGTTTCGAAAGTTGATCATTTTCTAATAATTTTTTCAATAAAGGTTTTCGAATTTGTTCTCTACTATGAACCCATAAATCTGGTGATATCGCTTTCTTAGCCGTAGTTAATGTTGACTGTCCGGAAATGTGTGAATTGCCGTCTGTATTTTCTCTAAAATTATCTTTAGCAAACTTTTCCAAAGTGTACATTCTTTTTCTTTGCACTGTGTTATACATAGAAGTAGATTTTTTGTTGGTAATCACATTTCCTTTTTTAAATACGTCTAAAATAGTATTAGGCGGGACAGTTAAAGTTGGTAAAATATAAACTTGTTCAGCTGGGAAAAGCCCTTCTTGACCATTGCAAATACCATGCCCCCACGTGGAATTCATTAAAGTTTCACCATTGCAATCTTGTAAAAGCGTTATAAAGTCACCCTTTTTATATTGTAAAAAGGAGGAGGCGTCGCTGTAACCTTGTGAATCATTTTGAGCGATTACATAAATCGATCTCCGTTTTAGTCCATCGATAAGATATATAATTAGAGCGCTTAATTCACTAGCATCAACACTTTGAAATTCAAATTCTTCTTGTTGTATTGTCCGAATTGTTATTTTACCCACATCATCATATTGATCGTCTTCGTTATACGCAACGTAAGTTATTTCGCAAAATGTGATTTCAAGGAGAATTGTTTCTAACTGATCAACAAAATAGATACCCGTCCAATTCACTGCTATTATAACAACATCTTTATTAATACTGTCACCTTTCACTTTAATGGCTTCAAAGAATCTAGAGAATAACATAGGCCATTTAAGTTTTGCAAATATTACAATATCTTCTTTACACCTTAAGGGTTCAACCTTTGATTTTATAGTTTGAGCAGATTCAAACGATTTTGTTACTAAATGTTCCCATTTAGTTAATGCAGCGTCGTTCGATTGTATAAATTGATTTGGTATGTAGTTTACTATGACTTTACGTAAAATGTTTGGATCTATACGTGGTCCATATTCAACATAATGTTGCTGGGCAGCAATAATGGCTAAATCGTTTTCTGAATCACATCGGTATTCTCCGAATTTTACACCTTTGGCCACTTGGTGATAAATTAAATTAGTAGCAACTGCATCATCGACTGGGTTGTGCCAAGGAGTAAATATTTCTTTCCGGTAAAAAAGCCTCCAGGGAGCATTTTTCTCAGGAGTGCCTTGTTCTTTAGCAAATTGTTCACACTGGGAAATTGCATCCATTATATGTTCTCCTTCACTTCCCAAAGAGAGAACTTTATCGTACAAAGTTATGTACAATGAGAAACCAAAAACATCAGTTAAACATATATTTTCTGCAATTTGCTGACAGATTTCTTCTGAAGTTGTTGCGGAATCGGATTGAATAGTCTTTATTGATTCGTCCATTAAGGTTACCGTCAGAATTATTGGTTTTTTCGTTTTTGTTGCTTGTAATTCTAACCAACTGGGCGGTTGGGTTCGAGAACCATTCTTAAAAGTCCGTGAAAGTCTAGCCTCACAATATGGTGCATAACCAGGCGGACCTCCACGAATAAAGGCTCGCAAATACTTGACAAATCTCTCCGAAGGCGAGAAGCAACCGACACATAGAGACATTAATATCCAGCCACGAGCGTGTGATGCTTTTGAAGGATTATTAGAAAGTTGCTTACATATTTGACAGAATATTTCGTCCCTGAAACAAATTACAACGGTTTTTAATAAAACTAAATAGTAAGTTACTTATTACGTTTCATTGAAAAGATGCTATGTGTGATGCTCGTATAAATAGTAATAATAATCCTGGCCAATTAACATATCGCTTCCTAATCCCACTATAAGCAGAGCTTGTGTTATGGATACTAGACAACTGATACCAATATTTAGGTAACTTTTTTGTAAATACCTACAGAGGTACATAATATACATAGAAATCACCTACATAGACCGATACAAAGAATCATAATCATGAATAATAATGAGTTTGCATTGTGCTAGGAATCGAACCCGCGACCATCGAAAGTAAAGCTGTTTGTTAATCTCTAGACCACGTCTTGAAGTATAGATGTATAAATGTAGCCTTTATGAAGCCGTCTAGTAGTACAGATGTATAAATGTAGTCTTTATTAATTCATGACATATTGTAAATACCTTAGTTCTTTTCTAATAATACCATGGCCAATTATAAAGTGAAGTTTTTCTAGATTTGAACTTCGTACAGAATTTAACCATTTATTATACATTTCAATAGTCATTTCGTCATTCAATAAACTTTTCATCAGTTGTTCATTTAACTTTGTTTGTTTCTTTAGTGTCATATGTATCATTTTCTTGTTACTTGTGTTGCCCTGATGACTCAAAAGTTCCTGTAAAATAATGTGATATTTACTACTTAAATATAACAAATCAGTAAAGAGTTGATAAAGTTTAAAAATAAAAAAAAATACTCTAATGAAGAATAAAGCAACAATATACTGTAAGTACCTATTCTATTTAGTCACAAAAATATTTACAAATTGTGAGAGCAGAAAAAAAAATCAAAATATGAATGGATGGATGTCGTATTAATCTTTATTTACCTCAAATTCCTTGCTCTTCTGGAACGCACGTCCCACTGTATTTGAAAGTTTTGTCATAACAGGAACGTTGTCAACCTTATCGTCAACATATCTAGGTTCTGGCAAGTCTCCCATAAATCTTAATATTGTGGTCCATAAAGCAAGAGAAGCTTCTTTGTCGACTGGAGACGGCAATTCTAAAAGTGAATTTTTCAATTGTTTTCTAGAATATTGATAGTTTGTATTTCCTAGAAAGTACGTGGCGGCAAATTTTCTGAAGTTGTACTCATCAAAGGATTCTTCTTCAACGTCTTCTGGAATTGGTATTGCTTGACCTTCTGGTTTAGGCGTAGATGTCTAAAAATATAAATTTAGATGTAGCATTCACATAGGTAGGTATATGAAATTGAAACTTTATTCATAATTAAATACCCAACATCACTATTAAAGTTTACGATGATTATCATTATATTATTATGCATGTTGTGTACATAAGTAATTCTACATTTAGACCATAAACCATTCACAAAAAAATATTTGTCAATTATTAAATATATTTGTTTATCAATAATTATACACAATTAAATAATTGTATTATTAACAATATCTTAATACATTAATGTATATTACAATCTTAATTATCTGCATTTAATATCGAATCATTACTAACCACGCCAAATCCCATACCACGTACGGTTCCACCTGAAGTTGCGGAATCTTTGAGGAATCCAAAAACATCATCCACATATTTGTCATCAATCACAGACAAATTTTGAGCATTATCAGTATTATTTTCTTTCGCAATCCAAATAGTTTTCATAAAATCATTAACATCGTTTTCGTAATTGTCTTCAACAACATTGACGCTAAGTATACCTGCGCGTAGTGCCACTTCCTTCTCTTTATTCAATTCTGCCAGTTTTGCTTTGATAATTTCACCCTTTTCTTTAACAATTTTTCTAACAAGATATCCTTTGCAGTGTGCTTGAAATTGCGATAAGAATTTTCGCAAATTAACGAAAGTTTTTCTCAAGACTCTAGATCTAATGGCAGCCTGTAAACGTAAATAACCTCTTCTCATAATAAGGTATCTCTGTCTGTATCCACGAGCACGGTAATGCTTTTGAATATTAATGGCAGCTTCTCGCAATCTTAGAAATCGTTTTCTAAGCAAAAATCTCCTAGCGTTTGCTTGCACTTTTATAACCGCCGTTATCACCACTTTATGTCTCAATTCCTCAAGCAAGAGGTCGTGGCTATCTTTGAGGAATACTTTCGTGTGCCCCAAACGAAATTCATTATCTTTTAATATTTGGCTACAAATTTTTTTAGCAGCAACTTTACAATCTGTTTTCTCTGCTGGTGGTACATTGGGTACTATAAGACGATATCGATATACAAACTCATAGTATGAGTATCTAACAGGGTATCCAGCTTGTCGTATTTTTGCAGTTTCCATCAATCCAGCATATCTAAGTTGACGCACACATAATTCTCGATCTAAAATCTAAATAAAAATATTTATAGGCGCTTACTTATTTAAAATTAAATAAAATTAAAGTTATATACACGAGTTCATTCCTAAGAGAGATATAGCATAATCTGTTATTCACTTTTCATATAACTATCAATTAAGTTGCTATTGAATTTGAAAATAATTTTAAGTATTGATTTCTTTCAAGTTTAATAGTTATTTATATGCGCGTGTTGGCGACAATGATGTCCAAAGTAATTTCTTATGAAAAATCTAAATCTTTTTGTGGGATTTATAGATGTACATATTATCTAACATAAACGCTATCATTATCGAATAACAGAAAAGGAGATATCTCTATTAGGGTGTATCATAGACTATTCTTTAGAATACCTTGGGCTTTTTAAATTCATTGGGTTTAATACATCGAACAAAGAATGGATGGCATGCATACAACGTCTTCATCAGTGACTCTAAAGAGGTCTTAAATTGATGACTCAATGATACTGCCTTTCTATTCCCGCTTTGTATAGATACGGAATCGATGCTGAACAATTTTTTCAAAAAGGAATTGCCTGAATCTAATATCATCTCTTTAATATCAGCGGTTAACATGTCTCTATTTTTGTCCAAAAACCCTGGAAATTCAAATTAATTACGTACATATTTTACTGTAAGTAGATATTGTCATAACTATTTACATAAACACTGTATTAATATACTATATATTACAATCTACTAGTTATCCATTAATAATTACTATAGATAAGCTATTATCATTATATTAATACATATTACAATCTCACCTTTTACTTCGTATTGTACATTTCCAGCAAAGTGTTTTACACCAAATACATGTTGGTGTGTTGATTTTGGAGCTATGTAACAAGCTTTATTACTGTGGTTGCTATGAAGTTTGTCAAGTAATGTCAAATCAGTGCCTTTTGGAAATCTTGATTCCTCGTCTATGAGTGATAGTAAATTCATAGGTTTCAATCCAATCATGTCTAAATTTTCTTGGTTATCCACATAATTGATATTAGTCCAAGTTATGCCTTCCTTTTCATACTGCTCTTGTTCAAGTTTAAAAATATGTTTCACGAAAAACTGCTGCAAATTCTCGTTTGCATAGTTGATACAAAGCTGCTCGAAACTGTTTGTTCCAAAATTTTCAAATCCAAAAATATCCAGAATGCCAACGGCATTGCTCGATAACTGCTGATCCTTATGTAACGTTTTATTTATTACTGTAACTATGTATTCAAAAATGTGTCCGTAAATCGCTTTAACAAGGGCGTCTCTACCGTCCAAGGCTGCTGAAATATTTATATTAGAGACAACTTTTTCTCCGTGTGCTACAAACGTTTTTCTAGTTAAAGATTCGCATAGAACAGATTTGTTCACGCCAAGGAGATTTGCTATTCTTGTTGCATTTATCATATCTGCTACTTCCGATGACTCTATATTATTTACGCTAAAACTTTTGAATTTCAAATTCCCCAAATGAAGAATTGCGGAGAGCAGGCTGAATATAGTCCATACTTCAGTGTCAGAAAAGTTAAGAACTTTAAACGCGGACCTTATATCAGCAAATTCATTTCTGTCATTACGGCCCTGGCATGTAACCATATTTCCGGAATTCAAGTAATAGTAGTCGGTCGAGCGTCCTAATTCTAATTTCTTTTTTTCTTCGGAAGATAATCCTTCAACCAGTGAATAAAAAATGTGGTAGTTCCTTTCGCCTTGATTTTGAGATACGATACGTGATTTCTCCAAAAGATACTGTTCTATATTTCCACCTTCAATTATACCTTTTCTATTGAAATATATGTTAATATATTTCCCAAATCTGGAAGAATTATCATTCTTGACTGTCTTAGCATTGCCAAAAGCTTCGAGTATTGGATTAGTTTCTTGAATTTGTTGTTCAATCCATGAATGCTTTCCACTAGCTGCAGCCAGATATTGTAACAATAATTTAGTACTTTCAGTTTTACCGGCTCCACTTTCTCCGCTGAAAATATTATTTCACGGTATAAGTTTACATTTAATGTTTAGTCTGAACTAAAGTTTAGTTAACTAATAATCATAGTTAACTAGGAATTATATTAAAGTGATATAGGAAATCTTAGGTTTAACTAAACCGCCAGGGCCGTAATGTATATCGCAGAATACATAAATATCATATTTGACCTAACTAGGTCAAATATGATATTTATGTATTCTGCGATATATTTAATTACCCAAATCAGTATGTTAATTATGATGACCTTTAATTCTTTACAGAAGGGAGTATCACATATAACACTAATAAATAAATACTCGTATATACCTGATGACTATGCACTGATTTGCATTGCTATCTTTCAGTTCTCTATATGAATTTTCTCCGATGGCAAAAATGTGTGGAGGTAGAACATCTCCGTCTTTTATCGTTTGGTAGAAATGTATTTGGTCCATTGTATATATAGGCAATATTTCGTAGGGATTTATTGCTATTAACATTGATCCCGTATATGTCTGAAAAATCAGAATTTATGACGTTAAAAAGAAATTTTTAGATAATTTACATAAAATATTGTAACAAACAAACACAAACTTCACCTCTCTATAATATTAGTATAGATGTTACCTATATCTATACTTCCTAATGTTACAAAGAGGTAAAGTACTATATCTATATAAATACGACATATTTATAATCTATTTAATTATATTTTATTAACGTACATATATTAGCTGCTGATTGTATCGTATGTGAAGATTACGTAGAATTGTGTATTCTTGAAGTTCACCTAAGGTGATCATATCCTCAACCCCAGTTACTGAAGTTGCATGCAAAGGTTTCAAGACGTTTTTAATGGACGTCGTGAACACCTTGCCGTCATCATCGCGTACTTCCAAATCATTACCGTTGTTTTTTAGAACCTTTACAGATACAGGAACATCGAATTCTGAATTACTCTGCGGTTTTATCCAAACCAAATCCTGAAACAGAAAAATATTGGACGCTTTAAATCATTTCAAGTCAAAATTGACTGCTGTCCATAGAAACATTAAATATTTTTTTATCATACGCGGTATTTATAACTTCATTAGTTTGGGTTTTAATGCCTACTTGATAAGAACTACAAAATATAAGTTAAGCGTGACATACCTAGATTATAAATTTTGCACATTATTGCACTGTGTCTTTGTTATCTATTCCTATGTAGGTACTAATTTGCTTACGTAAAAGTTTTAATTTTCAAATCTTTATCGAGTACCTACATAGAAATATTTGAGTTTCCTTTGATTGTAATCGCCATTAACAACACATGAGCATTTTGCAAGTAGTTAAAAATTATGGTTGTGGCGAGACAGTTTATCTTATAACTAAGTTTGATCTTAATATGATCATATGTAGGTATCGACATAGATATTGGTTTTACTTTAAAAGAAAATCTATGTCGCATACATATGGCATCACGCATAACGCATCACGATAATTAATTATCAGAAAGACTTGGCTGTAAGGATTGGATTACCCTTTTTTACTGATTTATTATTATTAACCCTCTAATGAGCAACCAGCATACCCAAATTTATGGGAGCACTACGTAGGTCCGTACTAATTGTGGAAAAATTCGTTTCTAAAATAGAACCAAGAGAGTATCGAAGACTAGACCTTTTAGTGCAATTAGTGCAAAATTCAAATGAGCGATACATCGGAGAGGCAGCCTAGATTCTCTTATTTACCACCATAACCTACAGGTTTTATATGGCGGTAAATAAAAGAAGATAACATTATTACACGTAGGCGTAGTGACTACCTACCTACCAGTGTCCACCTAAACCACCAACAATATTAGAGTTGGGATATTTATTTGTTTAAAATAATTATTTCAACTCTAATATTGTTGGTATACATAGGTAAATGATCCTGTAATGAGAATTCTCTCTTAAACCTTATTATTTGATTTTTTTTAGCCGTAAAAGAATCTGTAAATGCTGAATACGGCGCCTACTTTACCGGTAGGTACTATAGTAGGTGTACCTACAAGTACTTAGTCTGCGTATAGCCAACAATTTTATCTCACTAGTACTATTAGTCACTATAGTCCGAGGTAGGTATCTATTATTCTAATTAACCTGTGGTTATCGTAATATCCTAGTATCTATGGTGAATTCCTTTACATTGTAAAAATAAAATCCACTACTTATCAATCTACCTACCAATATAAATTTATCAAAAAAGTCAGAGGTAGGTATGATCTCAGTTTTTATCGATATCTATACAATGGACATTGAACAAATATTTTTAGTTATAAAATTTAATGAGTCGTTCACAGCTTCTATGATTAAGAAATTGAAGCTCTATGATGTGAGGGAAAGTTATTAATATTACAAATAAAGGATATTAAAACTTACAGCTAACTGAATTTGGCGAGCCATTTTTGCACTGATGAGATTCACTTCACATAACTAAAAACATTGTCCGTCCTACATTCACTTTCAGTTACAACTGTCCGTCTTATCAAATAGATTCGCTTATCACAATCAACTGGGGAAGCGCACCGTTGAAGCTTATCAGAAATATTTCGGAGATAATCTGTAATATTATACTTATTTATGTATGTTTTAGGTGAATTAAGTACGAAATTAATTACCAAGGTACTGCTATAATAATAATAATTATCTAAAGAGATACAGTATTAATAATAATAACTAACGAAAATTCACACAGCGTCATGTAGTCCCAAGTAAGCAAAACTTGTTTTATTACTACTACTAGACTACTACGTAACTGATATCAAGGGTACTAGCCTACTGATATTAATAAGTACTTAGATATTTTTTAAAATGCATACATAATAAATATATATAGAAAACGCCCATTCCAATACCAATGAATACAAATATTTTAATCGTGCGAAGTATCGAATCCGCGACCATCGAAATCAAACCGCTAGACCACCGCGGCTGCCGAAAGTATTTCCATGGAGGTTTGCTCTGCTATGAATGGAAAAAAGAAGTTAGACACTTTTATTAGAGATTGATCTTATTATTAGATTGATACTCTGCTAACAAGAACATCTTTTGTATCCTCTAGATTTTCCTATTTTCTTCTTGGAAACAATTTGCAAAATATATAGAAAACAAGAATCCTTTCTGAATTTGATAAAAAAAAAAAAGTATAATTAGTTATTTTTTTTCCATTGATAAACGTAATCATCTCTATCATCATTATCTATTCAATCCTCCATTCCATCAATGCGATTACGTAGATTTAATTTCTGCGATTTTTGATAACATACTGTTTTGATAATCTTGTTCAATTTTTTGTAGATGTTGAGGGAATTGCGAGTATGCCGTAATAGTGTACGTTGGTGGGACTCTAGCGGAGATGGAATGAGGATCATAGCAAGGTCAATAAAGTCATGGAAACCTAAATGACTAGGTTTCCATGAGGATCAAGTGGATCCATTAAACTATATATGAAAAAGCTTAAGTAACACTTTTTTATGCATTTGAAATGTTAAACTGATAACTACTGATAGTTTCTGGTAACTGCTGGTAACCATCGCTTAAATACTTATATGAACAGGACCATGAATACCACAATATCAAATGAGGACCGTGATACCATAATTACATTGGATTGCGGAGAACTAAGGTTTCATGCTTCTAGTCTGCCATTTTACAGCGACTTTTTACAAAATCTTGGAATAGTAATGTTCTCTATTCTATTTATTTATTTATGTTGCCTTGAATGTGGTACAATAGTTGGCTTTAAAATTGTCCCTCACATTTAGTCCTCACTGACATGCAATGGATAATTAAATTTTGTCATTAACAAATTTTATTATTAACTTGGGTAGAATTGTCACATATGTAGCAAAGTATAAAAACTATGTATATAGACTAATCTTTTGTCATTTAGAATTTGTCATTTAAAATTTATGTTACCTACTCAGTACATTTACTAGTGAATAAAAATGTGATTCACATTAGTAAACACAGTTTATTTAAAAATAATTCAGCATTACATTGAAAACTTAAACCTAATTTCTCTAATTAAAAATTACTTTTTCTTTTCCTCTTTTTCTTTCTTCTCTCCTTTCACTTTGTCCTCGGTTTTTTTATCATCTTTGTCATCCTTTTTCTCTTTTTTATCTTTAGATTCCTCTTTTTTTCCTTCTTCTGCATCTCTATTAGTAATTTTATTGTTGATAAGGTTGTGCAATGCTATTATTGATCTTACAAGTGCAGCAAGATACACCACAAGACTCTGGTCATTAGTCTTGATATAAAGGTTATCAACAAAGTTATCATTAGCAATATCAGGCAAAAGATTAAATATATCTTGCAGTTGATAAATGATTTGATGATTCATTGGCAAAGACCCTTGACCAACTTGTATTAAATAATCTCGGATCTCATTCAATTGAGAGTGAAGGCCTCGTAATCCGAGTAACTGATTTGTTATACGTTGAGAAAGGCTACCAACTGTTGTATCCTTGATATCTCTTAAAAGATGTTCAACACCAACTTCTTCTGCTTCCTCAGCACCAATTTCACTAGGTACATGCTCAAAAGTTCTTGTAGTAGGACTGCCATCATCATGTACCTCTTCTACTGCCTGATAAGCTTCAGTGGGTAGACCCAGATCTTTGGGTTTAGCATCAATAATGACAAGTACTGAATTTGGACAGTAGCGTCTGATTAGTTCATTGATGGCCACATCATTCTGATGAAGTTTAGGGCCAGTGTGATACCAGCCCACAACTTTCTCACGAGCATTCACCTTCTTAAACATACCGTACATATTCTCCAAGTAATCATGGTCCAGAAACCATACAGATTTATCTTTGTCATCCTCATCAAAAGGAACTGAAAATGAAATATTTTTATAATTAGTTATAAATAACAATAATGGAATAATTTTTTTAGACAACCCAAATTAACTGGAAATCAGCTTATAGTTCACAAGATGAAAGTTACTATGTATTACTATGTACTATGATTAACACAATAACACAATAATCTATAAACAATGGACTGCATTGGGCATGATACCTGTGATTTTAGTTGCTATTATTAAATTTCTATTCATCCCTCAATTTCACTATCATGTCAGAGAGTGCAAACAAACACTTTGATAACAATAATTAGACGAAATAGGTATATTTACAAAATTACTATGTGGATTTATTAAAAGTAGTATATACCTAGAACAACTTAAATTCCACCTTCATCATATCCCAGCATGACAAAACGTTAAATATGGACTCACCTGCAAAACTGTTAGACACGTCGAGAACACCTTTAGCTCTCCAACAGCCCAGAAGTACGCCAACAACTCGTTTCTGGTTACCAATTTTGCCCATTCGGTTAAAGTGGTCCACGACACTCAGCAGAACAAGTGGGTGAACCACAACCTTTGTGGTAACAATTTCTTGACTAGGCATTATTCAGATTTCCTATTTGGATACTGTATAGAATTCTAAATAAATTATTAAAACGATTTATTTCTTTTTAACTATATTATCAAAGAACTAACGAAGAAAAAGGAAGCAAGTCATCAACAACAAATAAAATTTTGACAGTCATTCTCTTACGATTATTGACAGTGACGTTAGTAGTCACAGATAGCATGTTAGCTTTTAATCTGTATATTGACTCTATGGTGTGTACACAGAACAATAAATTATTGTAGTTTAAATGGTACATCCGCCTGCGCTGATGTTGGTGGTGCTCCAATAGAGGATGGCAAATCCACCAGGTACACCGCGTGGAGGTTTACCTTAAAGGTTTATTTTGGCGTTTTCTATGGTGAGCAGTAGTATTTTATTCTCATATTGAAGGAAAATTTAACCTTATTATTCAACATTATCGCAAGAAATGGTCATATAGGAGTTGGTCTCTTTCGCACTGCGGTGTTACTGTAGTAAAAAAAATCACATTTACCGTATTTCACAATGATAACAGTTTTAATATATGAATATAATCAGTTTACTAATTAATAATAGGTCACTTTGCTTATTTTTATGAAAACTGGTTATTATTATAATGAAAACCGGAAAAAAAGTAATTGACTATTATTTTTTTAATTTTAATATTGTGCTTTACATCTCTGGATGATAAATTTTATTTTAACAACGTGTTGCCATTGTTACATTAAAGTAAAATGAAACAATGAAAATCAGTATTAATTGAAGATAATTATTTCAAGTTACTCCTTTATAATAAATCAAAATAATGATTTAATATTACACATTTATTATGTAAATTGTTTTATTTTGATGATCGTCAGACATCGCTATTCAGCCTTTGGACTTGCTTATACTTACTTTAGTCTTTGGGCTTGCAAAACTTATTTGGCAACACTGTTTCCTATAAAAACGAAAATCTATTTATATTTATTTCATTTGAAATTTGTTAACACATTTTTTTATCTCACAATTTGGTATTAAGTTTTTTTCATTGAACATGTACGATTAATACATGCAAATTCTAAAAAGAATGGCGACCAAAACACTTACGTTTGTTACGGGTAATGTGAAGAAATTAGAAGAGGTTAGGGCTATACTCGGTAATAACTTCCCTTTGGAAGTTATAAATCATAAACTGGACTTACCGGAATTACAAGGAGAAATCGATGAGGTGTCTATCCAGAAATGTCAAGAAGCTGCTCGCCGCCTTAAAAAACCTGTGATTGTAGAAGATACATGTCTTTGTTTTAGAGCATTGAATGGACTTCCCGGGCCATATATCAAATGGTTCTTAGAAAAATTAGGACCTGAAGGACTTATTAAACTTTTAGAAGGATGGGAAGATAAATCTGCTGAAGCAGTTTGCACGTTTGCTTATTGTGCTGGCGATGAAGCATGTGAAGATGTTAAGATATTTCAAGGAAAAACCCAAGGAACAATTGTGCCTCCCAGAGGATCGAGAGATTTTGGTTGGGATTGTGTCTTTCAACCTGACGGTTATGATAGAACATATTCTGAATTACCAAAGGAAGAAAAAAATAAAATATCTCATAGATATAAGGCACTAGATAAATTGAAATCATACTTCATGGAAACCTCTTGATTTTTTATTTCTTGTTAAAATATTATTTAATTCATCATCGAATTAACTATCTTAGTATGTTGTAAGCTCTCTGGTTCAGAAGGAAATATTTTGTCTCTAATTTTGAATGTGACCAAATTTCTAAATAGCAATAGTTATATATCTTTTAAACCAGGGTTATAGGAGTAATTGATTTACCACCTGTTACATGTAGAAGTACAAAATGTTAACTATTTTGATTATTCTTCATAATTTAATTTGGTTAATTGGAATCTATCCTACTTTTTAAAAAATCTGACTTCAACCTCTACTTCCTGTACCTGCTCTCTCCCAGTCCCTTTACATTACTTCCACTACAATAGTAAATGAGGCAAAGCACTCTCTCACTTTATATTCCATCTATATCAATGACCATAATTTATTACAATATAAAAATTTGCATTATAAAACAAATGAAGTAATGAATTATAGGGATAAGGGGTCATTGCAAATTGATATAAATCAGAGCATTATTGTTTTATTTCATAAAATAATCAGCTATTATTACATATATCATTAAAATACAAAAGTGCATAAATCAAACTCCTATTTAATAGGACTTTCTTTATGGCTGCTTGAGTTTAATACATTACTTCTCAATATTCCATACCAAATTCTCTTTCAACCATCATTATCAAATTCCTTCTTTTTATTTAGTCCTACCTTTTCTTCCTAAGTGAATATGGCAGTAATTTTAAGATAAAATGGTAATAATTAATATGAGATTTCAATTCCTTACCATCTACCTACTTTTTACCATTACAATGTATTGCCAAAACATACAAACTAAAATATTTTTTTCAATGTTACCAATAATGAGGAATACTTAAATGTTATAGTTAAATAAAAATTAAAAAATACATTATTTATTTTATTAAACTAATTTATTTTATAATACTAAATGCTTTCCCTTCGAAATGGCAACTTTAAAATGCACATGGAAACACCACTCATTACTCAATTATTTATCATTTGAAATTGTAACGAATCTTAATTTTTACTTTAAAATAGACATGGATTGCAGACATATGAATAATAATGCTGAAAATTGACTCCACAACATCTTTTTTTTGGGACACGAGTTCCAATCTAAGCTGAGCTCGTGTTTTGAGTAAAACAAATGTAAAGGAATACACCCAGACGAATAAAAATGTTTGTACCAGGAATCGAACCCGAAATCATCGCGAAATAAGGCGGTGTGCTAAGCCGCTAAACGGTCGAGGCCGTCAAAATAGAAGAAAACTACATTTCATTTAAGATATTTTATTTAACTAATATATGTAAATTACATAGATATTGACACTAAACTAAAGAAATATTATTATTAGTTACTACTTAATATACTACGTATTATTTTAAGGTATTTAATAATTGTGCAGATACTACCAAATACTTAGATTGTCTGTGTATCAGGCAATTACGATATGGAGATTCGGTATATGCACATTGGTTATTCAACTTTAAACCCACTGTTTTTATTATTGCATTATTTTCTACATAAATATGGTAAATAAATCATTTCTAAGTAGGTATACTATCATATTTTTTGTGGATCTTCTAATGCAATGTAGAAGATATTTCATTTTTGTAGCTCATAGGTAGTTTCTGCAATAATGATTATTCCTGTCAATATAATATTTTCTGCGTCCTCTAATGTAATAACCAAAGAACAGCTAAGTAAGGCAATAATCAATAAGTACCAGATTTGCCTATGAACTATATAGCATATTCAGGGGTGCATCACTTATGGACATCAGTTATATGCTACATATAAAGTACACATCATATTTTTACCCAATGAATAGTTTACAAAATTACAGTTAAATTACGTAATGTATAAAATAATACAACGTAATGAATGATACAGATATGTTATTTAATAATCTAATACTGTTTGATGTTTGTACACCGGGTGCAATGTAGGGTGGTATATTTGTATTATTATAATTCTTATAATACCAGTCTTTATCATTAATTTGTCTCGTTTTGGTATTTCCTGAATTGGTTACATCTGAAAATCTTGTTTTAGCTTCCCTGTTAATAACTGGTGAATAATTACTGTCTTGAATGTCAAAATGAGATGCATGCGGCATATTCACTTTAGTAATAGTTGCCGGTCGCTTATAATTTGTAGTATAATTTTTCTTTCCTGCTTCTTCATTACTAGGTACTAATATTGCCGACAAAGCCGTTGGCTGATCATGTTCCACATGCTTCTTTATTATCGGTTTAGAGGTTACGGGCCTAGTAGAGTAAGCCTTGCTGCTTGTCTCTAGCCACGCTTGTAGTGACATGTCATTCGTAGTATCTGTAGTTATCAAAATGCCTTCCTTTTCAGTGACTTGAGTTATAGTTAGGTTTGATTCCATCAAATTATACTTGCTCAAATTATTAGGTTCTGTCTTTTCCTCTTCTATGTTTTTGGTCCTATTATAGGCTACGTGGGTGCTATTGTCATCATCAAGATATGCTTGGAGTTCATGAATTTCACTTTTTATTTTTTGATGAGTTGTACTATTGTGCATTTTGTTAATTGGTGGTTTGGTTGCGACAATTTTAATCGACTGTCCAATATTATCATTAGTACTATAATTATTTACACCTTGGTCACTGACACTTTTTTGTGATATATTGACTGTTGGATTAGGTATTGGTTTAAAACCACCCGCTGTAGTAGGTAACATTGGCGCAAATCCACCAGTTTCAAATTTCGGTGTTTCTGGATTTTGATATTTGTGTTGTGAATTTCTGTTCTCTGACCAATCTACTTTACGTCCATTATTCAATAATTTCCCCATATCAAGGGAAGGTAAAGGCATTCCGAAAAATGTAAAACCACTTGTAGGGTGTGATGGTACATTTGGTTTCACAGGATTCCTGTTTGTGGTATTTTTCATTTCCGCATAGAGTGTTGGTATACCTTGATTTTCATGAGATTTGTTACTTTGTATAAGATTTATATCATTATTTAAACCTTCTATTAAAGTCTCATTATAGGGATAATCAACGTATTCATCGTAAAAGTATTCAGATTCTTCTGGAGATGGTCTATTGTTTATCTTATTAACATGATAGTTATTCTTTATTTGAGTTGTGTAATCTTTTATTTTGTCAAGGGAGGAGAAGACTTGTGATGTCGCTAGATTTGGCAATAATGCTTCATTTTCATGGGTCAAACAAGACCTTACATCTTCATTATGTACTCGTACATTTGCACAATCATTTCGCGAAAATGGCATCATTTTTACATATGTACCATCAACACACTTTGGACCAACTGAGGTAGATTCAGATAACCAAGATTTGAACCAAATGATTCCACAATTGCAAATCAATGGATTTCCTGAAACAATATATTTAAACGACATCAGATGAACTTTCGAAATCTGAAAGTATAATGGCCTTATTTTTTTATAGCAATTCATTCGAATCAGTGGACATTAAACATGAATAAAATGATTCACAAATGTTTTGTATATAATTTTAAATTACCTAAATTAGTTAGATAAATGGAGGTAGACCCTTAGACTAGGAGTCTGTATATATATATATATATATATATATATATATATAAACACCTCTTTGGGCACTTTGTTGATCACGCCACAACCTACACACTTGCCGATTCCACCTTTTGCACTGAATAACTTGACTCCTATCGCGTATATCTCAGGCGGTATGGCAACGTCGCATTCTATTTTGCGATGTGGCCATATATATTCGTCGATAGTACGATATACTCGACACTTTTTTTACTAATAATTCGTGACTGAATGGCTCCGAACGGCTAAATTTTTGGTATACACAAAGACTTTTTGGCTCTGAATATATTCCAAAAATCAATTAATTATGTTGATCACTTTATATACTCGTCCTTACTGCGATACTTACTTTCATCCGAATATATATAGATACCGTAACGGTCTATCAATTATGACTTTATTAATTTACTAATGTAGATATTTTATATTCGCAATGCTCCATACATGCAAGCTCCAGCAACGGTGGAGGCAGGGTCCCCCCTGCACCGTACACCGCACCCCGCGCACACAAACAAATTAGATATTTTTTGAATACACAAAGACTTTTTGGCTCTGTATATATATTTCAAAAATCAGTTAATTGTGTTGATCACTTTATATACTGGTCCTTACTGCGATACTTATTTTAATCCGAATATATATAGATACCGTAACGGTCTATCAATTATGAATTTACTAATCTAGATATTTTATATTCGCAATGCTCCATACATGCAAGCTCCAGCAACGGTGGAGACAGGGGGAGCACCGTACACCGCACCCCGCGCACACAAACAAATTAGAATAAATTAAATTCATAAGATTATTTATATATTTCGACTGCCTCGGTGGTCACACCGCTTTACATCCGATGGTCGCGGGTTCGATTTCTCGCACGATGCAAACATTTGTACTCATCGGTCATCGATTGTTTTCATCGGTCTGGGTGTTTTATATGTATATTATATATGTATTTACAAAATAAAAATATCTATTTATATCAGTTCAGTATCAGTCTGGGTTAATTGTCCAGGGTTATTTATTATATTTTTATAAACGGTTATCTTTTTCCATCGCACCGCTCGCTATCGACAGTGAATTCATAGAAATGTCACTCTAAAAACAAAAATAGTTTTGTGTTTTGTATTTCAAATACTAAATGCAAAATAGGTATTTTCAAAATACTTTTTAAAAATTAAGTACCTTTTGAATTTTTGTCCAAACCTCAGATATTTTATTTATTTTAGGTATATCAATCATTACATAGTAATATAAAAACAAAGTCGCTGTCGCATCTAACAGTACATAAACAAAGAAAGAAGACTTTGGCTCTGATACCGTAACGGCCTATGAATTATGAATTTATTATACCTAATCTAGATATTTTATATTCGCAATGCTATGTACATTGTAATATCCGCCTCCATTCATTGTAACGGTGGAGGGACTAAATAGTTGAATAAAACTGAATAAGCAGTTGCTCCACTCTATAGGTACTGCGTCGTCGTCGTATGCTGTTCATTTTTTCACTCGTTTTGGCGCCAAGAGAGGGTCACATAGTCGTGGTCAAGTTAAGAACTTATAATTTAATTTTGATAACAATAGATACAAGTAAAAAGTAGGTATTATATTAATGTACGTAAGTACTGTACTTAAAAATATTTATTCTTTACTGTATGTACATTTGAAAAACTTAACACTTAAGGACTTGTACATATACACGTACATACTGCCATTTTCTCTTAAAGACATCCAGAGAAGCACTATTTATCAAATACGCGGGGTGCACCGACCTTTGACCTTATAACACCTGATTCGCGCGTAACGAATTACATTGCTACTTTTTGGTATTTTATAGTGGATATGTCACTATAAAATATTATTATTTCTTTAGATTATGACATAATAACATATAGTTTACATGATTTTAAGGGAAACATACGATAAAAAAAATCCCGTAAAATGTAAAAGATAAAAAATGGTTATTGTTGGTTATCCTTAAGAGATAGACATATACCATCACGGACTTTTTTGTTGACCTTATTTTGATACATCTCAAAGCACTAGACAACACGCATTTTCATTAAACAGTATTGTATTTTTTTATTTCTTTAACTTTAATGCACAAAAAAATTTGTACATGTGGCGGACTTAATATTTTGCCGCGTTATTTACCAGGCAACCATGAGTGGTGCAGCGAAAGATTATTGGCGGTGCACTAATATAAATAAGAAATGTCAAAAAAAGATTTATAAAGATAATAAAGATAAGCAAAATATACATTTCTATAAAAAAATAACAATATACATACATAAATATATATCTAAATATAACCCATAAATGTATAAATATTATATATAAGTAAATACATAATGATCCGATAATCAAATTATAAGTACAGTCTCAAATTGAAAGTAAGAAAATCAGAAAATATAGAGAGAACTATATGGATATAACAGAAAGATGTGAAAAAAGGAGAAGGACAGTAAAAAAGTTACAAATTTAAATAATGTTCCCGCAATTTCTGTTTAAATGAATTTATTACATTATTATATATATTAGGCATACGACTAGCCTTATGACTGTTACTTTTTTTTTTAATCTATACATCTATACATGTAAATAAAATTGGAGTGTCTGTTTGTAATATTGAAATAACCGTTTTTTACTACTTGCATATGAATATAAATACGGTACATACACCAAAATAACATATTTTACAAGTTTTGTCTGTCTGTCTGTCTGTTTGTTCCGGCTAATCTCTGAAATAGCTGGACCGATTTTGACGGGACTTTTTTTGGCAAGTAGCTGATGTAATAAGGAGTAACTTACGCTACTGTTATTTTAGAAAAATAAAATAAAATTTCACGCGGACGAAGTCGCTGGGGCCAGCTAGTCTATAGATATACCGAGATTTAATGTTTAAGTTGCTATTATGTTGTTGACAAAATTTTACTGTAATGTTACTATTACGTTATCCTACACAATTTGTATTATTTTGGATGAATAAATAAATAAATAAATAATAATCTATACATCTATACATTTAATAAAAATTGGAGTGTCTGTTTGTAATATAGAAAAAACCGTTTTTTACTACATGCATATGAATATATATAAGGTACATATACCAAAATAACAATTTTTATAATTTTTGTCTGTCTGTCTGTCGGTCTGTTTGTTCCGGCTAATCTCTGAAATGGCTGGACCGATTTTGACGGTACTTTTTTTGGCAGGTAGCTGATTTATAAGGAGTAACTTAGGTTACTTTTATTTTAGAAAAATAAAGTTAAATTCCACGCGGACGAAGTCGCGGGAACACCTTGTTTTTAATAAAAACATCTTTTTTGTGGTACTTGAGAATGTTGAAGCCTGTTGTTTGTAATATTGAAATAACCGTTTTTTACTACTTGCATATGAATATAAATACGGTACATACACCAAAATAACATATTTTACAATTTTTGTCTGTCTGTCTGTTTGTTCCGGCTAATCTCTGAAATGGCTGGACCGATTTTGACGGGACTTTTTTTGGCAGGTAGCTGATGTAATAAGGAGTAACTTAGGCTACTTTTATTTTAGAAAAATAAAGTTAAAAACCACGTGGACGAAGTCGCGGGAACAGCTAGTGTATAATATATTAGAGATACCTACGTGTTTTTTTATTGATGACTAGCTGTACACGGGATTTCGTCCGTGTTGAATTTAACTTTATTTTTCTAAAATATAAGAAGTTAAATTCCACGCGGACGAAGTCGGGTGTACAGCTAGTTGTCGGTAGTCTAGCGATTTAGCTAGCACACTGCTTTGATTCCTGCTTGGTGGTCGAGGGTTCGATTCCTCGCACGCTGCAAACATTTGTATTCATGAGTATGATTGTTTGTAACGGTCTGGGTGTTTTCTATGTATAGATAATATATATGTATTTACGAAAAAAAATCTTTGTATTTATATCAGTACCCATAACATAATCTTCAGCTAGCTTAACTTGGGTCTAGATGAAGCTGTGTGAATTGTCCTGAGATTACTATTATTACTATAATAAATCTTTTCAAATCAGCCGATGTTTATTTTTGCCATAATACGTGCTGTTACCATGTGATAATATTACGTACGTACTTATTAAACTATTAACTTATTATTAAATTGTTTGTAACGGTCTGGGTGTTTTCTATGTATAGATAATATATATGTATTTACGAAAAAAATCTTTGTATTTATATCAGTACCCATAACATAATCTTCAGCTAGCTTAACTTGGGTCTAGATGAAGCTGTATGAATTGTCCTGAGATTACTATTATTATTAATTGGTACACAGGTAAACTACTAACTAGGCCATATTGGTGTTGTTTGTTATGGTGAAAAAACTAGTAGGTATATATATAAGTTACACGTACAATTTCAAAGACTTATTTCTTGAAAACTACTGGCTATTCTGAAATAAAACTTTAGTGTTTGTATATGTAATGTTTGCATATAAAATATGATTAAAGGTTACCAGTGTATTTACACTTTTACTGAACAAACAGAGTTGTTTAATACTGAAAATATTGTGTGGAAGGCATCAATTACTTTCAGTGCATGTATAGCTTTTCTCTTTTCCTAATTATTATTATTATTAAGTTTAAAGTGGTTGAATTTTACGTAAGGGGTTTTTATACATTATTTCTAATGTACCATTTATTTTAAGTTTTTTAAACTCTATTCATCGAGACCTATCTAATGAGTCCAAACACGATATTTCTGCTGTAAGTTTTCGAAGAGTATGTTCATCATCTGATAATACTGGTGCCAGCATGAAGTCAAGGTTAACAGATAACTAATTACTTTTATTTCGTCAAAATCTTTAGATTACGTATAATAAATTCATAATATCGCTACCTATTCAAATCAAAACAAGTATTAGGTACTTCATGTACTAGTATATAAATTCATCAACACACAAGTAAATGATTTTTAAATATATTCAGAGCCAAAAAATCTTTGTGCATTTAAAAAAAATGCCGATACGGATTCACTATTGCAGGAAATTGTTGAAAAAATATATATCGAGTATAAGTATCTACTACTATCAACGAATACATTTGGCAACAACGCATGGTCTCGGCCGGAACGGCAACATCGCATATTAGAATACAAAGATAGTGATAGAAAGAGAGAGACAGTGGATCAGCAATATCTACGGATCGTGGCTGGATCAACTAAGTGTGCAAGTGTATATAAATATATATATATATACATTTGTCTTTAATTCAAAGGAAATATAAATAATGAACGCATCACATTTAAAACAGTATAAATAGTTAATAATTTAATAATAAGTTAATAGTTTAATAAGTACGTACGTAATATTATCACATGGTAACAGCACGTATTATGGCAAAAATAAACATCGGCTGATTTGAAAAGATTTATTATAGTAATAATAGTAATCTCAGGACAATTCACACAGCTTCATCTAGACCAAAGTTAAGCTAGCTGAAGATTATGTTATGGGTACTGATATAAATACAAAGATTTTTTTTCGTAAATACATATATATTATCTATACATAGAAAACACCCAGACCGTTACAAACAATCATACTCATGAATACAAATGTTTGCAGCGTGCGAGGAATCGAACCCTCGACCACCAAGCAGGAATCAAAGCAGTGTGCTAGCTAAATCGCTAGACTACCGACAACTAGCTGTACACGCGACTTCGTCCGCATGGAATTTAACTTCTTATATTTTAGAAAAATAAAGTTAAATTCAACACGGACGAAATCCCGTGTACAGCTAGTCATCAATAAAAAAACACGTAGGTATCTCTAATATATTATACACTAGCTGTTCCCGCGACTTCGTCCACGTGGTTTTTAACTTTATTTTTCTAAAATAAAAGTAGCCTAAGTTACTCCTTATTACATCAGCTACCTGCCAAAAAAAGTCCCGTCAAAATCGGTCCAGCCATTTCAGAGATTAGCCGGAACAAACAGACAGACAGACAAAAATTGTAAAATATGTTATTTTGGTGTATGTACCGTATTTATATTCATATGCAAGTAGTAAAAAACGGTTATTTCAATATTACAAACAACAGGCTTCAACATTCTCAAGTACCACAAAAAAGATGTTTTTATTAAAAACAAGGTGTTCCCGCGACTTCGTCCGCGTGGAATTTAACTTTATTTTTCTAAAATAAATGTAACCTAAGTTACTCCTTATAAATCAGCTACCTGCCAAAAAAAAGTACCGTCAAAATCGGTCCAGCCATTTCAGAGATTAGCCGGAACAAACAGACAGACAGACAGACAGACTAAAATTATAAAAATAGTTATTTTGGTATATGTACCTTATATATATTCATATGCATGTAGTAAAAAACGGTTTTTTCAATATTACAAACAGACACTCCAATTTTTATTAAATGTATAGATGTATAGATTATTATTTATTTATTTATTTATTCATCCAAAATAATACAAATTGTGTAGGATAACGTAATAGTAACATTACAGTAAAATTTTGTCAATAACATAATAGCAACTTAAACATTAAATCTCGGTATATCTATAGACTAGCTGGTCCCAGCGACTTCGTCCGCGTGAAATTTTATTTTATTTTTCTAAAATAACAGTAGCGTAAGTTACTCCTTATTACATCAGCTACTTGCCAAAAAAAGTCCCGTCAAAATCGGTCCAGCTATTTCAGAGATTAGCCGGAACAAACAGACAGACAGACAGACTGTACTATGCTATACTATGTATTGATTGATATACCTAAAATAAATATAATATCTGAGGTTTGAACAAAAACTCAAAGGGTAATTTATTTTGAAAAAGTATTTTGAAAATACCTATTTTGCTTTTAGTGTTATAGTACTTTAACTGTTATGTTTTAAGTAACAATGTTTAATTATAATTAATACTACTGCACCAACACTCCGATCGTGCAAAAAAATTTGCTGTTTCATTATTTTTTAGTTCAATTAGTGGTCTACCTAAGTTCTGGGCTAAGGGGGGGGAGAGTCATGACGCCCCCATGACTCCCATGACCTCCATGACGCTCCCCCCTGGATCCGCCGTTGCGTCTTCTCTTTATTCGCTCAGTAACGTTGTTACAAAAGAAAAGATTCCCATCCAAAAAATAACAAGTATTGAGGTTTGATCTGGAGTCACGTTACTCCAGACTGATTTCTATAAATATTTAGATTAGGTAGACTATTATTTTTGAAATACTAGCTAGACATTATTAAGTTACTGTAGCCATAATGTAGTAGCCCAAACGTGCCAATGAGGAAGCCCTTGGCAAATGCTGCACCCTGATTGGCCCGTTTGAATTGGATCAAGAACTGCTCGTATGCCAAAAAGGTGGATTTGTATAAAATCGTGTATAAATCGCTTAATTATTATTATTACTCGTCGTGACAGTTGTGGCTCAAAACGGATCAACATTTATATATGGTCAGCTGGCATTAGATCAACAAAAGGCCTCCGGATCAACAAGTGAAAAAGGATCAACAAAAAACTACCTATACGGCACGTCTGAGCCACAAAGTGCCCAAGGGGATATTTATATATATATATATATATATATATATATATATATATATATATATATGGTTATTTGACTGACTATATTTTTTGTAACAATATGTAATTACTTACCATCGATATCTAATATAGCAATATTGTTCCTTAAATTGCTGAATGTATCTTCGGCCACAAAACTCATCTTGTTATGTCGCAATGAAAGTACTTTCAGTCTCGACATAGAATCAAATGGTTGATCATTAATGTAACATATCAAATTATTATCCAAATTAAGTTCAACTAGCCACTCCATGTACTGAAAAGAGTTCTTTGTTATTTTTGTTAATTTATTAAAGCTCAAATCCAAGACTTCCAAAGATGTCAGCAACCTTAAACCTGAGTTATCAACATTTTTCAATTGATTGTTACTTATATTTAAGTACTGCACTAGAGGAATGTTTTCAAAAGCTCTTGGTGATATATATTGTAATCTATTTCCTTGTAATTCTATTATTTTTAATTTCGGGAGATTAGAGAATACATTATCAGGTAAATCTATAATATGATTTCTACTTAGATATAGAGATACTAAATTAGGTAGATTTACAATTGCTTTCGGATGAATAACTTCAATTTGATTTCCATCTAAATCTATTGTACTTAAGTCCCTTAAATCTTTAAAGCTTCCTGTACGTAACTCATTTACTTTATTGAAAGGCATTTTTATTTCCATTAATGATTGGATATTGTTTATAACATTGCCATCAAAATGTTTGATATGGTTGTAACTGGCATCTAGTATTTTCAACTTAGGCAATATATTTAATGTGACAGGTAATTCATTCAAATTATTAGAAGATATATTCAAAATCTCGACATCTAATGCTCTGTTTACAATATTTGGACTGAAACTTTTTAATTTATTTTTACTAAAGTCTAATGTAGATAATGCAGCATTCTCTTGTATTGCTACGAAATCAAAATTGTCAATAGTATTTCCATGTAAATTTACTTGTTTTAGACGAACAAGTTTACTGAAGCTTTTTGGGTGAACCGAAATTATTTGATTATCACGCAAGTCTAATATTTCCAATCGTTCTAAATCACTGAAAGTTGTTGTTTCTATTTGTCTTAACCCATTGCGTTTCATATAAAGACGTCTTAGATTGTGAAGACCTTTCATACTTCCATATGCAATTTTTTGAATTCCGTTGTTAGAAATATCCAATGTTCTTAAAGAAGGCAAATCAAAGTCTGGTGATGGTGGAATTGGAAGACTTGTTATTTGATTTTTTTGTAGATATAATTGTTCCAATCCTCTTGGTAAACCAGGTATAAATTCAATGAGCTTGTTAGAACTTGCATCGACTTCAAACAAGTTTACTAAGTTTCTGAAGGTGGCAGGATGTATGGAAACTAAAGCATTCCCTGATACATTTATGTATTCCAACAAAGGAGATTCAATGAAAGTTATTGGATCTATAATTGTCAATAAATTATTGCTAAAATTTATTCTTCTCAGCGCTGGTAGATTATATAACATTTTAGGTTGCAATCGTTGAAAGTAATTGAATGATAAATCTAAACCTTTCAAAGCAGGAAGATTCCAGAATGGTCCTTCATTCATATCACTTAAAGAATTATTACTCAAATGTAACTCCCTTAAAGCAGGCATGGCTACAAACGCATCTGCCTGAATATATTTAATACTATTTTTATTTAAATGCAACCTCTCAAGACTAGGATGACCTCTCAAGGCACCTCGAGGAATTTCCTGTAGTAAGTTGTCACTCATATCTAAAAACTTTAATCGTGGTAAAGCGTCAAGTAAAGCTCTAAATTCAGAAATGTGCATTATTTGATTACCAATTAGATTCAATTCTTCTACACCACTACCTGATTGTTGCAAAAATGATTCCGGGTGTATTTGACTTATTCTATTATAGTTTAGATCTACTATTCTCAATTTAGGAACTCTATGAAATGCTCCATGATGTATTATATTTATATTATTATTTGACAAAAATAATTTTTCCAGCATAGGTTGATCAACAAAAGCACCTTCATTCAATTTATCTATGACATTGTTATTTAGGTTTAAATGAGATAAAAGTGGTAGGTCTCTAGTAGCTCTTCCTACCATAGTAGCATCAGATATTTCATTGTTACTTAATGATAATTCATTTAATACAGGAAGCAGTGATAAAGCCCGCATGTGTATCTGATTAATTCCACAATTTGTTATTTCTAGCCTCCTCAATTTTGGCAAGTTGTACAGAGCATTTTCCTTTAGTATACGAAGATTAGGGCTTCCTTGTACAAATAATCTTTCTAAACTTGGCAAATTTTCAAAAGTATGTTCATTTACTGCATTTAAAGAACTCGAATGTATATTTATGTATCGTAATTTTGGCATATTTGAAAGAGTAGGTATCCTCTTTAAATTATTGGACTGTAATGTGATGGCTTGTAGATTTTGCAGTTTCATTATACTTTCTGCAGGAAGATTCTTTAAATCATTTTCAACAATAAATACTTCTACAAGATTCATCTCTTGCGATTCTAGCCACGCAGCGGATAATCTCTCTATTCCATTATGTCGTAACATCAATCGCAGTATTTTTACATTTTGAAATATTCTTCCAGGTAGAGACGGTAGATAATTATTTTCAATGATCAATTCATCAATAGGTTTTCTAAGATAATCCCCTATTTTCTGAATGCCTTTTTGAACTTGCAGCAGATCGCTGTGTGTACACCTAGAAACATAGTTTAAATTGAAATACATCGACGACTGGAGGCTATGAATATACTAAATCAACAAACTAAATAATTTATTTAAAAATTAATCATAAATTTATTTAAAGTATTTTTAGCTAAATATTAAAATTAAGCGAGCATCCTTGAAACTCTGACGCATGGATCTTCATTACTAGATTATTACATTTTAGATAGGTTTTATTATATTATTTTATTTTGTATTTATAGCAAACTAAAGTTAAAAAAAATTTATATTTTTTTTAACACAAAATTTCTTTTGCACTTATGTTTGCTACTTACCATATTTGAATGTCTTCATTGCGATTAGTGCATATGCAAGGTAATATTGTATCTGGAGCGGGGCATGGCGTAGATTGTCCAAATGCAACTTCAAACGTCACGAGAATGAGCCAGAGAATCGTTTTTGTATTCGAATCCATTCCTTTACTTCTTCAGAGTTCATTGTAGCATAACAACCCCTAATTTACTTGTCTTCGTACAAACCTGAAAATTAAAATAGAAAAATATAAAATAAATTAATTTACAGTAGCTACCCAATGCCAATGTTGTCGAGAATATATAACAAGTATAGGAAGACAGTTGTCGACACTTAATTCAAGTATAATCCGGTGGCGTCAAGGACCGACAGTACTGAAAACAATGAAAATGGAAACAATAGGCTAGGCAGAACGGTCCGGTGATTAGACTGCACTTTCACTTGTTCGACCATTGTTTCTATTGGCGATCTATGGCGTGCATGCAATGTTTTCCTTGCGTCATTGTATAGAGATTACACAATCCCATTTAATTTGGAGGTTTAGGACTTCTTAATGTAGGTCATGAACTTGTAGTTCATTGGTTATGATTACCGGGATATTTCAGTTAGAAATTGTCTTTTCTTTGTTGATTTGCATTTGCATTGTTCAGTAACAATGTAATTACAACAGGTTGAAACGCCAAGTACATTATACACGCCTATCGTCTACTTACTCGTATTGAATTAAAATTTTACTTGTTTCTGTGTGTACCCTTCTTCTTTTTAAACCATAATCAACCAATTTATTGGTGTAGGCCTCCTTCAATCCGCTCTATTTTATTATTTGTGCCTACGCTAAACACAAGAAATTAATGTAACTACAGCATTCTAAAGTTACAAAATAACACATGCAACCAACGTTTGCGATTGCGGTCGTTTATACCGAACAGTTTATATCTGGAGTTGTTGATACTACAGATGATTTCAATGATGCAAACAACTCACTGAAATCTTAACAAACGATTTGTTTCAATACGCCGCGCCGGTACCTTATAATTGTAATGATTGATCGCTATGGCAATTGCGGATAGTTCGTTAAGATTTCACGGAAACATATTAACACAAGATTATAAACATAGATATACGTGCAATCGCATATATACTATGTAATAATTGCGATATTGTTGGGAACCTAGTGGTTTATTATCCCGTAATCTACCTAAAGGTCCGACTTTGAATCTGGCTAACTCCAAAAACATTATGCGTCAATTTATACAACTGACTCTCACCGATATGAAATAAAGGATAGGATAGGATCACCCCCTGCCGCATTGGATTCAAATATACCATTTCAGAGTTAAAGATTCACACAATGTCTTTTATATGACAGCAGAGTTACTATATTCCAAAAACACATTTTTTATTAATTAAATCATGTGACATAGTGACGATTTTAAAAGTGGACATGCCTTACATGCCTTCTATGTCGCGAAAATATGGAGAAGAATTTCAAGTAGCGAACAATCTTTTTAAATCTGCTGAAATTCCAATTATATTTGTTTAAGGGTTCATTATATAGTTCACTCATAAATATAGATCAGTGGTAATGTACAATTACAATTAATTGCTTATGTGCAGTGTAAGAAAGTAATGGGCTTAGAAAATATAATTTAATTTATGCACATATTTAAGCAGATACGTACCATAGTGTCATAATTTAAAGCACTTTCTCTAGTTTATTAGTTAATATTTTGTGGTCATATAACTAGGCCTAAAATACAAATTAACTTATTTTAATAAATAAAATTAAGTATGGCTTATTTTTTTTACCGGAGGAAGGCATAAGTTTTTTTTTTGGCACTAACTATAGAAACTCATATTCTGTTGTTATTTTCATCGCATTTATATTTACCCCAGTCATCTGTCTGCTGTCAATCTAACCTAACTAATCCTTGTTGGAAATTCATTTCTTGACTATTTAACGCCTAAAGTATGCAGGGAAGGGTAGTGATAACAGGACGCGCGGAACAGGAACTTGATAGTTAATAAAGGAAGTTGGTAGTTTGAGGAACACGAGGAAACAATATTCATAACTGCAATGTATATTACAATTATGGAAGGATGTCGTTGAGAACCTGTATGTTCTATATAAGAACATACAGCTCCAGAATCCAGGATCGGGTAGTTCGCTAGAAAGGTATATATCTGTCTGTAAGATTGATTCTTATCTATTCTTCTAGAACAAACAAGAGCCTGTGATAGTGGTGATAGTAATATATATATATATATATATATATATATATATATATATATATATATATATATATATATACATTACAGGTACCAACAAGAATCAACGCAAGCAGTCAACGGGACGCACAATCACGGTACAGTTATCGCACTTGTCTCTAACTGTCGCTGATTGTCATCCCATGACGTTCTTGCACATGATTGTGGGCCAAATAGGTACTTGTTGACCTCGTAGGGTCAAAGAATGTTCCGCAAGCAAATTAAAGAATTATTCATTATCCTACAAATATTACAAACATGAATATTTTTAAAGATATTGAGTTTTGGATGCTTGAACGATAGATGAATTTTATACATATATGGTAATAAAATATTTGTATATAATATCCAACTTTAACGTATAAAAAGCTTTCTGTATTTTTATATAAAATTTGAGGTACCGTTTATTTTATTTAAAAGGGCTCTTTACCAAAAAACTCGATTCAATTAGACAAGTATAATATATACTTTATTTCACTTGTAACACTAAAAATAAAGATGGTTATACAAAAATGTGAGCAAGCGTGTACTTGTGAACTTATCTCTGAAAGAGATCTCTTCCAGCCAAACTAACACTGTGACAGAGATGGTAGTTAGCGGGTAACGATAGTGTCTTAATAAGTATATATCATAATATCTTAGAATTATAGTCATAAATTATATCTAGATATTAGCACATTTTATTTTCTAAGCTCTACCATGGGGATACATATACGGGTATATAATACTGAATTGTACAGAATATAGTTGCTCCACTAAGATGCAGAAGTCCAAAGAGTTCGTTAGTGAAAAGATTGATTTTTTCTTATTCATAGATTGATTTTGTAATATATATATTGGGTGATGTATTTTTATCTCCAAAGATAATAATAATACTTTATAAAATACGATAGAACTGTACCCATACGGGTAAAGATACTTTAGTTTTAAAGTGAATAAATTTAAAGTTTTAATTGGTTAGCTCAATAGGTTACGAAACATGTTATAAAATTTACACATAATATTATTGTCAATATTAATATTCATATTATCAATGCTAATGACCTTGATAGTCAAGCGGTTTAACATACGATATTGGCTTCCGTTGGTTGCGGGTTCGAACCGAAGTAACCATATATACCTACCATATATAGGTGTTATTTCATTTTTAAAAAGTAGATCGAGTAACGTACTAATATAAAGAATGTCAAATTCAGAACGACTTTTTTTTTATAGTCGGTTGAGAAGAGGGTAGCTCTTCTCAATACTATTTGTGCTAAGTAAGTATTTTTATGTCATTGGAATTATTAACAATCTGTGACGGCCCACTTGATGATAAATAATCATGATCAGCGTCGCTAATATACATGAACATCATTATGGGCATCACGGTATCATATTAAACCCGTGATACTACCCACGCATTCCTATTCTGGAGGTCTAAGATATCACGACTCTTATTCTATCCTTGTCTTCCTTAAAAACTGAAACAGTCTATATAGCAGTTTGCTTCATAAACTGAAACACAATTTACAAAGCAAATTGCTTGGTCGCTGAAATGGACTGACGTAAGATATACTATGTTTGCTGATTGTGAACAAATTCAAAGCATTTTATTTCTTTTGTTACACTGTTAATAAAAATAAATATGCACAGTCATCATTACAATTTTAATGTGGTTCACAAAGGCACACAAATATGACGTCATAAGTATTTTTGAGTGTTTAAATAACGTGAATGAAATAATTAACTTCTGCGCTAATTTCATATACCTAATATTAAGTAATTAAGACAGTACGAATTTCTTATGAATAAATTAGCATTTAAATTGATAATAATTAAATTACATACTTTTAGGTTCATATCTTAATTTATTTTTAATTTTATTACTATTACATTACCTACTTATGTTCTTATAACATATCTGTAATATGAAAATTTGGAACAAGTAGGTAAGTTTATATACAAGTTTCTCTTAATAAATGCTATTTAAACATGTGTATGTAGGTAGATATATGTTAACAAATGTTTATACTATATTTTATGTAGATTATTAAGATGTGTATTGTATTATTTAACTTCAGTAAATATACATCTGAAATACGATAAGTAAGTGGATAGACAAACCACATTGAAAGCTACTTGGTGTTTTGGGTACTTATAAGTATATACTCAATTTCGTGGCAATGTACCACAATATAGACATTAAAATCTGGTGAGGTTTCATTTTTTTACAACCAATTCCAAAATGTAGGGCGAAACTTATATTGCATTTATTTATGTAAATTTATAAGTTGGTATAATTATGTGTGGTATAACTATGCAAATCATCACCTTACGCTTTTAAAGGGTCGCCTAACATAGTTTGAATTCAATATTCTTATATAGAAAAAAAAGGTAATAACTATTCAAATTATCGCAAATATTCCAACAGTACCTGCTTCTCTGTACATCTATTTATAGATAATAGAGCACGACCACGGCCTTGGTAGTTTAGCAGTTTAGCTTTATTTCTTATGGTCGCGGGTTCGACCTCTCACGGTGCAAACATTTGTATTCATGAGTACGACTGTTTGTATCAGTCTGAGTTTTTTCTATGTATGTTATCTATGTATTTAAAAACATCTACGTATTTATATCAGTTGTCTAGTACCCATGACAACTTACCGTAAGACTAGATGGCGCTGTGTTAATTGTCCAGGGTTATTTTTTATAATTATTTACCCACGAGTATACTAAAACAGATTTATTTCACTCTCGTCATATATTAAAAGTCTGGAACTAATGATATAAAATGGTAAAAAGGGAATTGTTAGTAACATAGGCAATCAATTCTATTGTTGCGTCGTGTACTCTGTAAGTCCTGGATAACATTGTGAATTCAACATAATGAGCTGATTGACCTGATTCCATTCTCATACTTTCATCGTTCACTGGTGTCATCAGTGCTGGTAGTAATCACTCTTTTATCGTTCATAACAAAAAAACATATAATGTCACAGCAGTGGAAAGTTGGAACACGACTACTGCATGGATGCACACCAACACGCTACAGATACTTATCTTGTGCTTAGACCCTCTTACTACATGCTACATGTATGGCAGTTAGCTATAGGTTGTATTTTGTTTTATTAATAACGTAGCTGTGCCCTCGGCTATATTATTGTAAAGTTTCGTTAAAATCTATTTAGTTGTTTTTCCGTGAAAGAGCAACAAACATCGGTCCATCCATCCACACTCACAATCTTTCACGTTCATAATCTTAGTAAGATATAATTATAATATCATAAACAAACTAGGTAGATCACATACAAATTATTTGAACATTGTTTGACGTACCCAGTTTGTTACTAAATTTCTATTAAAAAGCTGGGTAAATAGGTACCTAGATACTGCAAATAATAATTCAAATTAAAAAAAAAAATCCTAAAGACATTTTAGCCGCATATGTAAGTCAAGTTTTTGTCATTCATATTTTTTTCCTTACCGTACAGTAGTCCAGTTCAGTGTTCAGATTCAATTGTGAAGAACTGGCAAGAAACTCAACAGATTTTTTTAAAGTTAGATTTTTTACATTTTATTTTTATATTTAACATTAAATCAAAATCAGTACAGCCGGCTAGGAAATTAATGAAGATTTCTTAAGATCTTCCGTTCATAAAAGTTTATAAAATTATTTTTAAATTACGAAGCAGTTTGCTTATACCACAAAAAGGTGTCTTTTTTGTACGTATACATACCTAATATTATTCACAAAACAAGCAGCGCGTAACCTCATTACTATTAGATAAAGTAGGTATTAGATATTCTTAAATCAGACTATACACGTGTTGTAACTAATTATATATCTTTTAACTTTACTTACAAAATATTTTGTATATTTTTTTCTTACATAAATTTAATTTGGGAATTGTTGTTTTCAAACATAACCATAATAATACCCTTGTGGTTCTTTAGTCAAAATTTAATGAAATAGGATGAGACAGAGGTCCACGCATAGACCAAGCAAACGATTTTGTCTTCCTAATTCATTATTTTGGCTTAAAATGTCATAAGTTTTTATTTTAACTGAATCCAAACAAGGACTATTTTTTTATGTCGTAAACAAACATACGGTAACAAATAAGCATACGGTCCATCTGATGGTAAACGGTTACCGTTGCCGCTTATAAAACCAGGGGTGTCTGTCTGACTTCTTGAAGTAATTCTCTATAGATCTGTTAATTCTTTTGATTGTTGAACTGAACTGTATTTTTCTTTACCCGTGACTACTTACGCTGTATCACCAGTAGTGTACCTATTTGAATAATTATTTTTTTAAAGAAAAAGGCAAAATTGTGTATTTTACCACAACACACAAAATTTTTTTTTAATTACTTTTATAAAAGAAAAACGAGATATTTGTCTTTATAATTAAATAATCATCGTCATGATTTTTATTGAAACCGATTTTAATTTTACGATACAAATAAACAAATTCTCCCTTTATTTTTCGTCATGAAACAAATAATCAAATTACCTACCTCCTCGAACTTATTCCTCGCTTTCCCATAATTGATGTCAGACTTTTCCAAAAAACAAACAGATTATTACTGGAAACTTAATAAAATATTATTACATAAATCTACTTAACTTTGTCCAATATCCGATTATCACTTCAAACTAAAACAAGAATGATTAAAACTGCAACGTTTCTGCGTTAGCGGTCGCGATCGTAAAAAATGCAGGTATTTACGCAGGTATACCTTAGTGTCAGTTAGTGTCAACAACAATCCTTGTACAAGCGAGACTTATGGTAGCCAAACACGAACTGGGATGCGAAGTCTATTTCGCATGTAAACACCAGACTTTCGGTTCACAGTTCGATGCACATCAGGTAACTTTATCTTTCACCATTGTGGCGCGTGCCGGAGGTATATATACGTAACTGACTTAATCTTGCAGAAGGGCAACTTCGTAAATCCAAACTGCAATAGATATTACTTGAATATTAATTTACTTATTTTTTTATTAACTGTGTCCTCCACTATTTGTAAAATCCTTCATAAAAATGAACATGTCCATGATTAGGTAATCTTATTTATTGTCACAAAATATGTTTATTAGTTAACCAAATTTACTTGGATAGGTAAATCCCGTGCACGTTTTCACTTTTAAAAGACTGAACGATTTTGGTCGTGGTACAGAGAAACGAAACGGCACTAAGAAAACCTCATAAATCCTATTGCTCATGTTCTTTGTAGCGAAAGTACAACTTTAGGAAGAAAAGAGCTAAAATAGAGGATTAATATATGTATATAGGGATCCTGTCATTACTAAAGTTAAGTGTTGGCTGTGGTAAGTTGCATTATTTATACGCCTTAAATATTTCGGAAATAAAACGAATTCAAAGAAAATTTACTTTAAGAAGATAAACTTACATGTACCTCTTATGTATGTTTGTTCCTTAAATCAATAATACATAGATATGATAGATAGATATTCAGAAACATAGTAGATATGTGCTATATTATATCTTTAAGATTCCAGAAACAATAAAGTAGATAACACTTCTGTTAATAGTTAACTTAGTCTTTGACAAGAAATTGCAAAATAAAGAATGCTAAAACACATTGCATGTGATTAATCTCAGATGGGGTAACAAGGAAGGGTGTTTGACTTGGACAATAAAATTGACATGTTCTACGTATTGTTTAATTGCTCAATTTTCTGCAATATACTGCACATTCTTGTATACAAGCAAATGTTTTCCACTTTATTATTTCTTTACTAACTACTAGGCAATTTGCTTACATTTTCTCTAATCTATTCTTCTTTTGTAATATTAATTTTAATAGCATATTTAACAATACAACTAAAATTATCGTGTCTTACTTCAATTACATTTAACTCGGTATGAACTGCCTCTCTGTCGGTAATTATTTCGTTTTTGTTTAGGAATTTTTAGTTTTGTGATAATTAGGTTAGATATAATGAGATTGACATATGTATTTAGTGACAAAAATCCTAATTAGTTCTACATAATGTAAAGAACTAGGTATGAATTATATTGTTATTACCTATATGTTATTTAGATAGTCATGGTTCACTGGACATTTATTAGTCATTTAGTATTTTCAAGCAATTTCCACCACACACGACAACCATATAAAAGCAACTCACAGCGACAGTATTTTGAAATCAATTGCCACATGAAATATAAAAAAAAAACATTCATACAACTATCTTTCATAATAAGACTTGCAACCTGCACTTCCTTCGAAATTGCGGTTACTTATGAACAGCGGCAGACAATGACCATCAAAAGTGCATATACACTCTGTTATAAAAGGTATAAAGTAGTATAAAGGTAGGTAAGGTAAATACATTGTTTATTGAAAAAATATCATAAAAGCAGAATAAAGTACAAACAGTAGATATGCCCATCGTGGTGATCTCCCCAAGAATTCGTCATTCGTATTATATATAGGTACTTCGAAAAAAAATGTTCTTCAATCATATTTGTATGCGTAATTGCAGAACACAGTGAATCTTATTATTTGTTCTAAGAGCTTTGCAACCTTTATTTCACAACTAAAGAATTAACATTAGTAATGTTAAAAAATATTATCATGCTAGAAAAATATATAAAAATAATCATAATAAAACTTGTCGCGCTCTAAATAAATAAAAAATTTCATTAATAAATCATCATATTTATTAATATAAATGCTAATTTAGTCTGTTACAGATTAGTACCTATGTCTTAAATATTTATTCAATTTTATAGTTAATAACTATAACCACGTTTTAATCCCACTCTACGTTAGATGACTAAATATATAACTCAATGTTTATATTCATAACTACACTTTGATTAAGTATTCACGTGGTTGCTATCCGCGTTAATAATTCAATGCCATGAACACAAATATGAACATTCGTAAATACAGACCTGCTGGCGGCATCAATACAATTCATGCTAAACTACGTTATGTCAGCAGCCTATCGAGCAGGCTTCATTTTACTAACGGCTGTTCATACGATTTCATCTTTACGTAGAGCTAGCCGCACAACCTGTTTCTGCGCCTATCGGAACAGGCCCCATTACTGTGCCCAGTTAATAACCTTTTCTGTTATAAGTCAGTAGGTTTATCGTACGGTTAACTTAGCTAAAACATAAATCAAGAAACACTAATGATGTTAGTTAGGAATTTTTGCAAAAATTCTGTGATACACATTAGACGGTATTCTGTAGATGCTTTGACAAAGAAGCCGAAAATTCTAATCACAGGTAAGTTATGTTTTTATTAACTTTTATGGCCAATATTGACAGAAATGGAAAGTAGAATATATGTTACCCAAGTCATAATACATAACTGTATTCATAAAATAATATAATTACCTACAACTATTTCATTAGAAATTGTTTTCTTGAGTGAATGAAAATGCCTTTATCGCAACGTTACGCTGTGTTAAGTAACCTGTACATACGTATAATACGATAATATAACATTTTATTCAGTAGGAATCGTACAGTGAAATCGTAAATTTTAAATTAAATTTATAAAACCGTGCTTTTCGTTTCGCCTATTCGGTAATAAAATAAGCATTGTGTGATCGGGATTTATTTATTAAGAGAGTGGAGTATCTTATTCCATTTATTATGTATATATTTATTATATACTTATATTAGCTATCGTTTTTGTTTTAATATCGAATGTTACGTTTGATGTATTTTAATATGTACATATCTATCTACTCAATAAATAACTAAGATATACACGTATCAATTTTTTTTATATAAAACATAGACTCTACATTTCATGATCATACTGTAGATAATAATAAAATTCAATATGGAAATGTACCAAATCTTATAATCAAATAGTTAAATGGCAAAAATCATTGGCAAACTTGCTTTTGAATAATTATTCTGCGATTCAAGGGCAACGCTAAACTTTTTATAAAAGTTAACGTAAATGGTCCGAGATCCCGCTGCAGAATCAGTGTACCCATCGAGTGTTTGCTGAAAACCAAATTTTTACACATATTTATCATTAGGAGAATTTATATCTACCAGGTTGCCTATCAAAATGTGGCCGCTAGTATTTTTAATTAAATTATTAATAATTCATAATCCGTAAGAAATTTCATTGACTTGTTTTTTCAGTAAAATGTTGTTTACTTTACGGCAACATCTATAAAGACTGGGAAAAATCATGGTTGCCGTTGCGCACCTGGCCGCACCTCTTCGCAGCCAGGTGTACACAGGTATTTTATTACATTTATACACCCACAACGTACATTCATAATTTATATATCAAATTAAAGCTAATTTTTTTCTGTTTATTATCGTATACGGTTGCCTAATTAAATCTGGCCGCAAATAAGGGTTGCTGGCTATTAAATATAGTAAATATTAAAAGTAGAGTGAAAGAGAGCTAGCGCGTAACACCACTAGTCAAACGAGGATAGCGATTGCCAGCTGTCGGACAGTTTAAAGCCATTGCGCATGCGTCAAATGCTATTGTTCTCAACCTCCGATTCAAACAATAGTAGGTACGCCTCAAAATAATAAATACTCCAAAAGAAACGTCTTTCTTTTCAAAATAAAAAATTAAATATTTTCTTACAACCAAACAATAACATTAGAGAACACTTTTTAAATGAAGCATTATCAAAGTCTAGTACATTGCATTTTTTGTCGCACAGAAAACACGCCTTCATCTTTATAAATTTTATTTCGCACTGATGAGATTGATAATTTTTCGATGCACAAATGAAACAGCAATATATTATGTTGTGTATTACGTACTCCAAAACAGCGTGATTTTTAACTTAGAATAAAAGTCGCAACTGATCCATTGAGAACACTAGCATCTGACGCATGCGCAATGGCTTTAAACTGTCCGACAGCTGGCAATCGCTATCCTCGTTTGACTAGTGGTGTTACGCGCTAGCTCTCTTTCACTCTACTTTTAATATTTACTATATTTAATAGCCAGCAACCCTTATTTGCGGCCAGATTTAATTAGGCAACCGTATATGATAATAAACAGAAAAAAATTAGCTTTAATTTGATATATAAATTATGAATGTACGTTGTGGGTGTATAAATGTAATAAAACCATACCTGTGTACACCTGGCTGCGAAGAGGTGCGGCCAGGTGCGCAACGGCAACCATGATTTTTCCCAGTCTTTATAGATGTTGCCGTAAAGTAAACAACATTTTACTGAAAAAACAAGTCAATGAAATTTCTTACGGATTATGAATTATTAATAATTTAATTAAAAATACTAGCGGCCACATTTTGATAGGCAACCTGGTAGATATAAATTCTCCTAATGATAAATATGTGTAAAAATTTGGTTTTCAGCAAACACTCGATGAGTACACTGATTCTGCAGCGGGATCTCGTACTATAAAATATGCGTGGTGCCTACGTAAGAAATCCATCTACACGCACGTCTGAAATCCGCGGTTTTAAACGAAGTAGGTAGGTACGTATAGAAACTGTATCTGTAATTTTTCTGTATAATAGGTATGTTTTATTTCATTATTCATATTATTTTGTATATAAACAACACCAAAACAAGTATTTTTATGATTTCAGTTATATCTTTCTCAGTAATTAGGTTTAGACATTAAATTAAGACTTAAAATTCTGTATATTACGTAATCAAATAACATCAATTTCTCTACTTTAAACTTAAATAATAATAAATCATACAAAACAGACAACATCTGTTTTGTATGAGTTAAATACAAAACACAGAATTATTTGTTCAAGTGTGAATTTCAGTGACAACGATACCAACACAATGCCCGTTACCCAAAGGTCATGCATATTACAGAGAAAGCTAAATTAGTTTCCGTGGAGGCTGTCAAGTTCGTCATTATTAGAAATATATCGAATATAACGCCCCCCTACCCTTCACTGGAAAGTAGCCGTTTTCTGGTCATAATGTAACAATCTTATGGCTGTTTTGAAACCCAAAATTATTGCTAAGATTCTTCCCTCTCATTTTTCAAAAAAGGAAATTGTTAAATATATTTTATGTTAATAACTATAAACATGCCATATATCGTACAAAACTGATGATACATAATCCGACTCTTGACAATATTACTTACTACTTAATGTTAATGTAGTACCTAGAACTGCATAATTAAAAATTAGTCTATAGATGGAATACCTATAAGTAATTACTTAATCGCATAATAATAAGTACGATTTTAGTTTAATGTCAATTAATCGGTTTGATTTCTTTCTTACGATTAGTATCATAGTAAAATAAGCAGAATCTTATTACCTACTAGTTTTTCCAACCTATACTCTTATTATTCATCGTCATTTATTTTCCTACGTTATTTGTTTGTTATTTGAGAACTAAGACTATTAAAATAGTAATTCTGTGCAAATACGCAGTAGTATTATGTAAGTTTACTGTTTACCTTTACCTATTACGTTGTTATGATTCCATGTTTACTAAAATGCAATAACAAGTAATTACCTACAACAACATAATAAAACTGACAGGTATGCAATTATACGAAAGTGCTGAGTGAATGTTGTGTTATGTTATATTATTACAGATAAGCGGGAAAATACATACTATTATAAGTATATTCAGTACTTTTATATTAACAAATATGGATTCATAAATCCGGTCTCTCTCTCGGTCCGGCGTCTCGGGGGAACCGGAAATTCGGCGTCTTCCCCTATTATTACTCAAAGAGTAGTAAAGTTAAGCTTAATTATATAAAAACATTATCCGACAATTATTGAAAAAACTATACGCTTGTCGTGTACTATATGAATTATTTTTTCATTACAGGTGGACTAGGCCAACTAGGAGTCGAGTGTGCCAAGTATCTTCGAGGAAAATACGGCACCGAGAACGTCATACTATCCGATATAATAAAACCAACAAGCGATATCGTCAACGATGGCCCTTATCTTTTCGTAGATATTTTAGACTTTAAAGGGCTTCAGAAAATTGTAGTGGACCATAGGGTTGATTGGCTAATACATTTTTCAGCGTTACTTAGCGCAATAGGGGAGCAAAACGTTCCGTTAGCAGTCAGAGTCAATATAGAAGGAATGCACAACGTTATAGAATTAGCAAAACAATATAAACTTAGAATATTTGTGCCAAGCACGATAGGAGCGTTCGGTCCTGATTCTCCTAGAAACCCTACGCCGAATGTAACTATACAAAGACCTAGAACAATATATGGTGTTTCTAAAGTACACGCGGAGTTGCTGGGTGAATACTATTTCTATAGATTTGGTTTAGACTTCAGATGTCTGAGGTTTCCTGGAGTTATATCAAGCGACCCGCCCGGCGGCGGTACAACAGGTATGCTCACCTGATTTAATTTAACATTACCGGCTTTATATTTTCATTTTTATTAAATATGACTGGTTCACATTATTATAAAATATGTATCAAGTTAAGAGTTTTATTTATGGGTACTTGGGTTAAATTTATTTAGTGTAGTACATTTTCCCCATATGCAAAATAAAACCTTCATTTATAATACTTCTATAAAGAAAAAAGCGTTATACCTACCTATAAGAGTACCGTTGCGAACAGGTAATGAAATTAGACCATAGCTAATGGTCAATAGTTCATAAACTCAACTGTGTTTTAATTTCCATAATATATATATATATATATATATATTTAATTGGTCTGCTAAACAAGCTGAGACAGCCCACCTAATGGCAATCGGTAACCATTACCTATAGATATACATAGGTACATGAACAACACTACGGTACGGTGAGTGGTTTACGGGTGTTATATTTAACACCCGTAAACCACTCATGCGTTGCCATTCTAGAGAACTCCCATGTCAAGCTTCTTACCCTGTAATTTCAATGTCTAAGCAGCATCCTACAACCTACACACAGTTCACAATGCAAACTGCTTGACGACTGGAATGGGCTAGACTGCATACGACTATTTACAGTTTCTGCAATATACCTAAATAAGGGAACTGTGAGTCCTGCGTAGATGTTTCAATTAAACATAAAAATATAATCAATGAACAACTATGAACCGCATAGAGATGTACACTACGCTCTTGCTGTTAAATGATAAGCACTACTTAATTATTTCTATATAAAAGTACACAAAGACGTTTCCCTAATTAGAATTCTGTTCGGTTTCCTAATTAACATAAATGTTCACACCATTAAAAGATGAAATCGAAACAACATAAAATAAACAGCCGATTTCGAATCTAGTGTGTTTAAGTGGTAGTACAATACAATTAATAATAATATTGTTTTGAAAGAATAATTTTTATAAAGAGCTCGTCTCTCTACAAATAAAAATATTTATTCATCCGGTCGATCTATATGGTCTATAGCCAATTCGATCATCTTTGGACGCAATCATTAACTTCCTTACAAATCCGGGGTAGTGCTTGCTACCCCGTAGTTAAGGACGGCGTCCAAAGATGATCAATTACTTCCCGCGGGAACATCAGCCATTTGAGCAAATCCTCTAAAATTATTAACGGAAAAATACCTACGCAGAGAAAATACATTCGTCACATAAACCTTGTTTTTAAATTCGCTTGAAAATAACACACATGTCATAAATTTCGTTATACAATAGACATTACAGAATGCCGTAATTTCCCAACCGTAAACAGCAATGTACCTTTGTTTTCAGATTACGCTATAGCAATTTTCCATGACATTCTTCGGAAAGGGCAATACGAGTGCTACTTGAAGCCGGACACGAGGCTTCCAATGATGCACGTGAAGGATGCTCTCAGAGCATTGTCGGAGTTTCTAGAAGTACCCAATACGAAGCTTATTAGGAGAGTATATAATGTGACCTCTATGAGTTTTACACCTGAAGAGCTAGTGGACGCCATGTCGCGTCATGTATCAGATTTGAAGATTACTTATAGACCTGACAGTAGGCAAGACATTGGTGAGTAAATTAGAACCTCCATTAAATAATTACAATACTTAGATATTGTTATCTATAATACTACAATACCACCGATTCGCTGTTTTGTGCACTGCGGTGTTACGATGTCACATCCAGTAATTTAAATAAGTACAAGATATAGATACGGGAATATTTTATAATTAAGAAATAACTTCTATTTTTAATATGTACTACAATAGATGACTGAGTTATGACTGACCCTTAATAAACTATATTTATTGATCTCTATGTATAAAAATTACTTTGTAAATAAAGTATTTTTTCTAAGACTAAACCATTTTAATGAGACTTAAAAAAGAAGTAGGTTGTTTTATATTATTTTACGCATGTTTTCTTGTGTTTTTGTTATTTTTTCCGCAAATGATAGTTCCTCCAGTCAATCTTAGTTTCACTCTAATTTAATTTTTACGAATAAAACACTTTTTTTAATTTAATAGAAGATCTATACAATAAAATATATAAAACCTTTTGTTTTGTTCGGGGATTCTAATTTTTCTTTAATTTTTAGCTGATTCATGGCCGCAAGTGTTTGACGACAGCGAAGCACGCCGTGACTGGAATTGGAAACCAGAAGTAGACTTAGAAAATCTGGTCAAACTTATGATGAAAGAGGTCAAGGAAAAAATTGCTTTGAATGGTGTATAACGTATAAGTAGACAATGTTTAATAGATCCCGTTTTGGTGTTCGAATAGATTAAAACAATATACCTAATTATGCAGATACTAATATTATTAATAGGCAAAGGACTCTACACTAATTGATATGATACAACAGGGAACTGAGCAAGTAATCACTTTGTCAACGGACTACTAACTTACAATTATTGCATATCACTTTGTCGATACCGTACTAGAACAGGGATGCTGTCAAGATCATGCAGTGGAAGTTAACAACAGTGTGAGTTGTGAGTTACGTCAAGGGATGTTTTGCTAGTTACTGAGATGCTATATCAATGGGCATAAAAAGTACGAAACTAATAATTATCGCCAATAGCATTAGTGTTTAATTAACAGTACAATCCAAGTTTGTCGTATGAACGGCGAAGTTTGTTTGACTCTATTTTCTCATTTAGTCTTTCGTTTAGGTCCTTGTGCTGTTTTATTTAAGCACTTACCATCTGTGAGACAAACGTTTTCTGGTTGTGAAAAAAATACCTCAAAAATATACGAATTAATATGATTAACACATTATACAGATAGTTAAAGAATATATATGTATATTTTTATAATAAGATGTATTTAAGGGGGTCTTCCTATGTGACGGCCTGTTTTTTAGGGATATTTTAGGATTTTTTTTCTACGACCAGTAAATATTTAGAGCTTCAAGTTTTTTATCATTTATTAACACATATTTGGACAGTATTAATATAAAATTTCAGCTAAAAAATATTCAGTCAAACTAGAGTTACAGCGCTCTGAACACCCCCGCCTCGAAAAAAAGAGCTCCCACTTCCTCCACGATTCCGGCTGAATAAAAAAAAAAAAAACGAATTTGTATTAAAAGCACGGAATGAATAATCAAATGAATATAAAAAAAATATTTTTGATAGACATTTGAAATAAAAGTTGCAAATTAGTTTTTTTTTTGTTTTTTGCTATAAAAAAATCGAAGTTTTGAAAATTTTCGATTGATAATAGTATACATATATTGAGTGTGCCCTGTAAATTTCAAGTATTCGGTCCAGCCGTTTCTGAGATACAATGGAGGAAAGTTTGAAAAACACAGTTTTGAGAAAAACGCGTTTAAAGTTTCAAGTCCGTTAAAACTATTAAAATATCAACTTACTCTCAATCGGCGATATATATTCCTTCCTCTTCCTCGTGAAACTCTTTTAAAGCAGATTGTTCAGCTCTTGAGTCAATCCTGGCTTGTTTAACGACATCACTTACGCGCCGCTCAGAGCGTAAGATTCGCTTTTCATCCCGTTTCTCAACATACGCTTGGGCTTCACGACCAACAGGGCATCCCATAATCGACATAACTTTTAAAATACCTTGAAAACCTTCATTAAAGATATTAACTGCTCAGTAACTAGCAATTTCAACAACTTTGGGACCAGAATGAAGATGTTTAGGAGCGAAAGTCCAAATCAAAGAATTCAAAGATTCGTTATTGTTTTGTGTCTCTGCTCCTAAACAACGAAACTTAAAATTTCGAAAATATATAAATGATTGTTTATCGTGATGAAATTGTATTAGGTAACTGACAAAATTGACGTTTTCATCAGAAGAACATTCGTTGCCCAAACCTCAATATTTTTTTATATCTGCAGGCTAAATAGTATTCAGTAAACAAACATTTTATACATACCTCTTACTACGTCTCAATTACTGTCACCTAGATTTATATAGATACATACTTATTGCCCAATACACCGTTTGTATATCAAAACATATACATATGATATCATAGTATGCTATTAGATATTCATTATTGATTAATCTGACTATATATTTGAATTAGAAGTAGGTCACAATTTTTATTGTTTCAATATATATATATTCATTCGCGTGTAATTTCGGTGGTAATACACGTTTAGCTAGGTTTCAAGTATTCTTAATATCAAACAAAACATGGCTCAATTCGTAGTCACACCTATTTGAGTACACAAGTATGAGGATTTACCGGTAAAGTTTCATCCATACTCTTCTTACATACTACAATAATCATACGTATTGGTGTTGACACTTCAAGCCTAATTGAACATTATTGCAATATCCTTTTTAATATACATATAAAAATAAACCAATATAGCAAACAATATCTGCCAACGAACGGTAAAATATTTTGATTATTGCGGTTTAGTACAGAAACGAAATCACTGTAACATGTTAAATTAGTATCAGTTTGCTAAACATTATCATTTTCTGGGTAATTCTTTAGAAATAATTAACCAATGTCCGCAGTCCTTAAAAATCCACATATGTATCAACAACATTGATTGTCATTTAATAGTTTTCAGAACCAGTAAAAGCAATTGCGTTTTAGCCACTATTCGACTAAAATGTTTTATTTTTAAATATTAATTAAATACAATATTTTTAATATTAAAAAATAAAAAACATTTCTTTGTGATTTGGTATCGTCTGTGGCATATGTATAACATACAGAATAGAAGATAAGAGATACAGAGATACAGATAGAAGCAAAGTGCTGCCATCTGCAGTCAATTAGGGACTATCATTAGCATGGTTAATTTCACTTCACTTCAATACGCGAATGTTGGCAGACTCGTCTATTCATTAGTTTACAAAATATAAAAATACATATTATTTAAGTATCTAGGCAAACATTAAACTTAAAGTAATGACTCCCAAAAATCACATAATCACACTACGACTCAGTCTTCCATTTGTTACTCAAAAGCAACACGTTCTCTTAAATATACATATTATATTAATTATTAACAATATTTCTTAAGCGATGGACGTTAGTTTATGGTAGTAATTTATTACCATTGTCTAGGCGTGTCCTTCTAATTTCGAATTAAAAAAATAAAAAAATATTATCGCTACAATAAACAAATTATTCAATTACAAAGATATATTTTACAAATTAAAAAAAAATAGGAGTAAAATTTAAAAGGCATAAGAGTCATTATGCATACAGAAAAAAAAACAACTAGGTTTGTTGCTTATTCTACTAAAGCTTTCATGATTTAAGAAGCTTTCCTATCTAAATATTGCAACGTTGCAATTACTCGCACATTCCCGTTAAGTTACGTGGATTGTTCTTGTAACTATACAGAAGAAATTACTTGCATAGCCTACTTAGTATTAATGCTAGAATTTTGTGGAGTTTATTGTTGTAGATGTACATTATATAGAGAACTATCTACTTAGTCATTTAAAACTCGTAAATATTTGACTATAAACTTTCACACGGCTCACAACAAAACCCCATTATAAACAAAAATAAACAGTGTATAAAGAATAAAATAGACCTGTGAATGAATAGTCCTAACTACACGACACACGTTTTTATACAATACTCATAAATTTTAGGAACTGGACTTTAAAATCAGAATAATAGAGTCGTTTTCCCAAAATATGTAGTTTTTAATTAATGCCGTATTGTATTAAGGCTGCGATATATACAGTCTCCGCAGAATATAAAATTAATATTAACAACATACCATTTCGAGACTAAATACATGTCATAAATATACACTTATATAGACAATACTACAGCGTATTTGTAAACTATGGCACTTAATTATAATGTAATAATTGATGTCTATTGTATTTACTAATATTGTCCACCCCATTGGGGAAAAGGCCGTAGATTATGAGGCAATTGAGAGTGTATTTTCGCGAAAAAAGAGGTAACAATGATCCGAGTGTCTGAATGATTATGTTTACAATACATCATTTAATATAATTTTCAGTAACAATATATTTATATTTTTTACTGTAGTCTACTTATGTTAATATTATGACTTATAGTTAGGTAGGCAATATGAATCAAATGGATGGTAAGCTTATATAAGTATTGTATTGATGGTAAGTTTCACGAAAATGAATCTACGTACATTTCAAAAATAATTCTTATTATGAAGGTACCAACAGAGTTAGATATGGATTTTATTAAAATTAACTTATGTAAAAAATATGGTAGTTATATTGCAAATATATGCATTGTCAAACATTTTCATGTTTGAACCAGTATTAATTTTCGTCATTGTCCTCTTACGATGTACTTTTACATCACATATCAAAATATATGATTTATAATACTAAATTAAATATGGACACAGATTTACATTACATATGTCTGAGACGGCCTTTAAAGAACAATTTAAATGTCTCATAACTGGTAGAAAAACATTTATCGTTTTATATGTAGTATACAACATATGTAGGCTAATTTCTATTATGTACCTTATAATGGTACCATTTATCAGAAACTCATCTGTATAAAAAAAAGCGACACGAAGATAATCTATGGCATTATGTAATTACGGCATCATAATAATATTTTATTCTATTTATAAAGATCGCCACTAACGACACATAGGTACTATGTTTGAATTCTGCGTTATAAAAATATCAATATGCTCCTATTTCGTAAATGACAAAATCTGTTGATACCATTATATGCCTATATTAAACTGGATGATAAACTACAATATTCTCTCAGCACAAGATACGCGGTCCCGGATCTTATATTACTGATTGCGCCGCCCGTGTGACGTTAAAGCTGCATAAGAATTATGCTTAAAAATCGTAAGAACACTTAACACCTTATCATTTTCCTTGCCTTATCAACGTGTTCCCAAAAATAACGCTCAGTGGACTGACGTGAAATGCTGAATATGCTCAAATGTAGTTTTTGCAGTATTTAAAAGATATTTTCAAATTAATAATTTACTTTAAAAATCTGATTATCTATAAAATAACTATAAACAATACGTATCTTTTTTAGTTTAATTAGTATTAATCTTGTAACAAAACTATAGGCACTTCATTTAGCCGTTATTATTATACTACGTGGTGCATACGATAATTGGCAAGAATAATGTATCTAATTTAGGCAAAGTTTGCAACGTTTAAAATTGAGCTTAAGTCAAATTTCCAACTTGTAAGATATACGGCTTATTTTATATTTATGCAAGTTTATTTACAATCGTAGACCTAATCTATATTTATTTGCTTCATATTATCGTAAGTGATTAATCATTTGACTGCCGGTGTCTGATTACGTATGAGATAGAACGATGAGACCATTCGGAATAGCCAATACGAAGCAGCGGCAACAAAAAAGTAAAAAATAGGACAAACCATTTAAATTGGTGATAGCAACAGCATGAAACGTTATTTCAACATTTATACATTGCGAAATAGTTCAAAGTTAGGGAAATATTCAGTACCTGATTTTAAAAAAAATCTGTTCTACAGAGTGTTATGAATTTACTATTTTCATTTTGCGTGACGGCGTACTCAGAGTTCTTATCAGTACTGTGTACTTACGCTGATTACGACTTCGGAATGAAGTCGCAACAATTGTCATGATGATGAAAACGTAGTAATTTTATTTTCCCGTCTAAAGTTGTAATTAATCTTAGCCTTCACAGTCCATTTATACAATACACAACTACGTGCCTTATTCACTACCATGGTAAAAAACAATATATTTACTCACGTCTCTCCTTATTAAAAGAGGAACCTAAAGTAAAAATTATAAACAGATAAGTTCATTAACAATTAAGATCCGAGTCAAGTCTTAGAAGGTCTTAGAACAATAATACAAAGATACCTAGTTTATGGGAATACAGAACAGTGAAATAATATAAACAATAGATAACAGATAAATGATTCGTAGAATTTTTTTTAGAGGCAACACAACACGTCAATAATATAAAATGAAGTAATAGCTTTTATAATTTAGCGTCCATTTCTTTTTGCGTTACGCTATAATTGTGATGTGCCATATTAAACTTTATACGATTGCTACTATAAATTTAATTATGTTACTGGACGATAAATTATAAAAATACCTGATAAATATTATTATGCATGTTACAATTTATTAATCTTTTTTATTCCCAAAAAGGTCAAACGTCTCATAAACTAATTTTGCCAAAACATTAAAAACTTGTGACAAATCAGAATAAATCAGTAATAGTTAAAAATAAGACGTTTTAATTTTGATGAATAAATAAGGACAATAAAAATTTCACTAAAACAAAATATTAATTGTGTAACAACTAACGTACGCACTAAGCCTACTCCGAACTACTGTTTTTCGTTAACCTATGAATGCATACGTCATCGGCAACTACTGTTAAGTGCCTTTATAATGTGAGTCGCGGCGTAGGAGTAATAGATGTATCGCATAGAAGTAACTCGTACATTCTATACGCCCACACTACATCACTTATGCGAAGGCACTAAGGACTTACGTCGTACCGCATTAAAAATTAAAACGCATCGTGCGCTTAAATTTTAACAATAACAATAATTTTTAAATTACATTGAATAGAAAATAAAACATTGTAATCGCAAACACATCTATAATTCGTTCGGTGAGTATGTAACTGACCAAATACAAAATATCTATTTACTTTTTTTTAATTAATAAATCGATGTCATTGCTTTGAAAAAAAAATTATGGGTATATTTTAGTCAAATCGAGTATAAGTTCGCAAAACGATGTATATTGACCCCAATATTTCAAAGACTACGTTTTATTATCAATCGATTTTATCATATACGTCGACGATATTACAGTTCGTGGTAGATTAGTAGAAAAATACAATTTTATTTTAGCGACATATTGCACATAATTAAAGTATTATTCTAAGAAGTAAAAAAAAAAATTATATAATGAGACTTTTTGCTTGAGAAAAATGCTCTGCAAAATAGACTGGCTTATATTAATTTTTTGTTTCGTGTCATCGATCTTCAGTAAAAAATTATATAATAGATATATAAATATATTCATTCCTACATAAAGAACATAAAATTTGTACATCGATGGATAAAAAAATTGCACATATGTTCAATTGAAAATTAAATTTAACACTGTTTTAAAATAGAACCCTAACAGTATCTTATCTAGTACAATATTATGTTATCTGTGATCTTGACTATGATAAAGTTTATAATATAAACAAATTCATTCACAACATAGTCTCGTTGATATCATTCAAGATTCCATTGGCATGTCTTCCAAAATCGTGTGCAACAAGATACAAGAGTTTCTACTAAATCAAACTTTCATTGGTTACTACTGTATTACAAATAACCTTCTTATAAACACAATTAACAATAAATTACATACAAATAGCTTTAGGTTCACGAACTAGGATACCCTGTTTACGAAACATCTGAGAACACAGAAAGAACGTCAAATCCAATATGCCTATAAAGAAAAACGAGGAACGTTTATATCACTACAAACGTTAACGTAATAACCTTAAAAATTGGTTTAGTTATTTTCGGACATCTAAATACCTATAAGAAATAATCGACAAGTCCGCCAGTTTTACTGCAATCGATTTTAAATCACATAAAATAGTCAAATTGCATTCCACTCTGTGATTTATTTAATTGAACGCAAATGTGTGTAATTTAAAGAATACAGTAACGTGAGTTCAAATATTAGCAATGATTTTATAAATGACAATTAAAGACGAATTATCATCATGCAATAAATGTTGCGTAAGTAAATTTGAAATATTATACATTCGATTTCGATTTCGATGAATCAAAGATTAGCATGATAGTAATCCAAGAATTGAGAGACTGCATATTTGACGTCTCTCTTTCTTAGGCTCTATGATATGCATCTTTGCACGTTTTTATATCGATATATTACAAATTTAATCTACATCCAAAATGAAATACCTAATCGCAAAATGTTTACTGCGTGAAATGAAATACTGTATGATTAGTATGAACGATAAATCACTAAAGCTGGTGATGATATTGGTAGGTAATGATCTTGGTGATTATAGAATACAATTGCCCCTTTATTACAATGTTTATAGCAGTTACACAATGTTTTTAAAGTTAGATACGAGAGATTTTCTGCATAGGCACGCTATTTAAAGAGTTAACTTATACATTAGATTCTAGTGTATCAGCAATGCGACACATTTTGTTCGATGTCATTGTCAAAACATTTTTAATATTATGGCAATAATAACGAAGATTTTTCGGCAAGAACGACAAGTTAATATCACCTTTAAACATTTTATGGGGTCATTCAGCACGATTACGGCTGCCAATGCTACAGTTAAATGGCTATATGTTATCGATAGATATTATTATTCAGTAAAACAAGACAATTGTATCACTGAATTTGGTAACATTAGACTAAAGCGCTCGCCGCGTCCCATAGAAAAAATATTTCGGTGTCACTATGTTTACCTACAATATAATTGACTCAATACATCACGGTTCACTGAGACTTCAAATGTTGGAGTTGTTCCCTGTTCATGTTCATCTCTTTCAAGCGCTGTCTCAGCTGTGCTTTCTTCAAATTTGTCATTATTTGTGTTGATTGGTAGAGCCATGAACCCTGTAATGGATTTTTAGAACAATATTGCCTTTAATGTTATCGGACCAAAAAATGAAACGAAAGTATGTAAAATGTTATTACAATGTGTGAACTTTTGTAATATCATTATTGCACCAATTTCCGACCGCGGATTTCTCTGTATAAATGATCAGGATGAAAACCTAAAATATTTTCTATCCTATCCATTGATTAAGCCATAAAAGAATAAAAAACATGTTATATTAAGCTTATATTAATTATTATAGAATGTAACACATGTTCGCATACATTGCATATGCATTCTCCACGTCATTTCCCCAATGTATTTCGCCACTTAATGCTATAATTGGTAGTGTTACTAAACGTATATTAATTTTATAACAAGTGTTTTGTAAAGTTGCTCATTGAGATTCCGACAAAACGTGAGAGTGACGATAAAACAGTACAAGTACCTAGTTAGAATTACGCCGTATTGTACTAAATTATGTATAGGGCTTCCTGTTATTCAATGCGGCTGAATGTTAATGTGGCTCATTTTAACAGGATGTATATCGAAGTCTATTAATGACCTCTCCCAGTGAGCTCGATCCTCAGCTCTTCCCGTCCAGTTATAAGCCTTACTTATACAGTTGTTCCATTTAGCCATAGATCATTGTACATTAGTTTGAATACGCGCGGTCTCCATTCTAGAACACGCCCACTTGATTGTTTATCGGTCCAAAGGCAGACAAGAACAACCCACTGCTACTTTAGCATGCAAATTTGTCAAGCTATGTCGGTGACATTTATTCTCTGTCAAATTACTGCATTAGGATTCAATCCCAAACAGAAATACCAATCCTATATCTTACTATTGATTGTTACGCGGTTTCTGGTGGACTAGTAGTATTAAGTGTCCACATACCACCACCGTTTGTGGTAATGAATAAGACCAACTGATTAAACATATAAATCGTATGATTTTACTAACGAGTTGAGGTGAAGAATCGATTCCATTTTTCATACTACTTTAAAATACATATTAAAACACAAATGTATATACCTACTAGTCTGAATATTTCGATAACCTAAGTTAGGTCAGGTGCTTAAAAATAGCGATTTGCTAATAGGTACGAGTTTAGTACATACGTTCCGTTGAAATTGATAGAACGTAGAGTCATAATCTGTTTATTAAACAAAGTCCCCTTTTGAACAATTATATTTATTAATAATAAATATTCTTAAAACCTTACCGCTTCATGGGCCATTTTCACGACACTCATGATAATTATATACCAGATATATGTTTGCCATAGCAACTAGGCGTTTTCGAATAGATTTCACTAATTTTATTATACATTTTATTATCGGCGACTGTGGCTGGCATATGTACTAGTATTCTATTTTCATGAATTGATTACGTACTTTTGTCTAAATTTAATATGTATTTATGTATGTTAAAGAAGACTATTGAATAGTACGAGAAAATGCTAAAATATAATCTTTACACAAGGTCAAATACAAGCCTAAAAATTATTCAAGTACATTGTCTTCAGCAAGGTGAACATCCATTGAATAAATGTGTTGCATAAGTTGTTTCGTCATATTTATGTTGAATAAAATCACTACAAAATCATACGATTCCTAGTTGGCAAAATAATTTACGATAAGCATATATATATTTAGATTATATTTATGGTATGACTTGTAAATTAAGTGTCTTGATTTACCTATGACATACCAATAGATAATTTATCATTACTAATCAAAATTCTTGATAATGCTTTTGTGCTACATGTAAATAAAACAAAAATAGCCAACCACCGAAATATGTAGTAGATAAAGTAATCAACTTACCACCATTATCATACAATTCAGTAATATGGGAATGGAGAAGACTACTGATATGAATAGACCTTTACTGTCGAAGTACTGTTGTCTGGAAAATAGTGCCCAATTCTTTGCTGCCACTTCGTTTATGCTCTCCGAAAAGTATACCAGGAGCACTAGAACAAATGCACAGCAAGTTTTTAATAAACCATTGGCGTATATAATTCAAAACAGGCGTACAGCGAGTACATTAACAAATAATCATTCATGATTGTCTAAATGTAGGTACATATGTCTATACTAATCAGTAGACTACGCGCCGTTTTTGAAACACATTAAAACAATTTACACCCACCAATAATTTTGTCGGTAGTATTTAGTGAGAAGTCTTTTGTAAAGAGTATATTTATAAACATTAGAAACTACGATTTAACGATCATATAAGAAAATATTAGAATTATTAATACAAAGTTATAAATATATACAACAGATGTACGGACATTTTGGCTCAGTCACACGCGTTCTATGAATAAAAGAACAAGAACATATAATGGTATGTTCGACTATTATCAACAAACTTCCATTAATTTTTCATTCCAAAAACCAAAACGCGGGTATCCCAATGATATTCCACCAGAGCCACGCTGCCTTCAGTTAGGAGGGATAGGACTCAACTTTCAATAGAGGGAGCATTCTTTGCTAGCAGTAGCAGCCTTTATAGCTTAACCCAAACAAAATAGATACGATTGAAGAACGTAGTTCAAATCCGCGGTAGCTTATATAGAGAGACTGGAGGCTAACTCGTGACTGACGTATACGAATATAATCTATGGGACATCGTTAGAGGTTCGAATCTAGTAGACAGCGTATTACCATTATGTTACCAGTATCAGGGAAATGGTATACGAGGCTATACAGCACAAAACACCAGTTGTTTAGAGGTAGAAAAAGAAGAAGACCGAGGTACTTCCTCAGGATTTTTTGGTTTAGCCTGGAATAGATTAAAGACGACCACCAGGGAACATTTTCCTATAGATAGAAATCCATATTTTTTGTAAATCATATATATCATTACTAGCCTAGTAAAAATAAAGTCACAGCAAGAGAACAACAATTCGCCGTGTGCATTGATACGTCTTGCTACGTCTATTTTTATCTGGGACTCTCATACACTTTGCGGGTCCCGTCTGCCAGTTATTGCGGTTATTAAGGGGCTTTAGCACACTGTATCAAGACTCAGATTAGCTAATAGCGTGACCTCAGCTCGTGTGCATATATAATACAATTTAAGTGTTCTATTTTGTCGGACATTTAAGTCGAAGACTGGATGGCAGTCTTTTATTTACTATGTAGCTAGGCGAATACCAGTGGGTCCTTGAACTAAGATCCACATCATTATCCGTCAAACAATACATTAATAAAAATCGATTCTTTTATTTAGGTGAGAGAGTGTTTATGTTAAGACATCTTACACAGTTTTTATGCCATCTACAATGTAATTTTGTCAGGATCACGTCTTAACTTCCACTTATAGGTATTGTTTTTCTACATGTGGCGTATTTGGTAAACAATGTTCTTTTTTTCTGTAAATTGGCTTCTAAATACGTATGCTTACCAGTGTTACGACTTAATTGCACGGTGAATGTCTTTTTATCTGAACTGTGATGAAAAAATAGGATGAATAATAATTATTAATCGATTAGGTACTTATTACATTTCTTATGTAGTCGAAATGCAATTAAATTATATTTCCTAAATCTGCCATATTAATAAACACAGGATATATACTATTTTAGGCTTTATTTATTTGTATATATTCATACTAGAACATATCAGTCAGCGATTTCCATGTTGGTCTAATGACACATTTTGATTTTATTAATTATTTATATAAACTCGCGCAATCTACTTCGTTTATTATACATTCGTATAATCGCCTTTCTTTAGAAAATATTAACACTGAGCTTCTTACTTTGAATTTCTTTACGGTACTGGTTAATGTAAGTGAAGTTGTTTAATGTCACTAATACGATAGCTACGAAGCATAATTAAATGAATCACTACATTTTAATTAATAAAACCAGTCTGATGAGTATCCATAAGATTTGAGGCAAAAGTTGTCTTATCTCAGCATAACCCGTAAAAGACTTGTGGAGTAGATAAAAAAAAATACTACTTACACAGTATTATGAAAAGAATAACTTGAAAGTTTCCATAATTTCTAGTTGAAAAACATGTAACCGTAACTAGCACATGGAATGATAACAATGCTATTAGCCACGGATCACGCCACTCAATCTGAAACAATGATAATGTATATTTATACCAAATATTATTCTTCTAATAAAATAACTTTACATTGTATATGTAATCTATATTTACAATCTTCCTTCTTTGGCACTGGTTACATGCTTTGTTCTGATAGTTAATTAGTTTAGAGACAATAGAGCTACATATTGGATGATGATGGTATTACATATTTAAAAAAAAAACAAATGATGCATATGTCTTATTTGGTGTTCCAAGCTGAAGAGAAATGCCACTACTCATCCTATGTGGTTGTAGTACACTGAAGTATAAACGAAATATCTCCTTTAGAAAGTTTACACTTTATCCTGAAGAGATAAAAACCATCTCAGGTAGCAAACTCGAAAAAGTGTGAACACAATAGATCTATGTAAGTTGCAATGCTACAGGCACCTTACAATAGCCCAAACTGCTCAATAAAAAAAGTCTAGTTTATCTAAGTAAGTCTGGATTTTTATGGATGAATATGGAATGTTCCATTCAGTTTTTGTAAAGGTATATGTTGATGGAGCAGATGTAGAGGATCACGAGGTGAGGATTAATCAGACAAACAAAACAAACATATTTGTGATACCAGTCAGCCCAGGATACCTTTGACCATAGACACATGGAGATGGAAACCAATTTAAGTAAAGCTTAAATTTACACTGGTGAAACTAAATTTATATTAAGTGAATATTGTAGTTAGAGTTACATTCTTTATGTTATAGTTTTTTTATTTTTTTCCCTTAATTTCAGCATAATTTAATTCTAAAATAGTATATTGAGATTTAAAAATATAATGAAATAAATATAAAAAACAAAAAATAAGAAACATTATATGCGGGGTTAGGGAATAATTGGAGTAATAATTATTAATATCAATTAAATAGTACCAAATACGATGTTGCTCCTATGGTGGAGGAAAACCATACAAAAAAACATGATATGATAGCACTAACTGTGACATTCAATATTAACTATTGAATGAATTTTGAATATGTATGAGTTAAAACCTTTATGGACTTTAGACCTATTTGAAATACAATACACTCTATGTGTCAACTGTGAAACAATAAAAGAATAACTAAAACCAGTAACAGTATGCAATCACTGAAGTAATATTTGTTCTTAGTTTAGAGTCACATACATTAAGAGTTAAATATATTTTAAGTTTGATAGGGAACCATATTTTGTTTTATTCAATTACTTTCAGTAGCTGATTCAAACTCTAGTACTAAAAATTTCATGAAATATTTAGATTAAAAAAATATTGGCTAGCAATGCTAACTTATATTAAAGTAAACAACACAACCAAAAAATAATGTATTTATTGTCATCAGTTGATAATATCATTAAATTAATAAGACTGTCTATGTTTATATTTCCATAAATAAATTATAGTAATATTACTATATTATTCTACAAGTATTTTTATTATTTTAAATAAAATTCATGCTAAGTTTGTTTACTAAATATGTGACTTACATTGACATTACATGAAATATATTGCAGGAGTATAGATATAATTACATTGCAAAATTAGATGTAAGGCAAGAATAGGCATGTTTACATAATTCATAAAATGAAAAATATACTATGATTGTTATACAATTTATGAAACATCATTATGCATCATGCACATGAGCAACATAATAAAAGGTAATTAAATCGGATACGAGTGTCAGGGTCATAGAGTACGCGATGCGGCCTCAGGTTGCGGCGTATTCTATTGAACGAATTATTATTACCTACCTTGAACCTAGCTGCTTAAATTACAAGGACGATTATGCTGTTCTTACGTGTATTCATTGCAAAATAGAAGCACTGAATGAGTATGCTTTAAAATTATGAACTTAACTCTATAAATAGATTATTGTTCTTAATAAAAATGTAGTAGTAAATAAATACCGAATACGGACAAATGAGAGAAATAAAATTAATCAAGAATAAACACTTACGCTGCGAATGTAGGAAATAAAATCCGATATTTCATTTACTTCAATAAATTCTTCCATTTCTATTAAACTCAGTACTAGATAAAATAAAGTATACAATGGTAATAGGCACAATTCTATTAAATTAATTTAATTTGATTTAGAGAAGAATAGAATTCAGAAAACAACACAAAATGACAAGATACAGATGACAAAGTGACATCCACAAACTAAATAAATAGATGATAATACTCATTAGGATATCTCACAGACTATCTAAAGAAGTACATCCTTTTGTAAACATTTTCCGACTTAAAATTGACGTAGTGACATTGACAGTTTTGCTGTTGTTTCCTAGTAACGTAACTTTGACAGCTTTTCAGACACAGTGTAGTTTGCAGTAATAATAATAACCAAATGAAATAAAATATTTATCAATTGTTGAATATTAATTTAAAAGAAGTCCATTATTGCGATTATGTGTGATTAAACATCTATATCAGATTTGAGATTCAGCTATAAAAAAGTGTTGTTTAGTCGTAAATTGTCAGTTTTGCGTATTATGTGAAAATAAATGATTTTAATATTTGTCTTTGCGTGTAATAACAAGCCGGGGGCGCGATGTTGACAAATTATTTATTATGTTTATTATACCTATGGACAGGCTTTGTAGACAATGTGAAAAGTCAAGAAGGTTTGGGAATTTTGATTAAATCTTCCAGTGGTCTTGATTTGTTGAGTGGATGCGTTTTATTAGAAAAACAATGTTCACACCTAACCGACAATCTCGCTATACTATCGTGCTCACTGAATGCAACCCGTAACAACAAGACACAAATGCCATTTACATGCCAACATAAGATATGGCTACGACAAGTGGAATTACTCGATAATGCATTCCTTGAGGACAAATTAAAGGAGCTGTGTCACGATGATCCAGTCATATCCGATTGCCTGAACCCTAGTCAGTATGGTATAGACTGCATTTTGAAAAAGAAACCCAGTATAAGGAATAAGAATTGTTGGAGAATGATTAATAAAATTGAATCTTTGATTTTTAATGATTGGCAAATTACAGTTAATTTTCTGAAAAATTGTTATGATGACATCCAAACTCAGACATGTGGTAGAATTCCACCTGACCCAAAAAGCTTGTCTCAAACTCAGACATTGAAGTGCCTGCTAACTAAAGAGCAGACCTTGAAACCAGAATGTCAGTCCGAAATGACAGTACTGAATGAAATGAAATATAACACTTTGCAGCTAGACAAACTTGTGTTTGCTGCATGCAATTTGGATCAAAAAACCTTTTGCTCAGATGAAGTACCAGGTTCATGGTTGATGTACAAATGTCTTGTAAGCCATAAAAATGAAATAGGTATGTGGGATTTATCTTTTCAATAAAATCACTCCTATTACTTAAACATATAATACTGTTTTGTTTATGAAGAGTCTTCACTATCAATCTTTTCACATTTGAATGATTTGTAATTATCTGATTGGTTATTCTGTATAATTATAAAACTGTCATATTCAAACTGTTTAATTTTATTCTTACAATATTTATGGCTAGGGTTTCATAAACCAACCCCTATTCTCTTTGTATAGGGGACCAGTATACACACAATATATCAAAATAATATACCTATTACTAAAAAGCTTTATTGCAATCTTTCACTAAGAAAGCTGTACAAGCAATCCTACAATGTATACTAATTTAAGCCAAAGCCTACAAAATATACTATTTTGAGTAGTGTAAATAAAATTCTTCTGTGTGTAAAATGTGTACATGGATTAAGATACATACAGTTATAATTTATTTCATCTGTGGTATCAGTTAAATGATATTGTAATGAGATAAGTACAAAATTATGAACCAAGTCACATTTGTATTCAGTTTATATGATTTGTATCTTCTATTACTTTGAAAATTCTAACAATATTGACACAATCCTATCTTACCTAATATAAGTGGAAATATTTATCACTGTTAATATAATTACTATTAATTTTTAACATCATAATATCTTGATATAAATTCTTGATATTTTAATTTTCAGGAATGACAAGAAGATGTCAGGATCAATTATTCTATGACCAAAGAAATGTAGTAATGAATTACAGGATGAGCAAAGGTTTAGTGAAGGCTTGCAGGGAAGACATTAGAAAATATCATTGCAGAAAAGGTGTTGTAGAAGACAAAGATGTCAGACTTGCACAAATTTTGTTTTGCTTAGAAAATATTACTAGAAATGATAATAGCACAAAACTTTCCAATGAATGTGTTGCTGAAATGAATGATCATAGAAAAATGCTTATGGATGATTATAGACTATCGCCAGAATTGATGCAAAATTGTGCAAATGATATAACAAATCTATGTAGAGGAGTTGAAACTGGTGGCAAAACTATACACTGTCTGATGGATCATGCTAGACCTAGAAGGAGAAAGGAAAAAAGAATAAGTGTTGCTTGTCAGAAATCTTTAGAAGTTTTGGTGCAAGAGGCTGATCCTGGGGAAGATTGGAGGGTTGATCCAATTTTACGTAAGGCTTGTAAAGCTGTGGTTGATAGAGCATGTACAGAAATAAATGGGGGCAATGGAAGGGTCATGTCTTGTTTAATGGAGAAGCTTGGCACTGAACTCATGTCCAATGATTGTGAAACCGCTTTGCTACAGATACAATACTTCATCTCCAGAGACTTTAAACTTGATCCTCAGTTGTACAAAGCTTGTAAGTATGATGCTGTTACCCAATGTAAAGCAAAGCTTCATTGGGCTGAGACAAGTGAATATAAATCTGAAAATGACCCTTTAATACTACCCTGTTTATACAACTATGCTTACAATTCAGAGTTAAGGGGCATCTTAAAGCCAGCATGTGAACAACAAGTAAGAAGAGTAATGAGACAAAGAGCTGTTAGTGTAGACTTATTACCTGAAGTAGAAGACTCTTGTATTGATGATTTAGCAAATTTATGTTTTGAAGATACTGGCAAAGGAGAAGAAATACTTTGTTTACAGAAGAAGATTAAAGAATTGTCACCTAAATGTAAAGAAGTTGTTACAAATTTCACTGAAACACAGAGTGGACACATAGAGTTAAATGCAGTTGTCAACATTAACTGTAGAGTCCCTATTGAAAGGCTGTGTTCATCTGAGCTAAAAAGTAAAAAAGATGAGGATGATATCATGGAATGTTTAATCTCTCATAAGAATGATGCAGAAATTAAAGCCAATGTAAAATGTCGTGCTGCTATTGAACATGAACAATTAATTGCATTAAAAAATTATAGGTTTACAAGGAAGTTTAAAAATGCTTGTAAATCCTATGTTATCCGATTCTGTCCTAAAGCACAAACTAAAAGCCAAGTTGTAAATTGTTTGAGTGAAATTGTAAGAAACGACACTATAACTAGAAGAAAACACACTATTTATAGAGATTGTCGTCAACAATTAAGAAGTCAACTATTTCAACAGAAGGAGAACATAGATTTGGATCCTGAATTAAAAGAGTCCTGTAAAAAAGATTTACAAATACACTGTGGAACTGTTGAGCATGGTGAATCTGCTGCATTGGAATGTCTTCAAACTGCTAGAGGAAAGTTATCTGATGGGTGCAGGAAAGCTATATTTTTAGTAAGAAAACAGGAATTCGCTGACAATGCTATTGATTATCATTTAGTAACAAGTTGTAATGATATGATTGATCTGTATTGCCACAATACTCAGCTAGCCAAAATACTAGAATGTTTAAAGGTAACTATTTTAAACATTCTTATAGAAAAACAATCTGTTATCAATATAATATATTATATTAATTTGTTTATTGCAGATACATAGACGAAAGCCAGATTTTGACGAAACTTGCAAAATGGTTATTGTAAACAGACTGATTGAGCAGAATTTGGACTATCGTTTTAATAACAATTTACAAAATGCATGTAAAGATGATATAAAAAGATTTTGCTCAGAAGTTATTGGTATGAATTTTTGTTATAACATTTTCTTTAAATAGCAATAATTGCAAGTGCTTATCTAATTTTCAAGGAAAATATAATTTTTATTACTTCATAAATGTTTTTTATGATATAGCTGTTATCACAGCTTAATATAATAAAAATAACAAATTATAATAGATTAAATGAATAACCTCTACACAAAACTTTACAGACATATTTGTACTAAATGCCAAGAAACTATCCATCCTCATATATATATATATATATATATATATATATATATATATATATATATATAAATTATTGATATTATAGTAAATTAAACTGTTTTCATTTCACAGCATTAGAACCCCAAGATGTTGAATTAGAAGGAAAAGTATTATATTGCTTAAAAGAAAAGTTCCGAAAATCACAACTTACGACATCCTGTAAGGATGAACTAGCTAATGTATTGAAAGAACAGGCATTGAATTATCGTCTCGATCCTTTATTAGGGCAATTGTGTCAGGCAGAGATTAAAACTATTTGTGCACATGATGCTAATACAAACTCTGATGGCCAGGTACAGTAATAATATAGGTATCATTTGTATAATTGTGTATCTTTTACATTATAATTACTTCTGTTCAGTAATAAAACAGATATAAATTCTGTGGCATAGTTGTGACTGGCAATAGTTGCACGGGATTTTCATTCAATGTTAGACATAGACACTTTTACAAATACCTATACATTGTAAATAATCTGGCTTTTAAAAAAAAAGTAATTCAATTGAGTTTATTGCCAGTTCTTCTCAATTGGATCTATATACCGAAGTGGATGGTAGGGGAAAAAATTATAATGTAAAAACGTTCATAAGCGGCTAAAATGTCCTACATGAATAAATTATTTTTGAATAAACTTTTTAAGGCTTTTACCCACATGGGACCATATATAAAGTAACATTAAATTTGAAACATTTACCTAAAAATTCTATTAACGAGAAAATTAAAGCTTAAATAGATAAATAGTTATGTTTCAACACATTGTTTTATCCAAATTAGGTAATGTAGTGCTGTTCATGGAAACTAACTTTTGAGACCCATCTTGATATTGTCTATAAACTTTATTTACATTGTCTAAATTTTATTCAAATAGGTAGAAGAATGTCTGAAGAATGCACTACTGCATCATAAAATAGTAACACCAGAATGTGCACGAGAAGTTGTACAGATAATAGAAGAAACGGAAGTTGATATTGAAGTTGATCCACTTTTAGAGCGTGCTTGTACATTCGACCTATTGAAGTATTGCAAAGATCTCGAACATGGCGCTGGAAGACGTAAGAAATATACTTTAAATTATTACACTATACAATAATATATGATTTTAAATTTTAAAGCAAGTTAAAATATTTGGATAGCTACAATAATTTTAAACAGAAAATCTATAATTTGATAACTTTACATTTCAATTGCAATCAAATACTTATATAGTAGTCTATAAATATTTTCTTTTAAAAAGTACTTATTCAATATTTCTCTTATATCGGAAACCAATTATATCAAACTGGTAGTTGGTTGTAATAATTTTATAATTTCTATTTTTGTAGGATACTTTTTTTATATATTTGGTTGGCTATAAGATGCAAAATGCCAAGATCAGCTAGTAATAATGTAAAAGACCAATTACTTTGCAAGGACAAATTAAATATCAAGCACATAAGATGATCAAAAAGAAACACAGATATTACTACTCAATCTTACATTATTTACAATGTGATTATATTCAACCTATTTTTTAATAAATTCAATTAATGATTTTAAATTTCTTTACAGGTTTGAAATGTTTAAAAATAATACTCAATGATAGTAATAGAAAATTAGAAACGGAATGTGAGAAGGAGCTTTCCAGTAGATTGGAAATGTATAAATATGTTGCTTCTGTAAGTACCTAAATTACTTGAAAAACAACCCAGTATACAACAAGCTTGTTTACTGGCAGATTGCATTAAATGTGCATATAAATAGTGTATTAAAATAAATATTTTTATAATTTCTACAAGATTGTTTTTAAATAATTATAATTGTAAAATGTTTTATTTTAACAAATGCTTATTGTTTCAGATAAATGTATTAGAAGATTTTGGGGATGTATTAAATGAACTATCATATTCACCATCTAAGAAATATTTTATAGTGGTATTCTGTTCCATTTTAGGATTAATTTTTATATTTGGCTTATATTGTGGACGTATGACTAAGAAAGCTATGTATGTTAAAAAGAAATAGATAATCAATGTTAATATCAATTAAAAATCAATATACACATAGAATTTTTTACAATATTTTTTATTTGCTCTTTCAGTATGCTTTAAAAAATATTTGTATGTGATAATTATTCTTATATTATTATCCTTCAACTATTTCATCCAGATCCATTTCATCCATATTGTTAAGAGGCTCCTGAGTAATAGTGTTATTTTCTTTCTTAGGTTCAATCTTGAATTCACCTTTAAGAAGTTTTTGACTTTCTTCATAATATTGATTGGGGTGATTAATTCCTATGCCCAAGTCAATATTGTGAACTGCATCAAAGTACTTACTGCAAGCCACTTGGAAATGACCTCTTTTGGTAGTGTCAACTATATTTTGGATAGCTAAAACAAAAAATTAAAATAATTAGTTATGAAATGAGTGCCAAATTTCTATTGAGGGTCTGTTTTCTAGCATTTTAGCACACTGCTTAACTACTGATAATGATGTTGCAGGTTCAATTCCTCTCACAGTGCAAATATTTGATCATGAGTATGATTGTTTATATTAGTCTGGATAATACCTGTGTATTATGTAAATATTTATAAAAAAACAAGCATTTAAATATGAATATTAGTTTTTTAAAATCCATAGCACAAGCTCTGCTTAACTTGGGACTAGATGGTATTGTGTGAATTGTCCATTGTCTAGAATTATTATTAACATAATTATACTAATATCACACTACTTACTTTGTGAATTAAATCCATATCCTTGTAACTTATTTTTCAAACTGCCAACATCACAATGTTTATAGGGGCATCCATGACAATCCTGGGGCCCCACAGTATTATTTATAATTTTTAAACAACTAAACGGAGAATAGTCTTTTTTACTCCCTTCTTTACCATAATTATATCGGACATTGTAAGCATATTGTTTATCAAATTTATCAAGTTCCATTATCTTTGTGAACTCTTCTCTCCAAAATCTAAGAGAATCTTCAAGAGTAACACCTATACCTTTCAAAAATAGACCATACTGAAGTCTTCCTCCATGTTTCAAATGATGAGCCACGCGCAACTGTTCATGTAGTTGCCTCATACACAATGGGAATGATTTAACGGACAAAGTATCTAATATTTCAATTGGTACAATAGCTTTAGGATTGCTATAGTCATTGCCAGTGTATGTCTGATGCAAGCATTTCAATAAGCTCACAAGTCTTTCATCTTGTTCTATCTCACCAAGATGATGGCAGGCAATAGCTAAGCTCTGTTTCAAATGTATTCTAAACTGTGCCGAAAGCACAGATACAAAATCTTTATGAGGAATGTATGCATAACCTGCATGGAGATAAACTTTTCTTAGTTTTACTAAATCTAAAACTTCATAAAATTTTACTTTATAAAATTTCATATTATCCACATTGTGATATGGTGTTGAATCTCTCAAATAGTGTATTATATCATTTTTCTCTTCATCAGAAATGTTAGTGTAACATAAGTTATTCAACTTAAAGAATGTGTCTACTGACTCAGTATTCATTATCGTAAATCTCATTTTGAAGAGCTCCAGCTCTCTTGTAATAAACCATCGTCGAAGTTCTTCAGTTCTACAATAAGCTAATCTAAGTATAAAATGAGCAATGTGATCTTTACGCCTGGCTTGTAGATCCATTTCAGTACTGGCACAACCCGATTTTTCACATAATTTTGCATAATATTTCAAGCCTTTATTCCGCAACTCTGTTAAAATATGTTCCCTCCACTCGTTTGAGTACGGACGTAAATTTTTTAGAGTAGTTGCTGTAGCTAGACATCTCAATAAATTCAATCGTTCCAAAGCCAATGTTTCAAATTCTTGCAAAGAAATATTATCAATGGGTGGAATTTTATACAACTGCAAATCATGTGGATAGTTTTCTACGAGACTACCAGTAGTAGGAGTCTTTGTAGAACGTCTTTTAATATTTAAATCCATTTTAACAGTCTATAATACAATTGAATTAGCTCTAGAAGAGCTAATTCATTAAGAAATAAAGTTGCTTTCAATTACAAAATTCGAAAAAACTCACTGTCTAATAACTACTTAGATATTAGTTAAAACTAAGTAATTAGAGTAAATAATTTTTGGCGCCATTCACTTGAGACTAATGTCACGAACTATTTTTTTTTTAATTTTGGTTCTGTTTATATTTTAAGAGAGGCAGGGGAAACTTTGTCCATACAGTCACAAGCAAATAAATGAAATGTAACAATATTATATTTTTTGTTCAGATTTATTGCTTTGGATACCACTACCTTTTTAAATCTTACAATATATGTATCTGATCCATAGAGTACACCACCCTCAACCAGAAGGAGATTATTCATTAACAAGGATGGGTGCTGCTATTTAAATAATGCGACTAATATATTAACAACTTCTTAATAAGTAGTAGTTGTAAGTTATTACAATGTTGTAAATAAAACGTTATGTTAGAAAAAAAAAATATTTTATTCGCTTAAGTCATAATTTAGGTTACATACATAAATTATCAACACCATTACCATAAATTATACAGAGAAACAGAAATGCTTACAAGCGCGATACTCATTACTGTCGTATACTTATATTTACTCTTTCGTATTGCCTTAGCATCTCTACTATGTACCATGACAAAATGTTTTGAAAACATAGGTATAATAGCGTTTCAAACACTCAAGATTGTATCACGACTTACTGAAATTTTAATACTCCGTATACTTATTACTTGTTCTATGGTTATTGGTTACCGAGACGTTACCGTTGATCAATCACATGCCCGTTTGTGTCACTTCTTCTTGTCAAATGTCAAAGTCAAATTTTGAGAATGTGATGTCTGATGTGTCCTAACTGTGTCCAACTCTTTAATTTCTTTATACTTGTATAGAATAAATGCTAATCAAATTATATTAAATTCAAAAGCAATTTCTTCTGTGAAAATGTATATTGTTTAAGAACATTTAGGTTGTATGACCTACAAATTGTTGTATCGTGATTAGTATAGCATATTTTAATTGTATCATGGTATCAAATAAAATGCAGTCGTCTTTGGACGATTTAGTTCAATATACACAACTTTTTAAGCCGGTAGCTACCATCTTACAAGGGACTATACTTCCTTTTTTATTAATTTACCCTGCTATATTCTATTCATGGATCGTAGTTTACGGTTTCGAGGATAATTTCGAAGCTGGTTTCGTCACGGTGGCAATTGTGGCGGTTGTACAAATTCTGATTTGCCTTTGCTGTTATTGGAGTGTTCACGTTCAATGTTTCTTATCCTGTTCGGCGGTAAGACATTTATCTAATAGTAAAAATAAAATATATTAGTATTGTAGTGTTTATGTTATACATATAGATTAATAATTTTATTGAAATGCGACTACCAGTATATAAATATCGTCTGACGGCGAAAACTATAATTTAGTCAGCTTATAAACGTGGAGATATTATTTTTACAATTCTAGTTTATGTTATTTGGCAAATTTAATCAATAAAATGAATAATCAAACCTATGTACCTGAATAAACCTAAGGTTATGATAATGAAAAATATTGGGCCAAATATTAATTCCAATGATTTTAAAGACTGTTTTGCTTCTATTAATATTTAACTCATCAATATCAGTCAAGAATAAGTTATATAAATTTACACAGGTCTAGTACCTCAATTATACAATGTATTAATGTCTGTAATATCCATGTCACATCTGGTGATTTATAATTTTTTAATGTAATACTTCATAATTATAGGTAAAAGATCCAAGCAAGGCTCAAATAGTGAAAGTTGTTCCAACATTAAACAATGGCTTTTCAGAAATTGTTAAACTTCATCATACAGAGGTAATTATAACTAGAGATTGAGTTAACAAAGTATCAAAAAATTATATTATAATAGTTTAATTTTTTGTTGTTTCATATTCCTTAGAGAGTGGCAAACTATATTAACAATATTAAATTTATTGTTACCACATATATAAGAAAGATTAAAGTTATCTGCTTAACAAATATGGATATTAGTACATTAAAATGATGTCTAACACACATGCATGTGTTAGATTGTATATTATGCATAGGCAGGTCACCACAGGAGGATGAGGATGACATCAGATTTGTTAGCATATAATTTCAGTAATTAACCATGTTGCTTTCCAGCGTGGATGGCATAGTGGTCTACCAGAAAAATACCAATGAGATCACTAGTCCTCTTAACTAACAATGTGTGACTTGTCTCAATGCCTTCTCACAACTATATGGAATTATGCTGAAATGTTACATATATTATACACACATAGATATAGTATGCACTTAACTTTTATACTTTAACATCATATATTTTTTATTAATTTTATTTATTACCATTATTTTAATAGATAAGTTAATTTTGTTCTTGTTTATAAATATTTCAATACCTATACTTTTCTTCTCCATATTGTTTCAGTCACTGCCCTGATGTCATAGTGTCTTAAATTATAATAAAACTTAAGAATACTTTTGAAATGATAATATTTATTTATTTTTTTAGTCGACCAAAAAAGGAAACACTAATCCAGATCTGTGGTTCATTTTTCAAAAAAGCAAATATATTTACGATTGGGATAAAAAAACTTTTCACACAGTTGAGTTTCCTACTAACAAATCATATGAGGAGTACATGGAGTCCAAAGGTTATACAGATGATGAAAGTGTAGAAATTGCTGAGAAGGAGTTTGGGAAGAATGAAATGATCATGGTATGTATTTATAAAAACTATTATATCAATTTTATATATTTTAAATTTAATAAATAATATAAGATGAGTTATGCTAATCTTACTGACTAATATTATTCTTAAAATATATGTTGAATAGAATATACACAAAATTGCTTCACAATCGTAAATAATTCATAATTCAATTTAATGACAAATCATTATCAATAAATAGCTATGAGTAATTAAAAAAATTAAAGGCTACATTACCTGTATTTTATGAAACTCAAGCATTAAATTTCTAAGTTTTGTGAGTTAGTGTTTGTTTGTAGTAATCACTTGTGTCTATTGTTATCTTAATAATGCAGAAATTGTAATATCAAATTTTTTTTAGGTAGTACCAGAATTTATGGAATTATTTAAAGAAAGAGCAACAGCACCGTTTTTTGTATTCCAAGTATTTTGTGTTGCTCTATGGTGCCTTGATAGATATTGGTATTACTCAATATTTACTCTGGTGATGCTTGTCATGTTTGAATGCACTTTAGTCCAGCAGCAGCTTAGAAATATGGCTGAGATTCGTAAAATGGGTAATAAGCCCTATAATATTAGTGTATATAGGAATAGAAGATGGCGTCAGATAATGAGTGATCAGCTTGTACCAGGCGACATAGTGTCTGTGACGAGATCTTTAAATGAAAATCTAGTTCCTTGCGACATCGTGCTTTTAAGAGGATCTTGTATTGTTGATGAATCTATGTTAACTGGTGAGAGTGTGCCACAAATGAAGGAATCCTTAGAAAATGTAAAAAGTCTGAAACAAAATCTAGATCCGGAAGGAGATGGAAAACTGCATATGCTCTTTGGTGGAACAAAAATTGTCCAACACTCATCTCCAAGTAAAATTACATCTAGTCTAAAGGCCCCTGATAATGGGTGTATAGGTTATGTTATCCGTAATGGATTTAATACATCTCAGGGCAAATTACTAAGAACAATTCTATTTGGTGTTAAAAGAGTAACAGCTAATAATATTGAAACATTTGGTTTTATTCTATTTTTATTGATCTTTGCAATTGCAGCAGCTGCTTATGTATGGATTAAAGGTTGTGAGGACCCAGAGAGAAACAGATACAAATTGTTTTTAGAATGCACTTTAATTTTGACATCAGTGGTTCCTCCTGAACTACCTATAGAATTATCGTTAGCAGTGAACACATCATTGCTGTCATTGTCGAAGCTGGCGGTATTCTGTACAGAACCTTTTCGAATACCCTTTGCAGGCAAAGTAGAAATTTGTTGTTTTGATAAAACCGGAACATTGACAAGCGATAATTTAGTAGTAGAAGGTGTAGCTGGTATAGGTGATCATACAATTGCTACTGTTATACCACTATCTGATGCTCCAATAGAAACAATACAAGTACTTGCAACATGTCACTCCCTCGTACAACTGGAGGATGGTGTTGTAGGCGATCCTTTAGAAAAAGCTACACTAAAGGCAGCTGAATGGAACTTAACTAAAGGAGATGCAGTGGTGCCAAAGAGAGGGAAGTCACCTGGTCTGAAAATTGTACATAGAAATCATTTTTCAAGTGCTCTTAAAAGAATGTCTGTAATTGCTGGTTACCAAATTAATGAGAGGGGTTTTATGGAGACACATTATATTAGTAGTGTTAAAGGTGCGCCTGAAACTATCAAGAGTATGCTGAAAGAAGTTCCTAGTCATTATGACCATGTTTATTTGACATTGTCGAGACGAGGCGCTAGAGTTTTAGCTCTGGGTTATAGAAATTTAGGAAAATTAAGTTCTCAAGAGCTTAGGGAATTGTCCAGAGAAGATATTGAGTCTGATTTGACATTTGTTGGATTCGTAATTATATCGTGTCCTTTAAAGAGTGATTCTAAAAAGGCAATAAGTGAAATAATTCATGCGTCTCATTCCGTTGTTATGATAACTGGAGATAATCCATTGACAGCGTGTCATGTTGCCAAAGAGTTGAAGTTCACCCAAAAAACCGAAGTTTTAATATTAACAGAAGACAATAGGCAATGGAGTTGGAAGAGTATAGACGAGGAAATGAGTCTCCCAGTGGAGCCTTTTAAAACAAGTAAACAGTTAACTTCGAAGTTTGATCTCTGTATAACGGGTGAAGGCCTTACATTCCTTAATGAGCATCATCACAAGTTTTTGATACAGTTGATGCCTCATATAAAAGTTTTTGCTAGATTTGCGCCTAAGCAGAAAGAGTTTGTAATTGTAACATTGAAGTCACTTGGATATGTCACATTAATGTGCGGTGACGGTACCAATGACGTAGGCGCATTGAAACATGCAGATGTAAGTATATTTGTATACATATATTATCTATTACCATTAAAAACGCTAGTTACCGATTATGAGAATACCTGCAAAAATCTCAATGTACAATGTATTATATACTAGCTATGCCCGAGGTTTCACCCACGTCAAATTTGAATAAGAAATATATTATAGGTTTTCTGATGCATATGAATGGTATGATGCATATGGATTTTGATAAAACTTTGCAGTAATAGCTATACTGCAAAGTTTTATCAAAATCCATTCAGTAGTTCTTGCGTGAAACAGTAATAAACATCCTTACTTACAAAGTTTCGCGTTTATAATATTATTAAGATAAATGCATAACATAGAATATACTTTATTTGCAATATACAGTAAATGAAAGATTTACATAATATATTAAGTTACACATGTATAACATAATAAGGCCGTTTTGCTAATCGCAATCTTTTAAGACATCCTTAGGTCATTTACCTAAGGATGTTTAATTATCGATCTTTTAGGTAGGTTATATGCGTAACATAGTAAAAAATAACAAGAATATAACGATGAAGGAAAATACGATAGTAAGTAAAATATAATTATAATAACACTTTAATTGGATACACTTACATGAACTTATAATCTTAACTTAATATGTATGTAAGTAGTTTATAATATATAACACATATATAAACTACTTACATAAATATTAAGTTAAGATAAATATATAAATTTAGATTAAAATGTCACACTATAGGAATGAAATTTAAATATGAGCAATTCGTTTGCTACTCACGAGCATTCGTTTGCTGCTCTGTCTGATACTCACGAGTTTAGATGTGATCCAGGACCCTTTCCAGAAGTCTTACAATATTGCTACTAATTTTGATGCCACATATAAACCATCTTAACCATATTCTTATAAAGTGGATGTGCTTTTGTAGACAAGCACATATTGATACATATATTTCAATTTACAGGTAGGCGTGGCCATATTGGCAAATGCTCCAGAGCGTTCCCGCGAGAAACCTAAAGAGGAGCACATTCCTGAAATAGAGGCACCCCGCCGTCCTCCAGGACCTCGAGACCCTCGCGCCGAGGCTCGTGCTGAAGCTACTGCTAGAATTCGCAGAGCTATGAAGAAACTAGAAGAGGAAGACCAGCCCCAATTAGTTAGGTTAGGAGACGCTAGTGTTGCGGCGCCGTTCACTAGTCGATTGTCCAGTATTCTATGCAGTGAGTTTTTTTTATAATTGTAAATACATCTTGAATTTCAAATATTTTAAAAGTATTTGATACTAAATTTAAAAGCCATAGATTTTCATTTTTATAGTTTAATTAATGACAATTCTTTATTATGAAATAATGCTGTAACAGACAAAATAGAATCTCATTTACATTTCTTGAAGAATGAAATGCTGAAGATACAAATTTGATAAATTTCTAATTTTTATATTATTTTTTCCTCAGTCTGCCACATAATCAAACAAGGTCGTTGCACTCTCGTGACGACGCTGCAAATGTTTAAGATTTTGGCTCTAAACGCTCTCATCCTAGCGTACAGTCAATCAGTCTTGTATCTCGATGGAATCAAGTTTAGTGATACGCAAGCCACGCTTCAAAGTTTGCTGCTCGCGTCGTGTTTCTTGTTTATATCGAGATCAAAGGTAATTAAATATTCGACGACCTGATTGGTTACTGTTTTACATTCCGCCTTACTTGTAATGATTGCGGGATCGATTCCTGCACAATACAAATGTGTATATAAAAATATTACTATTAGTTGCCTAGTTGATAGGTACGCGTCCTACCACGTTGTATCCTAGTGTGGCGAATCGCTGCATCTGGTATAACAGTTATAGACTAAGAAATGTAATGTAATATAGTTGTTTTATATATGAATAATGATTTTCAGCCGCTGAAACAGTTGTCCAAACAGAGACCATTGCCAAACATCTTCAACGTGTATACCATCATGACTGTTCTTACTCAGTTTATGGTTCACTTCCTCTGTCTGGTTTATTTGGTGCATGAAGCTACTGCTCGATCCCCGAACAGGTAAGCATAGTTTTGTTTTGCTATAACTTTACTATTGCACTACTAAGTTAGCCACCATAAGACCCGGGAATAGAAAATGGTAACCCATGTCTCGTTCATTGTTGACATTTTATATTTAGACATCGTCCGCATAGCAAAACTGATGTTAACATATATAACTATTGTCGACATTTTGGAAGAACACTTTGTTAAGGAATACATGAAAACTACAGACATCAGACATCGACGTCTTCGGTGGTCTAATGGTTTAGCTCACCGCTTTAATTACGATTGTGGCGAGTGCGATACCTCACGGTATAAACATTTATATTCATGTGGTTGATTGTTTGTATCGGTCTGGGTTTTTTCTATAGTATATTATATTATATATTTATAAAATATATCTATGTATTTATCGAGCCTTGCAAGCATATGTATTCACGAGTGTTTGTATTGATCTGAGTGTTTGTATATTATATTATGCATACTACTGCTTGGCAGCTGAAATAGGCGAGACAGACTTATCCAAGGAGATAACTTTGTATTTGTCGGTAATGTATTTATTTATAAATTTAAATAACATTATATATGCAACAGTATATTCATAATGATTTTTACAATATTTAATTAATTTCTTTACAGAGATACAAAGCCGAAATTAGATATGGATCTAGCAGAAGATGAGGAGCGAGAGTTTGCACCCGACCTATTAAATAGTACAGTTTACATTATTTCGATGGCGCTACAAATATCTACATTTGCAATAAACTATAGGGTATGTATCCATGTTTCACTGAGTGGCTGTTTCACTATTTTATGTAATTTATTTTACATAGGAAAAGCAAATAAGCTGACGGGCCATTTAATATTAAATCATAACTATGTATAAATAAACATCTGACACCCCTTATAAGTTGGCATTCCGGAATTATTTCACTGTCTTTCTCTTCAACCTTAATACGACTTACAAATGAGATAATAAACCTTGTACATTAGAATAACACATTGGCTATAAATATCTCTCAGGCGAAACCGCGGGCTCGGCTATCTATCTGTATAACTCAAAGGTGACTGACATAGTGATCTATCAACGCACAGCCCAAACCACTGGACGGATCGGGCTGAAATTTAGCATGCAGGTAGATGTTATGACGTAGGCATCCTCTAAGAAAGGATTTTGATTAATTCTACCCCCAAGGGGATAAAATAGGGGATGAAAGTTTGTAACAAACTTTGTCAATTTTAAACCGATCGGGTTGACACTTTGCATGCATAAAGCTACTGTGACGTAGGCATCCCCTAAGAAAGGGTTTTTGATAAATTCCACCCCTAAGGCTATAAATTAACGCGAGCAAAAGCTAGTTAAAGCTAGTTACGGAATAGGTTTATTTTACTTTAGCAGTCCATAATACTTGCATATTGCATCTGCACTCAATAGATTGTTTATTAAGATTATTGTATGGACATTTTATTTGTTACAGGGCGAGCCATTTATGGAGGGTCTTCGCGACAACAAACCTCTATTGTACAGCATCGTGATATCTGGAGGCACGGTGCTTGCTCTCGCTGCCGGATTATTGCCCGAACTGACTAATATGTTCGAAATTGTTTATTTTCCACCTGATGTGAGTACACAAAGTTATTTATCAAAAGTAATACAAATAAGTTTAAGTTATATAAGTTTTATAAAAAAATACATGCAAATATTTATCTGCATGAACCTTGTACATATATATAAAGTGAAAACATTTTATCAATTTTGAAGCACGAGTGGATGTCTTTGAATTCTTATTATCATCGACCTATCTCTACACTAGTCGGTTTATTATGTAGCCTTTTATTACGACCTTTCCTTTTCTTACACTCGTGTACGTATGGGCCACTATGGGCAATCTAACATAACTAAGTTGTACAATTTCCTTCAAATGATATGACTTGGAATGGAAATCAAGCATCTTACTTGGTGAACAGTGAACAATAATTTATATTGAATCTCATTGAACTTCTTAAATGATTTTCTTGTCCATTATTAATTATTTGTTGTTTATGTGTATGGTACAAAAATTGGTATTAGAACGAATTTTATGAACCTTTTGATAATAAGATATTTGTTTGCCACTATTGTCATATAATTAAAAATTATATAAATTTTCTTTATAGTAAGAGAGTCCTGTGTTAATGTATAATAATTTGTTTCAGTTCCGGGTTATATTAGTACAAATTTTGATAGCCGATATGGTATTCGCTTACTTGGTGGACCGTCTATGCCTCTGGCTCTTCGGAGAGGGTGCCCTGCGTAAGCTCACGTAACAAGCATTCAACGTTCCAAATTCTTTATTGTCCTGTTATATTAGTAAAAATCTATAATATATATTTATGTAAATATTGCTAATATTGTAGTTTTGGTGTGGGTGCCCTTATGCATGAGTGGGATATTGTGCTGCTCAAATATAACGTGCATTTATTAGTATGAATGTGTTAATATTAAATATATTTATGAAATATGAAATAAATGTGTAGTAAATTGATATATTCAGAATTTTATTAATAATCCTATTCTAATATTTAAGCTACTTCAATATTTTATTGTTTTATTTTAGGAGACTACCACGACTTTCTTCTGTGAAAAAGTAAGGTACTCAAATTATATATATGTATTCCAGTATAAATGTAGAAAACAGAATCAGAATATCATTCTATCGCTATTAAATGATCAACAATTTCCATTAGATGATGCAAATCATTTCCATTACGTACTATTGGAAAATATATTCATGATGTATGTATACAACTATGATAATTATCTGATAATGACTTAATTAACAAGTTAAAACTCACCAAACCGAAAGTAAAAACTACAAGGTAATTGGTAATGTAATAATGAGCAGAGAACCGTTTATGCAATGTTCGCTAGCATATATAAACTTTCAAATTGTTCTATTGAAGTTCTATGAAATGCGTAGAAATATAGTAGGTATACTTTTATAGTAAAGAATCATATTTATATTTAAAAAAAAATAGTATATTTGTATTCGTACAATATATTTATTTACACAGATTCCCACATCACTTGGCTTACACAGCATTATATACACTATTCGAGTTTTCACTCATGAACTAAAAGTTGCAAACGTGAAAAAAAGAATAGGCTCATATCGTCCATAAGAATCGCAATAACCGTTACAATCACACTTTAGTGCTTCCACGCGCCTAGGCCGAGATCTCCAAGACCTCCTAATCCGAGGCTGCCCCATGCGCCTAGTCCTCCGAGGCCTATAGGACCTGCGGTTAATATTGGGGCCGCGATTGGAGCTGCGATGGGTCCAAGAGGGGCGATTGGTGCAATAGAGGCGATAGGTGCGATGGGAGCGATGGGTGCAACGATTTGTTTAGCGACTGGCGCGAGTATCGGCTGTGGGTGGACGGCCGGTCCTAGCCGCTTGACAACAGCGTTGAATCCGGAAACGGCATCGGCTGCGTAGTCGACGACTCGGATGGTGCCGTCAGGTTCGGCGACTGAGTATGAGCCCTTGACTACATCACCGTCTCGGAGTTCCGTTTGTGCTTTATTGTCTCCTGTTAAAGGATCGTTGACTGCGTAATTAAAGCCGTAACGGGGAATGTTCTGGAACATATTAAATATTACTTTAATATATTAAATACAATCATCACAACTCAACACATAACGTACCATAATACAGTAGAATTACGAAATTATTTTAGAGCTGGTTTTTGATCGACTAATTGATTAAGGTGGAATAGACAAAACAAAGATAATACTGTACTAATAGTATCTAGTAAATACCTACACTATACAGAACTGGTAGAAAATGTATGCATGAGGTAGAAACAAAAAATATTTCATTAATTTCAAACAACACTTTCAATAAGTAATCGATAGTACCTATGTATATACTATTGAAATTGAACACTAATTGTGCTTAGTTTTTTTTGTCGTGTCAATTGACATCAGTGCATAGGTATATAGTCATATTTATTTAAACAACAAAGTCATGAATATAATAAGGTATCTATAGTATGATACTAACCACGGAGCTGACGCCAACGCCGACTTGTAATGGAGATATGGCCAACGGAGGTACCGCGGCCGCCACTCCGAACACGCAGGCAATCTAGAAACAGAAGTTAAACACTGTAACTTAATTAAATTAAGGCACAAATACAATATATATTGTACATAACATATTGTACAACACCAATGGGCGTTCTCTACCAGACAACCATAAGGCAAACTGAGAAATTAGTACGTAAGCGGTGCATCACAGTTAACAAACTAAACTACGGGGTAACTTTTCGTCAAACTGCATAAATATAACATAAATTATTTCTTAAATAAATTCACCATGTCTAATAACATGTGTGTATTTACAAGAACGAATTATATAGTTCTTTGTATGAGCTGTTTAGTAGCATCATACAAGCTCTGCTTAGTTTGATATTGGATGAATTGTAAAACTAGTCGATTATAAAAATATTTTTTTTAGAAACAGAAACACCAAACGAGCTGAAGATCACGTTTGTTGCTTCTGTTTCTAAAAAACTATTTTTCTTTGAAATTGATAATTTTCCCTACGTTTATCACAAAATATACTTATATTGCTGCGCCAGTGGTAGATGACATGTGTTGCCATTACTAAGAATTTTCACAGGGGCAAGTAACAAGTTATAAAAAATATTAAGATTTTCGTTCTTAGGAGTTTTAAAATATTTTACAAAGGAATAGGGGACAAAATATGTACTATATATGACATCAAAATACTTAAGTAGTTTAAACACTTAGTGATCAGGTTTAATCAACTATAGTATAATAAAAAATTATAATACCTAAGCAGAATATATATATAGTTTTAGTAGTAATAGTTTGTGTAGTAATAGTTTTAATTCTATTATCCAGATATTTTTTCTGTATTGTAAATATACATGTGTCTATAAATTACACGTTTAAATTATAATTTAACACAATAATGATGTAATAATTATGATGCTCAGATATATGATTTATTGTAGGAAAAAGACTTACCGCAAAATAAGTGAACATGTTGGTTTGATAAAGTACGATTTACTATGATGTACCTGACCGAACACACGCTTTTATACGCACACTGGTTCATTTGTCAATCCTTATTATCCTTCAGTTTCACGCTTATTGAATATTCGCGTTACATTTCGCTAATGAAACTCGAATATTTTCATAACACGTCCTAAATTGTTGCTTTCAAATAACTATATTCAAATGATACTGCTTTTGGATTCGAAGGTTAATTAAAAACATCGTTGCATTGTTGTCTATTCTAACAGAAGGTGAGAACTAGGTTCGATTCTGTCTGACATCGAATGTTGAATGTTTTGGAAATTTATAAAAAATTTAAATGAAAGTAGTAATAATAATATCTCAGGACAATCACACAGTGTCATCTAGTCTAAAGCTAAGCAGAGCTTGTGTTATGGGTAATAGACAACTGATATCAAACGTAGATATTTTTTTGTAAATATTTGAGATATATAGAAGACACCCAGAATGAATCATCATGAATACAAATGATCGTGCCGTGCGAGAAATCGAACCCTGTATGTCGAAAGTAAGGCTGTGTGCTAAACCACTAGACCACAGAGGCTTCGGCCTCCCGAATTAGAATTCTAAAATCGGAAAATTTGTTTTTAATTCTACGTCAGTTAGAATAGTCCAGTTTAGAATTCTACGACATTTATTTCTAATACACATTTTTGACCGATTTTGCTGCTATAATCTCCATCAAGCTGGCTTCGTATTACCTATATCAAGCAACGCAGGCGACCATAACGAAATACGAAAGTGTGAAAAATATGAAGCATAACAGAAAGAGAATAAAGTCAATGCATTGTTATATGAATTTTAGACGCTTATCTATGCATTTAAATTTTGCTAATGTTATTAAAGCGCATACATATAATTTTTTTATTACTATCATGATTTTTTTATTACTAGTATGTATCAATACTAACATTAAGTATAAAAAGAAGAGCCGGTTTGGTTGGTTGGTGGGTTGAGTAAAGTGAACTCCGTAGCCTCTGCATTAGTGATAGGATTAGGATAGGAAATTCTTTCACTGTTTGAAAAATACATTTCAAAAGCTGCATGCACTGATGTAGACTATAAAAAGCCGTTAGTATCGGTTGTAGGCTGATAAAAGACATAGGTAACTATATGACATTAAGTTTACATAATTACATATGATAATATTTTTTTATGAATGCCGCCTGCGCTGCTTTACGCTGGCGAAGCACCAGTGGAGGATGATAAGTTGAGCTTGAGATCAGGTCAGTTAGCCCATCGTGGTAAATTCACCATGAATTTATAATGATGGTTTCCAGGACTAAAATTGCTAGCAATGCGGTTATTAGTCCACGTTACTAATAATTCCCTTCACCCCAAAATAAACATTAATTTACACAAAGTTCTGAACAGCCTGCGAAACCATGTAGGGCAACTAGGTAGTTCTAATTTGTAATAAAGGCGACTTCGAATAGAGATTTAGTTTAGTTACACGCCTCGAACGGTATCCGGGATTTAAATAAGTGGTATTATGTTGAAGTGACGTGACGAGCTCTCTGTATTTTTACTCTGTCATTACACTAAACTTAATTGATTTTAATGACAAGTTTATTATATTAGTATCGCAATTAAACGATAAACATAATTTATACAGTGTCGCGCAGTTGCAACTAATTCGGCCTCACTCGACCGCCTCATTACCCCTTTTCAGTAGAAACACTCTTTCCACTCAGAGTTACACAAATTCACATTTGCAATCAGAGCCCGGAGAAAAGTTCCTCCTCCGCCCCGCGGCCCCGCGCATACCCGTCCCCTGCCGCCTTTAATTAACAGAAAGTGGTTCATTAGAGCTTATTCATTAAAGCAAGGAGTAATTAGCGAACTCTAATGAATGCTGTAATAATGTAAGAGCGGCCGCGTTGGACTGCGCCCCGACTTCTAGATTAATCTAGAAACTGCGAATAATTTAGTAATGGCGTTAATTTATTATGGAGCTGATTGCTGGAATTAGTGGTGTAGGTGGATGGTGTGGGTATGAAATATGTGACGAAACGATTTACCAGAACATCCAGAGTTAAAGTTTATATCCTAAGCTGATGTTGTAACTCTGAATGATCCGTGCAAAATTTATAAAAATATACTTGCATAATATAACCTTTTACTACTATAATAATACTACAAACGCTCTTTGTACTTTAAATATTTATCAAACAATTCAGACTCGATATCAAAATCTCAATTTTTTTTGTTAATACTGTCTATTTTTATGTAACATACAGCTAATAATGAATAATATCTAATAATTAGTGAGATTGCGAATAGAACCCGGTTGCTTGCAAGCGAGGCAACGTTGTGTAGCCGTTATATCTACGTCAGAGGACGTCATTATATCTAATTATCACAAAGACAAGTATACGCTGATTAATTTATGTTACACTCATTAAAAACATCTAATGTCGCCGCAGGGCACGAATGTAAATAGATTATATTGAATTAATTACGATGTACGTAATTGGCAATTAAACATTCCGTACTCGGATATTATTTACAATAATGTACATTTACGACTAAAGCAGTAATAAAAATATATACGGCCTCGGTGGTCTAGCGGTTTAGCACTCCGCTTTACGTTCATTGATCGCGGGTTCGATTCCTCGCACGGTACAACATTTGTATTCATGAGTATGATTGTTTGTATCGGTCTGGGTGTTTTCTATGTATGATATGTATGTATTTAAGATTACAATTATTTATGTTATCTGTGCTATTATTATACCGACACGATTTTTATTCCTATATTCTGATGGAGTAATCAGAGGCTTAGCAACTGTCAATGTTGTGGTGATCGCAACACTTGAGATGCTAACTCACATTTTGTTGGGTATCTACATATATTTAAATCCAACGTGACATGGAGTGAGCCTACTAAATCAATAATCTAAATAGATATTTAATTTTTTTTATCGCATTTAATGACATAAATTGGATTTGGATTAAATGCGATCAAAAAAAGTGATGGCTGCATCACTCTACAGTTTAAAATATTTATTATAGGTCATAATTCGTCGCCAATAATGGTAGATACGATATAGTCAATTCTGAATATATTTTTCGGGTTTTAATAGATAAAAAATCGGATAATGATACTAAGAAATAGTTTTTATTTTTAACGGCATTGATCTTACTCCCGCTTAATAAAAAATCTAGCAAATGTTGATAATGGGTAGGTATGATTGACGTCCCGACAGTGCTTTCATCAGGTCACAGAGGACAAAAATTGGCATCTCGATTAAATCTTATTAGTTAGCATCATAGCGTTGACACGATAGTTTTGGTAAACAGACTGTGCTATGTGATTCATTGCCATGTCAGCGTGACGCATTTGAAGCATTACATGTATACATATACGTATCTATAATAATAACTCAGGATAACTCTCAGAGCGCCATACAATTTAAAGTTAAGTATAGCTTGTGTTATGGACACTAGACATACATATGATATCAATAATATATATTTTTTTGTAATTACATACATAATATACATAGAAAACACCTAGATCAATACTCATGACTACAAATGTTTGCATCGTGCGTAGAATGGAACCCCCGACATGTAAAATATTTTAGCAGTATATTTATCAATTTAATTATGTTATTAGATATTTTTTTGCAATAGGATATAACTGTTTTGTCTAATTAGGCGCGTACCTAATTATTTAAAGGAAAACCTTTGTGGATATTATTATGATTACCGTATATTTAAGTAACCAAAGTTAAACGATTTAACTGTAAAATGTAATGAAGTTGAAAATGATTTCCATATCGTGTTACAGAACTTATTTGCGAATCCACCTACATGTCTTCGAATATTTGTCAATTTATGTATGATCTACATAAAGAAAATACACTCCGTCGTCATACGAGGATCTTATTAGTATTCCTCAAAATAGGAGGTCGGTAGGTTGGTAGTAACAATTTTCTTATGATGTTTGTTCCGCTGGCGGCATGTTAGCAATGGCTCGCCGGACAACACGCATAATGATGTATGCTAACATTATTAAAGTGTAGATATATCATAACAAGTAGCTACTGAAAGAATACAATGTACAGAGAAGCAAAGAGGTTTTTACTTTTGCCAATATTTTTAAATCTCTTGAAAGTTTTATATTTAAATTTATAATAAATTAGTATAAATAGCTTCATCATCATCGTCATCTTAGTGCTCGGGAGTGGCAACGCATGATTAGTACTACGGGTGTCACATGATGTCTATTTTTTTGTACCATGTGTACTGGCGACGGTTACCGTTTACTATAAGGGGGCAGTCAGCTTGTTTATCATTAAAATTACATGAAAAATTGCACTTACTCGTTTTTAAAATAAAGTGAATAACTAATAAAAATATTTACATAAAAACATGTATGGGATGGAAAAAAGAATTTGACGTTTTTGGTTTTTATTTTATCATAGTTTAGGAAGATGTCTACATACATCTACTACTACAGATGATACCTCTTTATTTCCTGTACTTGTAGTTTTTAAAATAGATTTTCCTTATTTTAATATGTGTCACGTTTAAAAATTCGGCACTCAACAAGTCTTCTGTTTTTTTTTTTCTGATGGTAATGGAGTCACAAAAATTAACCTGTATACTATAAATGACGCTCTACGTGAAACATACTACATACATAATTCAAACTTTTCTTATTTGTAGAGGTAAGGATTGACCATACGTATCTTCTTTTTTTATTATCGAATCTCTTTATTCTATCCATTTATTTTATAATAAATGGGAGAGTAAAAATACCTCATTATTTTATACCATGGTAAAATCTTAGAAGAGTCCTTTTATAATTTAGATAATACACGAAATTTGGTATATTATACTTGTATTGTAATGTTTATTGTTAACCTTATATTGGCGATTGTACAGTAGACAAGACAGGATCAGAGTGACCCTTAGCGAGTTACATTTACCTAACTACCCGCCGGTTGGCTTCAGCT